CAACCCCTTCTTTTGAAAATATATTTATGGCATAATGAATCTCTCTCTCCAGGAGAATCCGATGGGAAAGGAGTCACACGGTCCCGTAGCATCAACAGTTCCCTTTGTCAAGCTGGGAGGCGCCGGAGTATCCGACTTCCAAAGGAACCGCGGAGGCACACCATTTCCAATGCCTTGGAATATGATATGGTGAGGAAGCCCAGGGAATGGCTCCCGAGGGCCCTTCCAGACAACCTGGTCACTGAGCCTCCTTTTTGATTTGTTTATGGGGAGTTGAGACGACATCAGAACGAGTGTTAAGCCACACATTCCAAGTGCATCTTCCCATCCCTTTCTTTATTGGGAAAAGTCCGGCCTTGGGACATTCCAATCCACTATTAGTTGTGCAACTTAAATGTGATAAAAAAAAAACCCCAGCCAACGCTCTGCAAACATCCTAAGCGTCATTTTTAGTCAGGCATTCCACATGCCACAGCTTTGTGTGCAAACGGAAAACAATGTCTTTTCCCCTCTTCTTTTTTTCCCAGCGACAGGAGGGTTATTCAAGCCTCATGAAATACAAATCAGCACCATTAATTAATTTAAAAAACCTGCCTTCGGGCTGCAATTGTCCTTTGAGGTCGCTCGGTCCAAGGTTGTGTTTACATCGCAAACCTCTTCCATGTGATCCTGACTTGCGTGACCTCAAAAATTGTAGTTCTGCTGGGCAGCCAGATAGGGGTGAAGCACTCTGAGCACAATTCAAAGTGTTGGTGCTGACCTTTAAAGCCCTAAATGGCCTCTGTCCAGTATACCTGAAGGAGTGTCTCCACCCCCATCATTCTGCCCGGACACTGAGGTCCAACGCCTAGGGCCTTCTGGCGGTTCCTTCCCTGCGAGAAGCCAAGTTACAGGGAACCAGGCAGAGGGCCTTCTCGGTAGTGGCGCCTGCCCTGTGGAACGCCCTTCCACCAGATGTCAAAGAGAAAAATAACTACCCAACTTTTAGAAGACATCTGAAGGCAGCTCTATTTATGGAAGCTTTTAATGTTTAATAGGTTATTGTATTTTTGTGTTTTGTTGGAAGCCGCCCAGAGTGGCTGGGGAAACCCAGCCAGATAGGCGGGGTATAAATAATAAATTATTATTATTGTTGTTGTTGTTGTTGTTGTTGTTGTTGTTGCCTGCATTCTCTGCAGGAGATCATGAGGATGAAACCGAGCTGAGAGTTAAGGGCGTGAAAAGAGCAGGGGTGGCTTAATCAATACAAATGTCATTGTACGGTCTCAGTAAAAGCAAACTGAAATTGCAAAATCCTACGATTTCTGCCATGCACCGAATTAAAACCCATGGTATTCTATGAACTAAGGACAGGAACCATCCAAGATGCAATGAAACTAACTAAAAACTCTTAAGGAGTCTTTGCCGCAGGAAAGAGAAATCCAGCAACGGTTTCTGCGATTTGTTTTGTGTCAACAAAGTAATTGTGTCAACCCCAAAAGTAGGCCAAATCCCCCCCTGCCAGCCATTTTGTCCCTATTCAAAATTGCTTTTCTCTCAACCCACCCCTTCCATTGCCACTCCCCTCACCCCACGGAGGTCCAGGTTCATGCTGAAAGGAGACAAGACGGACAAGGCCAGATTGGAAAGGAGTGCAGTTCATATTTGATTTTAAGTGTGTGTTTGTTTGTATTAATGCGCATATTGTCTAGCTTCCACACAGCTTGTGTTGTTAGTTGTTTCCAGGGTGCCGGTTGGACCTGAAAGGTATGATTACCGAAAGTTGCTTCCGGATGACCTGTTTAAAAAGCGTTCAGTCTGATGTATTTGCCTCCCTGCCTGATCTGCTCTGTCTGCCTTCTGTGGGGAAGGGCTGCCCTCCCTCCGTAATGAGCTTTGAAAAGCGCCGTCTGCAGCTGCCTGCTACATATTTCAATGCATGCCTGCTTTGGCTCTGAAGCGGCTTCCAGGCATCCAGTTTTTAGCAAGCATTTGTCCTGATTTGCTCGCACAGAGTTTGCAGGGAGGACAGACGACATCAGCTGTTTACGGAGTGTTTGTGGTAGTTCGTTTGTGGGCAGGTTAGACCACGTTGCCTCAAGCGTTACCCCTCGCTTTCCAGTTTGCATTAATAATAATAATAAATTTTTATTTATACCCCGCCCTTCCCGGTTCAAAAACCAGGCTCAGGGCGGCTAACAATAAAATTAAAACACTTTAAAACACTTAATTATAAAAGCAGCATAAAATACAGTATAAAAACATGAATAACAATAAAAATAAAAAATCAATTAGATAATCCCCAGGGTTAGCTGGCTAAATTGATCCTACTTGGGCCAGTGAGGAGGCCAGGGGAGAATTAGTTGTGGGGTCTCAGAGCGGGTGATGTTCATAAAAGGGGAGGGGGAGGGAAGAGAAGGGAAATAAAAGCTCAGGCTGAATTCAAATTACCGTATTTTTCGCACCATTGGACGCACCGGACCATAGGACGCACCGGATCATAGGAGGGGGAGAACAGGGAAAAAAATTTTTTTCTTGTTCTCTCCCTCTAAAACAAGGTGCGTTCAAGGTACCTATTTTTTTTGGGGGGGGGGAAATAAAGAAAAAAAATTCCCTCCCCAGGCACGGAGCAGGCGCGGGGGAAGCCCGAGCTTCCCCCGACCCCAGCCCCCAGAACAGCCTGCTATCCGCAAGCCTAGGGAACCGAGCCGGTCTCCCCAGGCTTGTGGAGAGGTGCGCGAAGCCCGGGCGCGCTCTTCAGTGCGCACCAGGCTTCGGAATGCAGGCAGCTCCGCGCCACCCTCCCGAGCCCCGCGCGGCTTCGCGCCGGGATCGGGAGGGTGGCGCAGAGCTGCAGGAAGCCCTGGGGCACAGGCAGCTCCGCGCCACCCTCCGGAGCCCCGCGCGGGGTCTGGAGGGTGGCGCGGAGCTGCAAAGCCCTGGAGCTCAGGCAGCTCCGCGCTACCCTCCGGAGCCCCGCGCGGCTTCCCGCCGGGATCGGGAGGGTGGCGCGGAGCTGCAGGAAGCCCTGGGGCGCAGGCAGCTCCGCGCCACCCTCCGGAGCCCCGCGCGGCTTCGCGCCGGAATCGGGAGGGTGGCGCGGAGCTGCAGGAAGCCCTGGGGCGCAGGCAGCTCCGCGCCACCCTCCAGAGCCCCGCGCGGCTTCGCGCCGGGAGCGGGAGGGTGGCGCGGAGCTGCAAGAAGCCCTGGAGCTCAGACAGCTCCGCGCTACCCTTCGGAGCCCCGCGCGGCTTCGCGCCGGGATCCGGAGGGTGGCGCGGAGCTGCAGGAAGCCCGGGAAAGCCTGCATTCGCTCCATAGGACGCACATACATTTCCCCTTCATTTTTGGAGGGGAAAAAGTGTGTCCTATAGAGCGAAAAATACGGTAAAGGCCAGGTGGAATAGCTGTGTCTTTCAGGCCCGACGGAAGGAGGTTAAATCCTGAAGGGCCCTAGTCTCCTGGGACGAAGCATTCCACCAGGTTGGAGCCATTACTGAGAAGGCCCTGGCCCTGGTGTAGGATAGTCTGACTTCCTTAGGGCCCGGGACCTCTAAACTATGGTTATTTATGGACCTTAAGGTCCTCTGCGGGGCATACCAGGAGAGGCAGTCCCGTAAATATGAGGGCCCTTATTACTTCCCTTATTGCGAAAAGTCTAATTTTGGGGTTGGGTTGGGGGAAGTGGGCTTGTTGCTGTAGTTGAGAGTCCTGGACTAGATGACCCTCAGGGTACCTTCTAACTCTACAATTCTGTGATACTGTTATCGCGCAACCGAATTTTCTGACCTGTGATTGAAACCCATCTTCGGAAATCGTTATAGCCTTGGAAGCACCCAAAATTAAAAAGTCAGTGTAAGACACCTTAAGCCAGGGCCAGCTGGCACCGCAAAAAGTTGAGGATATAGTTTTGAACGAGGCCTTTTCTTCATGTTGCAATCGTAAATTGGCAGAGCAGCGTGTTCTGCTCACCTCTCTTTGCACCCCAAGCGAATTAAGCCAGCTGGAAAGGCAGGGATTATGGCCACCATTGTCCGGGGCAACTGAGGCTTTAAAGCATATCCCACGATGCACTGGGGGGAAAGTGCTGATTTCAGCCAAATGGGATGGTTGGTGGGAGGGGGGGTAGATTCCGGACACTGTTGCTTTGCCCCCAGGGCAGAGGAGGGGTCTGAGGGGAAAGCAGAGGAGAAGGCCGAGGCGAGAGACGGCGAGAGGTTAGCAGCGGAGGAGAGCAGGCAGCGCAAATCCATTTGAAGAAAAGAATGCGAATGTGGAAGACCGGGCGGGCAGCAGAAAAGGGCGAGGAAGGGTGGAAACGCTAGGAAGGAAGGAAGGAAGGAAGGAAGGGTGTGAATGAGTGAATGAGGAGAAGATGGATGGAGGGATGTGTGAGACAGAAGAGAGCATCTGAAAGGGGCGAAAGCTGAGGGATGGGAGAGGGAAACCGCTGTGGAGGAAGGTTGTGACAGGATTTTGGGAAGAGGGTGTGACAGGGGAGCATAGCTGTCAACTTTCAGATTTGAAACTAAGGGATCGGCAGCCTCACCTTTCCCGCAGACAGTCTACGGGATATCTAACAATCCGGGATAGCTGCGGGAAGCAGCAGGAAACGGCGCTGGAATAAGGGAATTTACCACAAAAAAAGGGAAGGTTGGCAGCTACGCAGGGGAGCAAAAACAGCCTTAGAGGAAAGAGGACCGGTTGAAAGAAGAGTCCAATGTTTGAGGAGGAATGAGGAAAGGCTCAGAGAAACGTTCCTGAAGGAATTGGGGGGGCCCTGGTGTGCTGTTTTAGTATTTGGCTGCTGGCGGCGGAGCTCTCCGTGACGACACTGGCCTGGAAGCAGGTGGGACGTGACTTGTGGGGAGAGAAGAAGGAGCCACATCGTCAGAGCGCGACTTTCCCCCTCCTCAAGCAGGGGCGCTACTGTGAGGGGACCTCGCTGCCCCGCTGGGATGCCAGGGTGGCCCCCTTCCCTCCTGCTCTGGGCGTTGCTGCCTCCCGGCCCCCACTGCGCCATGATGGCGGTCCAGAGAGGCTACACCATCCTCATCGTCCCGTTGGGCACGGCCCTCAGCAGCCTGGAGGCCCTGCGCTTCTTCTTCTGGGTGAGTCTCTCTGCGGCTCAGGTAGCTGGGACCACGATGGCACACACAAATATCCACACCCCTTTGTTCTGGCCTCCCTTAGACCTTTCCTCCTCCCAGACATCCAATGTTTTGAAGTTCTAAAAAGGAATTAGTAGAACCCTAGAAATGAGGAAACGCCTTGTTCCTCATCCCTTGAGAGAGCCTGGAAGGTGTTCTGTGGGTAGCAGGGTCTTCTCCACGGTGGCACCTTGCCTTTTGGGATTCCTCCCACTAGAAACTCCATCGACATGCATCTCAGGTTATTCTCGTGTTAATTCTTTTGGTATTGCATTGGACGTGCAGTTTAGCAGCCAATTTTGTCGAAGGGGCTGTATTCTTGTCGCAAACCGATGTTTTGATACGGGGTGCTGTTTTCATTGCGGTTTGGAGGTTTGGGGCATCTCATAGAACCATAGAATTGGAAGGAGCCCTGAGGATCATCTAGTCCAACCCCCTGAATGCAGGAATACGCAGCTGTCCCTTACGGGGATCGAACCTGCAACCCTGGCGTTATCGGCACCACGCTCTAACCAACTGAGCTGTCTCACTTTCTGAGCTGCGTGGAGAACTGGCTTTGAAGTGTGGTTTTACGCTACATACAATGTTTATGTCAAAATGCCACTTCTGCATATCAAAGTGATTGAGCGGGCATATATGGAGTAAGGCGATCCAGTAGGTAAACTGCTCCCAAGTTGTTAAGGGCTTTACAGACTAATAGGAACACCTTGGAATTGGCCTGGTAGCAAATCAGCAACCAGTTCAGATTTCCTAGCACAGGTGTTATGTGCTGCTTTTCTGGGTGCCCTGGGGGCACCGGTTGGCAATGGGCTCCTGCCCTCCTGCTGCTGCTTTGGCAGGTGCCCTTTCCGGGGAGCTCAGAAGGGTGTCGCTTTGCCCATTCCCGCCTCCTCTGCTGCCTTGCATCATCTGAGGCCCTTCTTCGTGTGCCTCCTCCACATGAGGTCCTGAGGGTGGCCACACAAGAACGGGGCCTTTTCTGTGGTGGCTCCTTGTTTGTGGAACGCTCTCCGCAGGGAGATTCATCTGCCTCCTTCACTATAAAATTTTTAAGCACCCTGCAAAAACGTTCCTCTTCAATCAGGTCTGATTAGCATTTTAAAAAGGTAAAGGGACCCCTGACCATTAGGTCCAGTCGTGACCAACTCTGGGGTTGCGGCGCTCATCTCGCTTTATTGGCCGAGGGAGCTGGCACATAGCTTCTGGGTCATGTGGCCAGCATGACTAAGCCGCTTCTGGCGGAACAGAGCAGTGCACGGAAATGCCGTTTACCTTCCCGCCGGAGCGCTACCTATTTATCTACTTGCACTTTGACGTGTTTTCGAACTGCTAGGTTGGCAGGAGCAGGGACCGAGCAACGGGAGCTCACCCCGTTGCAGGGATTCGAACCGCCGACCTTCTGATCAGCAAGTCCTAGGCTCTGTGGTTTAACCCACAGCGCCACCCGCGTCCAAAGGGTGATATATAAATCTAATAAATGATGATGATGATGATGATGATGATGATCATCATCATCATCATCTTTGGTGCCTAGGACTGAACTTGAGGCCTTCTGCGTCCAAAGCATGGGTTCTACACCCTTTGAGCTACACCTCTTTGCTACTTTGTGCGGAAATGTTGACATCCCTCTTTGCAAGGTCCCTTCTCCCTTAGATGGAGATCTCCTGAGCATTGCAAAGTCGTTCTGTGCTGCTGAATCAAAGAAACCCACCCACCCCGCAACTCACAAGCTAGAATCTTGACTTTGCCCCCTGTCTTGCAGCTGAAGCGAATGCAGGAGCTGGAACGGGAACGGGATGCCTTGCTGCAAGGGCTGGAGATGGTTGAGCGGGTGCGCGACTGGTTTCAGCGCCACCTCCTGGAGGCTCAGAGGCGTCAGAAGCACATGGGAACGGAGGCAGTAAGTACCAGGCAGGGAAAAGCAGATACCACCCTTAGGTGGTATCTAAAGGTGCTAAGGGTGGTCTGGCTATTTTGGCACCTGGGGCAGAAAATCCCACAAGCACATCTTGCTTCCCAGGGCAGTAAAGCTGCAATAAAAATAGAATAGCTAACAATTGGCAGCCCTTTCATGAGACCCAAAATCAGGTGCCTGAGGCATCTGCCTCACTCTGCTCAAGGTAAGGGCCGGCCTTGTGTGATGATGGAGTATTTGTGGCGCGGCATTCAGTAGGCTGAGATACACATGAGGTTCTGTGGATTTTACATGTCCCCTTTTCAAAGCACGTATGTTTAATTTGACAACTGTCACACATTTAGGGAGCTCCCCAGCTCGGAATAAAAGGTAGCAGGGATTAGGAGACTAGTAAGAGCCAAAGGTCACTTTCAGTGTGAAATCTTTGAACTGGTTCACACAACACACTGAGCCAAATCTTGGTTTAGCAAGACCCTCGTTGACGCTGCCACACTAAGCCAAGCCAAGGCGGTTATTTCAGTTAAAGGTAGAGGGAGCCCTGACCATTAGGTCCAGTCATGGCTGACTCTGGGGTTGCGGCGCTCATCTCACTTTATTGGCTGAGGGAGCCAGCGTACAGCTTCCGGGTCATGTGGCCAGCATGACTAAGTCGCTTCTGGCGAACCAGAGCAGCGCACGGAAACGCCATTTACCCTCCCGCCGGAGCGGTACCTGTTTATCTACTTGCACTTTGACGTGCTTTCAAACTGCTAGGTTGGCAGGAGCAGGGACCGAGCAACAGGAGCTCACCCTGTCACGTGATTCAAACCGCCAACCTTCTGATCGGTAAGCCCTAGACTCTGTGGTTTAACCCACAGTGCCACCTGCGTCCACATACACATTTTCACACATGGGCTAAGAGGTCGTATATTAATTGCAAACATCCTCATACCTTTTTTCTATTTACCTTTTTTTGAAAAACAACAACTCTTTGAATTGCAATCTTCGGGATACAATTTGTATACTGAGTTTTGTTTTGCTTTTCCCTGCTCACTGTTGTTCTTGCACAACCGCAGAGCTATTTCCCAGACCCTTACTCCAACCAGAGCTGCCTGCTGCTGGCCAAGATCCAGGAGGTGAACCTGTGCTTGAAAAACCTGCTGGCCTCTCCTGGAAAGGTCAGTGGGGGCGGAGGGGGAGGGGAGGGCCTGGGGTTGGGGCAGTTCTGCCCTGGGGGGATGCTGAAAAAGCTACTGCCTTGGGAGGGAGGATCGTTCACGTTTCCAGTACAAGGGGGTGGAAGGCGAAACAGACAGATCTCACCTGTCAGGTGCAAGTTCACCTGAAGAGGCTCTACAGAAGTGAGCAGGAACCGGCTGAATACATGTCCTTCTCATTTCCATGGGCTTTGCATTTGGTAGCTTCCCAGAAGGCTGTATCCAAATGTTAAGCACTGGGAGGAGGGGTTGTCTCCCTTGGTCAGCAAAATGTGCGCTAAAATAGAAAAATAAGGACGTGGTCCATGTTGGAATAAGACTGTTTCGGATGGATGGCACATCTCGAGACACCTTTGACTCCTTTTTTACCTTGCTTGGTCAGGGCACATGCCTCTAAACACATCTGCACAGCGTCCGCCTGTGATCAGAGAATAAGCACTCTCATTTCGTTTCGTTTCATTTCATTTCTACCCCGCCCATCTGGCCAGGCCGCCCCAGCCACTCTGGACAGCTCCCAGCAGAATATTCAAAACACAAGAAAAGATCAGCCATTAAAAACTTCCCTAAACACGGCTGCCTTCAGATGTCTTCTAAAAGTCAGATAGTTGTTTATTTCCTTGACATCTGGTGGGAGGGCGTTCCACAGGGCAGGTGCCACCACTGAGAAGGCCCTCTGCCTGGTTCCCTGTAACCTCGCTTCTCACAATGAGGGAACCACCAGAAGGCCCTCGGCGCTGGACCTCAGTGTCCGGGCTGAACGATGGGAGTGGAGATGCTCCTTCAGGTATACTGGGCCGAGGCTGTTTAGGGCTTTAAAGGTCAGCACCAACACTTTGAATTGTGCTCGGAAACGTACTGGGAGCCAATGTAGGCCTTTCAGGACCAGTGTTATGTGGTCTCAGCAGCTGCTCCCAGTCACCAGTGTGGGTGCCACATTCTGGATTAGTTGTAGTTTCCGGGTCACCTTCAAAGGTAGCCCCACATAGAGTGCATTGCAGTAGTCCAAGCAGGAGATAACCAGAGCATGCATCACTCTGGTGAGACAGTCTGTGGGCAGGTAGGGTCTCAGCCTGCGTACCAGATGGAGCTGATAAACAGCTGCCCTGGACACAGAATTGACCTGCACCTCCATGGACAGCTGTGAGTCCAAAATGACTCTGAGGCTGCACACCTGGTCCTTTCTGTTTGAGTCAGTGTCTCATAGGAGCAGCCTCTGCCAGAGTTGACCCCAGGGTCTCCAAGGGGAGAGGGTCAGGCTTCCTTGCCTGGGGGAAATGAACTCAAATGGTGACTCCAAATGGGTAGAGAATTGGATCTGGCTGTCGGGCTGAATCCTTACCTATTCCACCTCACAGGTAGGTGGGCGGGGTCATTTGCCATCATGCAGATGACATCAGGTGACCTGTTTTTAGTTCTGACAGTCAGCTGATCCTCATGGCTTCTGTACACAGCACTGTAAAAGCCTCGACAATCAGCTGGTTGTTGGCACTTGCGTCTAGTTTTGAGAGGAAACAATTGCGCAGTTTCAGCTCTGTGCAAGTAAGGATCTTGTATGTATGCACCATTTATTTTTTTTATTTTTTTAAATCATATTTATTAAAGTTTCCAAAAATATAAAAATACAAAGAAAAAAAAGAAAAAGAAAAAAAGATATTTAAAAACCTTACTTTCATTGCCTACTTTCTGGGACTCCCCTCCCCCGACTGTATTCCCCTTTCCTTAATTTAGTTCTACAAGCTCTCACTCCCAATTTAAAGCTTAATTTGTTTAACCCACTATCCAAATTGAATTGTACAAATCTTACCACCGTCCCACATCATTAACAAGAAAAGAAAAAAGATTTTCCCCAAGATCCACCCCAGTTCCTTCCACGAATTCCATATATTTAAACACGTCCAATCAAAATAAAATGACATGCGTAAGTTATGTAAAAAAATAAAAAATAAAAGATATAGAAAAATTCAAAAGATGGTTACACAGCCTTTGGATTTCAAATCTCCCCCCCCCCTTCCCCGGTTTGAATTCCCCATATCCATCAGTCTGTGCATTATCAGCTTGGAAGTCTCAATTCATGACCAAATTTCTCCTCGATTCCATCTTGCCGGTTTTCTTTTAATTTATTAATAATATGTAACTTCAAGTGTCCAATCTAACAAAGGCCTTTAATTTCCTTGATCTTTACCACTCCTCCCGTTGTTCTTTCCGTGTCGTAATCAGTCCTTTGTTCTTCTTTTCCTCACTTTCTCAGGTTTCTTGTCCTGTTCAGCTGCTAAAACTTTCTAATTCAGAAATCTGATATCTCTGCAGAGGTTTGTTATTCAGGAACCAAAACTTACGTCCAGTCCCTTCCTTTCTTCAATAGAAAATTCTATTGTCTCCTTTAATGTAAATACCTCTGTAGACAAAATACTATTTCAGTTTTGCAGCTTTCCCAAAAGATAACAAGTCCTGTGCGAATCCCAGAGTATTTTTCCACTTACGACCGTTCTTGTAATATCCCGAAACCCCTCTAGGGGATTGTAATAACTTTGCATCCTCTAATCCAAAAGTCAAATTGTTGCTTATTTTCCAACAGTTTATATCCATATTGTAGCAAATTGTAGCAAAATTAACCGGCAAAGTCCTCATAACAAAGTCCTCTTTATATTCTCCAACTTTGACAGCCACTTTGACAGCTGTCAAAGTCTCCGTCTCTCTTCACCAGGCTCCACGAATCGCCCCGGTTCCCAGGGGGGGGGGGTTGCATTTTTCTTCTCACCCTCCACTCTTCTCCTCCAGCACAGTTCTTATAATTTCCCATCGTGAAATTAATGGTTTTTATCAAGAATATACTTCCCTTTGGACCTTGGTTACCCAGTCCTTGTTTTGGAATGCTTACAATAGGGGGATTGACTTCCTTTTAAATCGCCCCGCTCGTGCCAAATCCGAAATTTTGAACCCGGTTTCCCAATTACTCACGGGTTGTTGTTAATAGTCCAAATTTTCAATGGAAGAAGTCAGCGCTCTCCGTCGAATGGCATGCGGCTGCGCTCGGCAGGGAAAGCAGAAGACTCAAGCACCACGCCGCTCCCCGGCACTCCGATCCAAGCCTTTAAAAAGGCTCCTTCACGAGTCGGGAGGGCGCTAATGGTGCAAGCCGAGTCACCCATGTCCACGGACTCCGTGCCCGTGGTTTTTAAGGGTCCCCGCGTCGCCGGCGCGGTAGGACCCAGCCCCTGCCGAGCAGACTCCCTCCGGAGCTCGGAGGGAGTCCGCCATTCGGCGATGGCGCCAACCCGGAAGTCCCATTTATTAATTTACGGTGTTTATATACTGCTTTTTGGGCTGCTGTTCCTGTGTCCCTTTGCTCTTACCACGCCCTCGCCATACCTGAGCAGGCCCCAACTCTCGCCTCTTGCCAAGTCTATCTTGTCTGCTTCTTGGATATTGAGAGGCCCCTTTGCAACACAGGAGTGCTGGATTAAAAAATTGGGTGGTATGGTATGGAAGGAAGTTGCACTCAGATAGTTACGCGGGTTTTCCTTCTCCTCTAGCCTGAAGTCCCACCTCCTGGTTTTGGGGGGCCCCTTTATCCACCAGGAAAGAAGGAGTTTCAGCAGCAAGCTGTCACAGTCCTCAAGGAACAGAACCACCTGCTGATCAAGGTAAGGGACAAATCCACAAAAAGCCAAGATACACAAAGACAGAGTGGTGGAACTGAGTGGGACGACACCCACAGGGGGTCCAATGGTCAAGAAGGCAGTTTCTGCACATGTTGTAGAGGGAAATGAGGGGTAGATGGGGCTCATCAACTTGGGAAGGGAGCCCATCTAGGAGAAGGAAAACTCTGGTCTTAAACCTCCTCTGCCTTACAGTTATACGCATTTGTGAGAAAATACACATTTGTGAGTAAACTCCAAGGAACAATCTGTGCCCGCTACTTTGTGGGACATCTTTGGGACAAGAAAGGGCTAAGGACAGGCATAGGCAAACTCGGCCCTCCAGATGTTTTGGGACTACAACTCCCATCATCCCAGACCACTGGTCCTGTGAGCTAGGGTGATGGGAGTTGTAGTTCCAAACCATCTGGAGGGCGAGTTTGCCTGGCTAAGGAGTAAATCCTAAACAAATCCAGAGCGGAATCCCTAAGGTGGTTAGATGGCGCCTTGTACACCTCCTTCCGGCAACTCCTGCAGCCCAGCTGGTGCCAAATGTATTGCTCTGCTTTCCTTTGGACCCCATCAGCGAGGCCAAGATGGGGGTCTTGTCATCTGGGCAGCCCAGGACCTCCATGCACACGGCCCAGGCTTGCACCCTGGAGAGGTTACGTACTTCGGTGCTGCTAATGCAGCCGGTTGACTTCACCCCCCAGGGGCGCACTCCATTGTCTCTCGAGACAGACAGATGCCAACAAGTCAAGCAATAGTGAAAGCCAGTGGCTGCTTCAGGACTCGCCCTTTTAGGAGGCAGACCAAGGCAACCTCCTGAGACACAGATTTTGGACACATTAAAAGGTGTCCACCTTGATCCCCCAGAACTGAGTCCCTGTATTCCCCTCTCATTCATGAAGTCCAGTGCAACAACATAGCGGTTCTGTTCTTGATAACGCTGCTTGTCTGCCTAACAAACAGTATCGGTGTTTTGATTTCTGGGAATGAAGTTGAGAGATGACCTAACCTGGGGAGAAAACAGCAAAGACCCGATGAAGTGAGCACAGCAGAGGTTATATTTTCTGAGAATCCTCCGGAAAAACAATCTCTCAAAGGACCTTTTGATGGCATTTTACCATTCTACTGTTGAGGGTGTATTAACTTATGGTCTGTGTGTGTGGTTTGGGAGCTGCATAGCCAGGGGAAAAACAATGCTGTCCAGGGTTGTAAAGACTGCAGAGAGAATAATTGGGTGCACTCTTCCCACCTTGGATCAAATCTACGCTTCCAGGTGCCATAAGAAAGCTGCAGAGATAGTGCAGGACAGTGCGCACCCTGGAAATGATCTCTTTCAGCTTCTACCTTCTGGAAGAAGGTACAGGGTTATAAAGACTAGGACTAGCCGTCTGAGAAACAGTTTCTACCCAAATGCAATTCTGGTTTTAAACGCAGTATAAGGAGTCTCTATAGGAGTATATTATATTTTAAAATGGGATTTCAGAGTTTTTAGGGGTTTTTGAATGTCTTATGTAGATTTACCAGCTATACCAGCTGCACTGGCTCCCAGTGGAGTACAGGATCAGGTTTAAGGTGCTGGTTTTAACCTTTAAAGCCCTATACGGCTTAGGACCCTCGTACCTACGGGACCGCCTCTCCTGGTATGTCCCACAGAGGAACTTACAGTCTTCAAATAAAAACATCCTGAAGGTCCCAGGCCACAGAGAGGTTAGGCTGGCCTCAACTAGAGCCAGGGCTTTTTCGGCTGCGGCTCCAATCTGGTGGAACGCTCTGTCACAAGAGACTAGGGCCCTGCGGGACTTGACATCTTTCCGCAGGGCCTGCAAGACAGAGCTGTTCCACCAGGCCTTTGGCCCAGGCGCAGCCTGACTCCCTCCTTTGGCAATCTTTACAGAACTTAAGCTTATGGTTGCCATCAATTTGATTTTAATTAATTTTTATAATGAAATGTTTTTAGAATGTTGCACTATTTTATTGTTGTTAGCCGCCCTGAGCCCGGCTTTGGCTGGGGAGGGCAGGATATAAATAAATTATTATTATTATTATTATTATTATTAAATTTCATTGTTCTGTATTGGACAACGACAATAAAGATATCGTATCGTATACAGGAAGTGTCTGAGAAGAGCGACCGCATTGCCCAGCTGGAACAAGAGAAAGCAGCTCTTTGCAAGCAGCTGAAAGAGACCCGCGGCTACAGACTACCCAGCCACAAGGAGTCCACCTTTATCTGACAGCCAAGGCCACACTCTGTCGACGGTCAGCGGCATGGCGATGTCCCTTTGTCCCCCCTGTGCCCGTGACATCACTTCCTTCGACTGGCCACCTTTCAGACAGACCTTTCTTGTGAAGGGGGCGTCGCAAACGTTTTCTCCTTTATGCCATTTCGGCCTGCTCCTGCAAGAGGCGCTAGAGGAACGCTAGACCTCTAGTCATCCGGCCCAATCCTGAGGGGCCCGCAGCTCAGTCACAGAGCATCTGCTTGGCATGCGGAAGGTCACAGGTTCAATCCCCGGTGTCGCCAAGTAGGGCTGTGAATGTCGCCCCCTCCCCGCCTGTCTGAAACCCTGGAGATCCACTAGCAGGCAGTGTAGGCCAGGACTGAGTTAGATGGACCAATTGTCCGACTCTTGCATACGTCAACCTCTTTACGTTGCTGTTCAGTGGAGAGCTAGTGGATGTGGGATGGTAGCCGTAATATGTGCATATCCCCTCGGTTTGCATCATTTGCTTGGGAGATATTTTGAGACAGAGGATTGCTGTTACTATGAAAAGCTGGAAACAAAGGGCTATTGACATTCATGGAAAGGAGGAGGTGGGAAGGCAATTGGCCTGTCTGAGGGAAGGAGCCAGAGATGTGGAACATTGAGGGCGAGGCTGGAAAGAATGTTTCCTGGCCCAGGGCTGCCATTCAAAAGTTGGCTGGGTCAGACATTGGGCAGGGCCCCACTCCCGGGTGCCACAAGGCCCCTTGACTTGCTACACTGAGGAGGTGGACTAGGTGAGGGAGGCCACCCACCTACCCCCACCCACGGAGGGTGGGAGCCAGTGTGGTGTAGTGGTTAACAGCGGTGGACTCGTAATCTGGGGAACCGGGTTTGCTTCCCCGCTCCTCCACATGCAGCTGCTGGGTGACCTTGGGCTAGCCACACTTCTCTGAAGTCTCTCAGCCCCACTCACCTCACAGAGTGTTTGTTGTGGGGGAGGAAGGGAAAGGAGAATGTTAGCCGCTTTGAGACTCCTTAGGGTAGTGATAACGCGGGATAGCAACTCCAAACCTCCTCCTTCTTCTTGCTCAAAGGCCCCCCACAGCCTAGAACCAACCCAGCCCCAGCTTTTGCTCCATCAGCACAACTCAAGACGTTGTGCTCCAGCTTGAAGCATAGAACCTTGTTTTCTTAGTATGAGTTTAGGACTTTGTGTTAAGATGCAACATTTCACACTCGGCAGTGATGCAGAAAACATGGCTGGGCTGTGGTCTGGTTCCAAGACGTTTTTTTCTGTCTGATGTGAAGGACAAGATGGCGCCTCCCCTATTCTGTGCTGGCTACACTGGCAGCTGACTCTTCTTTCAGCGCTGGTGACCAGAGAGGACACTCTGTTGCACCCGGAGGTGGCAGGCTAGAATCGGGAGGCACAGAGCAGGCCTTGCCCTCTTCATGGCCCCTCAACAACAGGAAAACCTGCTCATGAAAATGAATGAGACGCCCCTTTCCTTTGGGGCACTTTTGCTATGTGCCATATCCTAGAGCTGCTGAACATTGTCCCTCTTATGTTCCCACTCAAATCTTCCTTCAAAAGACAGGACCGTAACTCTCTCCTTGGCTGCCAAATTACATAGACCTTGCCTTTTGATAATTGGGTACAGGGGTACCTTGGTTCTCAAACTTAATCTGTTCCGGGAGTCCATTCCAAAACCAAAGCGTTCCAAAACCAAGGCGTGCTTTCCCATAGAAAGTAATGCAAAATGAATTAATCCGTTCCAGACTTTTAAAAACAACCCCTAAAACAGCAATTTAACATGAATTTTACTATCTAATGAGACCACTGATCCATAAAATGAAAGCAATAAACAAGGCACTGTAGTGACACAATCAATCAGTAGCTAAACTGAGTTCCACACAGTCACAGAAACAAAACAAAAAGAGCCACAAAAACAAAAACGCAAAATAAATAGCAAAAACAGACAGACCTCAGCATAACACTCAAAATGGAAGTGTGGCACTCAAAACGGAAGCGTAACGCTCAAAACGGAGCACGTTTGGCTTCCGAGAAAGGTTTGCAAACCGAAATACTTACTTCCGGGTTTGCGGTGTTTGGGTTCCAAGTTGTTTGAGTACTAAGGCGTTTGAGAACCAAGGTACCACTGTATAGCACTCTTAGTCTGGTTATATTTCCCTTCTTCGGTGAGGTAGGCCGTTGCTATTGTGGGGAGAACCGAAACGAAGAGGTCATCTGTGGCAGCTTCGGGTGCTCTTTCCGTGGTCCAAAGATTAAGCCAACGCACCAACATTATTATTCCTCCTCCTCTAATTCAACACCATTCCGTTAACTCTTCCTGTTTTGTTTTTGAAGAAGTCGCTTTCTTATTAAGCTTATTTTCTGATGGCCTTTGTTGACAGGACATCCATAGCCATGAAGCCGGAGGGGAAACAGAGTGGCACACAGCTTTTACTTCTGGTTCCCGTTTGAAAGACGGAAAAGCGGAAGGGGATAGCAAAGCCATGGCATCCTAACGCCTTCCATTAAAAAGATGTTAGGCTAGCAGGTAATGGGAGCAGCTAGGGCATGGGAGCTCAGTTGATGGAGCATCTTCTTTGCATCCAGAAGGTCGCCAGTTCAATCCCTGGCATCTCTAGGTACGGCTGGGAATGTTCCAGGAACCTTGGAGACCTGCTGCCAATCAGTGTAGACAGTACTGACCAATGGTCAAACTCTGTTTGCGGCAGCTTTCTTTGCTCCTATGAAAAAGACCAATGCCTGACTCCCTAAATATCCAGTACTGGTCAAGGCAAACATGATTGTGCTAGACGATAGGCCTGACTTGCTGTAGGCAGTCATCTACATTCCTGTATTGCAGGGAGGGAAATATGAAGCAACCTCCTACATAGGATTTGCCTACAGATATTTGCCAGGGACCCTTCCCATAGGTATATGCATAATCTACTTATTTGTAGGGTGCCAAGAACTGGTCAGTCCTCTAGAATCATAAAACTGGAACGGACTACAAGGATCGTCTGGTCCAACCCCTGGCAGTGCAGGAATAATAATAATAATTTATTATTTATACCCCGACCATCTGGCTGGGTTTCCCCAGCCACTCTGGACGGCTTCAAACAGAACACTAAAATACAATAACCTATTAAACATTAAAAGCTTCCCTAAACAGGGCTGCCTTCAGATGTCTTCTAAAAGTTTGGTAGTTATTTTTCTCTTTGACATCTGGTGCGAGGGCGTTCCACAGGGCGGGTGCCACTACTGAGAAGGCCCTCTGCCTGATTCCCTGTAACTTGGCTTCTTGCAGCGAGGGAACTGCCAGAAGGCCCTCGGTGCTGGACCTCAGTGTCCGGGCAGAACGATGGAGGTAGAGACACTCCTTCAGGAATCTTTCGAACCCACAGTCCTGAGATTAAGGATCTTGTGTTCTACCAACCGAGCTATCCCTCAGGTCTCTGTGTACCCATTTGATCTCTTTGGCTCATGTTCAGTATTGGGTGATTTTGTTAATCCAGAGAAAGCAAAAATTGGGCACTGCTAGATTCACGTGGTCGTTTTCTACCCGCAATAGTTTTCTACCCTCAACAACTTCCACGAAACTGAAGTATACAGGGGTATTTTTTTCCACCCAAGCCTATTCAAATGTGTCTCAGGGTGATAAAATGTCTCGGAACAAAGCCATGTGAGTTGTGTGTAAGGAGAAAGGCACCTATTTGCTGGCCTGGTTTGGGATTTCCTTGAAAAAAATACGACGGACACTGTTTGTTAAACCCCAACAGCAAAAAACAATAGGTGTCCTAAGTGTTTTTCATTTACAGAACAGAAATGGTAAATGATAAGTGACTGAAATTTGGGGACAGGGCTTACTCCTGGCACAGGTGACAACAATTTAGAAGTACGGCGTGGATCAGCTTCTGTGTAATTTCTAACCAGAGCGTAAGCCTCGGGTGGATTTCAACTCCATTTTCAAACCTGGCATTTAGAGCTGGGTATTTAGGATTTTCCTAGTGATCTGAACCACTGGCCTCCAGTGCCTGACTCTACATAAGCTGCCAGGCCCTGTCCACTATAAACAGGTGTTTTTAAAAGCCAGCATTGATGATCTTAATCACTTTCTCATACAGATGCTAGCAGCGACCCAAACCTCAAATCACTGGCTCCCCCTGCTGGCTTGAACAATATAACACTACTCAAATGTTATTTATATTCCCTTATTCCCCTTTCGCATCCCCCAATTCTCACCCCTTTTTTAAAAAAACAACAACCAACCAAACTTTATTTATTCAAACGTTTGTATAGAAAAGAACTGAAATGTATGCGTGATTAAAACATATTTGAATGCACTGGGTTATTTTAATTTTGCACCCTAATCTCACTTCCACACCCCCTCGGGGGGCGGGGATCCTCAAAACCTATTGCACATTTTATTATTGAAATAGTTCAAGAGGAAAAAAGCAAGACACCACCATTCTATATTTCAGTTGACACAAAAGTCGAAAAATTTCCAAATGCTTCTTTTTATCCATTAAACAAATATCTATCTATATACAAAACAACAACAACATGAATCTCATACGGCGAAAACTAAAATATCCAGAACTTAAAAAAAAAAAAAATGCATACAAATATAGAGAGGACGATTTAGACTCAGTAGGCAAAAATATACAGTTCAAGTTTAACTGAAACAAAGTCTGGAGAAGAGAAACGCTTCATGCAGAGAATAATCTCAGATCTCAGAGAATAATCTCAGATCTTAAGGCACGCTTAAACCCAAATTGGTGGAAGACCTGTGGTCAATTCTCCTAACAACATTTTCTTTACTTCACAGTGGCTGCGGAAGAGCTAGTGCTTTCAGCAGGAAAGCCACTATTTATTTCCTCAGCTGAAATATCTGCCATCTTCCCCCCACCCCACCATGCCGCTTCCTATATGGAAAGTGGGACAGGTATATTGAGTTTGACCAGGAAAACAACACAGGGGAAAGTTTGATCATCACCTCTCCCAGCTCAGTCATATTAAGACTGAATGGCCCAGATCTCACTGCAGCTAACTAGCAGTAGCCTGGTGGAACAGGGGTTGCAGAGAGGGAGGGAGGCCATGGCAGGGCCCAAGATGGGAGGAGGAGGCAAGACAGACCCACCTGAGCAGGGGAAGGGACCAATTCTGTTCCAGCCAGAATCCCCTGCACAGGTTAATCTAGGAAGAGGCAACTGGAAATGGATTGGCAAGGCTTGCCAACTCCCAACTCTTTCACAAGAGGAACCATAAAAGGGTTCTCCAGAAAGCCGGCTGGGCCACTCACACAAAAGGAGAAGGTGTGGAGGTCTCAGTTCAACAGCTACTAGATCACGGCTAGACTTCTTAAAGGGTGTCAGAGGACGTTCCTGCGACAGACTAACCCAGCGATGAAGTGGCAGAGAGGCAGGAAAATAGAATTGGGAAGAAAGGCACACATAAGAACAGGAGGAAGGAAGAGCGAAGGAAGATTTCCCGGGCCAGCCCAGGACATTTGTTGCCTGAAGCAAAGATGATTCCCCACTAGCAACCCCCGATTTCATGCACAGAATCTAGCCAGACTGGCTGTTGAACCTCGTTTCAACTCTGGCAATCGGACAGCACTTTCCCACTGCACACCTAAAAAGGAGCAGGCTTGTTTTAGGGGGTGCAGGGCAGTCTGTGGGGGCATGCACACAGCTCTCTTCTCCAATGCTTTAACACCCTCGGCATCTGCTTCCTGAGGCAGCCGCCTCCCTCTGCCTAACAGTAGGGCCAGTCCTAAGGCTGAAAAGCCAGCAGGCACCCCTACCAGACAGCTCAAACTGGGATACATGACCCAAAGATCTGGCTCAGTTATACGGAAGCTTCTTCTATTGTTCTCTTCAGATAGACTCTGCCACCGCGAAGCTCAAGAGCAGCGCAGATCAGGTAAAGAGGGTGGAATCTGAGGCTCGGAGCGTTTTACCACCTATCAATCACAGTGCAATACACATGTCAGTAGTCAGGACCCGCCTTGTGCTTTGAAGGCCCAGAATTCAGGACCTGCCCATCTGCTTGGCATCTTCCAAGCTCATTCATTCTCTTCCTCGGGAAGGCAAAAGGCCACAATATCCCTACAGAGGGCAGCCTCTACAGTCAGAGAGGTCCTTCCTACAGCCAGGAGTTTCCCCTATGTGACACACATCATCCATCCGGTTGCCATGGACACCATTAATACCCACCCCCAGGACACAGCAGTCCCTGCTGCCGCCACAGGCTTCCTAAGGACCTCAGGAGGGGACGCTCTTGGCTTCACAGTAAGAGCAGGGGGCGCCGACGCAACTTGGCACCGATACTTCTGCCCAAGAAGGTTGGTGACCACCAGCCTGGCTTGCTGCGAGCAACAGTCCGAGGTGTAAGCGACGGACTCTGCCAGCCCGTCAGCGTGGTGAGCGACCACGGCGCCCCCTTCCACATGCACCGAGCGGACGCCAGCTTTGTCCCAGATCCGCAAGGTGGCCGTCCAACGCTGGTCGTGGCAAGGGGTCCGTGGTGGGCCACAGAACCCGCCGACAGAAGTGACGTTGCAGACTGGGGAGGAGACTGGGTTCTGCACCTGCGGGCGAAGAGGAGCTTCCTGTTACAGGATATCCAGAAACGAGGTGGTCGGATATAGGGTCTGGTAACCAAGCCTGATGAGGAACAGTTGAGGCAGCTGAATATGTTTAGCTGAGCTAAGAGGAGACTGGATAGCCATCTTCAAATATCTTAAAGGCTGCCACATGGAAGATGGAGCTAGCTTGTTTTCTTTTTTGTGTTTATTATTATTATTATTATTATTAAAAATCTATTTTTGACAAAGAGAGCGGTCTGATTGGTTGTCTCTTAAAGATTCTATCGCATACACAGGATCATGGGTTTGGAAGCGACTGTCCTCCCCAAACTTGTAACGCTATGACCCATGAGTACTTCCTTGCTCTGTTTGACAAGCCTGCGTCCTTCTGATGGTTTTGAAGCAAACCATGCGTATGGGACCTGTGCAGATATCTGTCGGACTACAATTCCCACCATCCACTGGCCATGCTGACCGGGGCTGATGGGATTTCGAGTCCAGCATCGGGGAACACCCCCCCCCACAGGTTCCCCATCCCAATATATAAACAAAGAATAACTCCAAGAATTCTCCCATGGGCACCCTGCTCCCCAGTTTTCTTCTCCCACAAGACTCACCAGAGGTAGAGGCATCACAAGCAGCTGTAGATGGGCAAAGCTAGGATCCCCAGATGGGTGAAGGAGGCTGGCCTGCAGCGTCAGGGTGATCACAGAGCCAGGATCAGCGGCATCAGGTACATTCAAGGTAATGAGTCCAGTTGCTGTTTGGTTAAAGTCCAATTGTAGCCTGCAGAAAAGGGGAGTGGAAGTTGTTAGGTTTCTGTTTGTGCCACTGGTGCAGTGCTTGGAGTCACAAGACTCTGTTTACATTCCAGGGATTCTAGACTGTTGGAAGTCTCACGGGAGACGGATGTTTATATTACTGGTTTCCTGTTCCTCTGTTTCGGTTGCCTCTCTGCTCTCACAGAGAGAGGATGTATTTTCTTTTCTGTCTGCGTAGTTAGAAATAAAACTCTTCGCAATGTAGCTCATATTTCTCATCCTTCCCTGCTGCTGTATACTCTGCGTAATGGGGGAACGTGCCTGGAGCTTCATCAAACGCTCAGGTCATTAATCACGTTGGAAGACTCGACAGGAGGAATAGTTCGGTTGAACGCAAGTCCGACAGAAGTTAATATTTAAGAAATGGATGGGTGACCTAAACATTATCAAGCAGCTTCAGTATTTTATCTAGCTGTTTAAAACATGTATAGACTGTATTTCATATAAAACCAGGAGTTTGCAAGGTAAGAACATGGGTAGGCAAACTAAGGCCTGAGGGCCAGATCTGGCCCAATCGCCTTCTAAATCTGGCCCATGGACGGTCCGGTAATCAGCATGTTTTTACATGAGTAGAATGTGTGCTTTTATTTAAAATACATCTATGGATTATTTGTGGGGCATAGGAATTCATTCATTCCCCCCCACCCCAAAAAATATATAGTCCAGCCCCCCCACAAGGTCTAGGGACAGTGGACCGGCCCCCTGCTGAAAAAGTTTGCTGACCCCTGGGTAAGATCAATACAATATGGTATGACCAGCAACAAAACTGCCTCCACCGCTAATCAGAGACGCAACACCCCTAATTTCTTTCCCCTCTAAACATGAGGAGGTAGGGGACAAAGACCCGCACAGAGGCCTAAACCCACATCACCCAGCTTTTAAAAACATTCTCACGTGCACAGGCTCCAAGAAAGTTCGCAGCCTTAGGATCTCAAAACATTTCTTATTTTGGAACGGAAATTGAGTTTTTAGGAAGTTGCATTCTGCGCAGTGCAATAGTGGAATGCGCACAAGCCCTGCCTTTGGAATGTGGGGCAGGGCATAAATGACTAGAACACACCCAGTTACAATGCTAGGAACTGGTGTCTTCCATGGTTGCTCATTCATCAGAATTACCTGGAGCTGGAGATGTTGACCGGGAACCCAGGAACGCTGCTTACCCTCAGATCATACTGCTTGGGTGAGCCGGGATTTGTCACCTTCCAGGCAATGGTAACAGGTCTCCCTGGGAACACCGGAGCGTCTGTGCTCAGCTGGAACAAAGCAGGGTGTAGGTTAGAGCTCCCTAAAGGAAGGCATGCGCAAATGCTCAGGCGCATATTTGCAGTTAGGTTTGCACAGATGCGGGTGGCACTGTGGGTTAAACCACAGAGCCTAGGACTTGCCAATCAGAAGGTCGGCGGTTCGAATCCCCGTGACGGGGTGAGGTCCCGTTGCTCGGTCCCTGCCAACCTAGCAGTTCGAAAGCACATCAAAGTGCAAGTAGATAAATAGGTACTGCTCCGGCGGGAAGGTAAACGGCGTTTCCGTGCGCTGCTCTGGTTCTCCAGAAGCGGCTTAGTCATGCTGGTCACATGACCTGGAAGCTGTACGCCGGCTCCCTCGGCCAATAAAGCGAGATGAGCACCGCAACACCAGAGTCGGTCACGACTGGACCTAATGGTCAGGGGTCCCTTTAGCTTTACTTGCACAGACCAAAAAAGCATGACGGTGTGCCCCTTGATTTATTTTTTAAAATGTCATTAAAAAAAGCAGTTTACAGCCATAAAACCTTACAATAAAAAACAGCAAAATGTTAAGAGCAGGTTACAATTAACCCTTGGCAGAAAAGTATTTTTCTAATTGCCTGCACAGGCCTGGCAGAATGGCATTTTTCTTCCAGCAGGCATTTAACATCTGGTACAGAAGGCACCTGCTGAATCTCCCACAGGACTGGGCCAGTGGCAGCCTCTTTCTTCTTATTATTCTTTTTTGTGTGACAAATTAATAATCATAAATAAATAAGAATAAACATGTGCACCCCACCACTGAGACCATTCCATTGTAACTATCCAACCTCCCAAAATTTCAACACCTCTTGCAGTGGTTTGACCCCTTTCCATTTTAACAGTACAAATTCTCCTCAAAATCATTTCTTCTGCATATTCCGCAATCTTACCTTAATGGCACTTATTAATTTATCATTAATAGCTATATCCCACACCTCTTTATACCATTCTTCCATTTTATATTCCGCTTGCCCCTTCCACTTCCTGGCTATAAAAATGCATGCAGCTGTCAAACTTGTGAGCAAGTCCTTCATAGCCTGCAAACCTTCCACCCCATCGAAAATTGAAAATAATGCTACCTCTGGGCTTTTGGTCAGCTTTAACCCAGCGATTTCTGTTATCTCCTTAAACACCCTTTGCCAGAAAAATTGCACATATTTACACACCCCCACATGTGAACATAATTCCCTGTTTCTTGGCATACAATTGCAGTTTCTGCTTTACAGGGAGTCGGACTAGATGACTAGATGACTAGTCCCTCCCAACTCTTACAATTCTATGATTCTATGTTTATTTAAACTGCAGGTAGTTCAATTAAACTGTACTAAAAAGTTTTGTGAGTCCATTTTTTTAATAAAAAAAAACCCTCATATTTTTGTCTACCCCCTCAGTGATGACACCTGGGGCATCCCACACTCACCACACACCCCCTTCCTCCACCACAGCAGCTTCCCCAAGTCGAGACGTATGGTTCTCTTCTTTGCTTCCCTGCCTTACCTCCAGCAGGGATGCCTCAACTGTGGTCGCCTGAGGGGCAGCCCTCTCCACCTTCCGGCCGTCTCCATCCTGAGCACGCAGCACTACAGAGAAGCTGCTGTCGGTCATCAGGGTGGGAGGCAGCTTGGCCACGAGCAGGTCCGTCCGGTTGGCTCCTCCTTCCAGTTTCAGCTCCTTGAGGCTGCCTCCCCTCTCCTCCAGGTTCACAGCTTTCAGCTGAACCGAGCTGGCTTCAGGGGACCGCTTCAAACCAGTCGCCATAACGACCAGGTAAGTGGGCAGGCCTGTTGAAAGGAAAGGCAAAAAGCTCAATGCAGAACTGGCAAAAACGACAGATAGATTAAGAGAAAAAGACAACAGCGACTTTGAAAAAGAATGGGAACCATTAACAGTGGTACCTCAGGTTAAGTGCTTAATTCGTTCCAGAGGTCCGTTCTTAACCTGAAACTGTTCTTAACCTGAGGTATCACTTTAGCTCATGGGGCCTCCTGCTGCCACCGTGCCGCCAGAGCACGATTTCTGTTCTCATCCTGAAGCACAGTTCTTAACCTGAAGCACTATTTCTGGGTTAGCGGAGTCTGCAACCTGAAGTGTATGTAACCTGAAGCGTATGTAACCCAAGGTACCACTGTATATTATATTTGCAGAAACAAAGAAAGTCAATAGACTTGATGGCAGGATTGAAATAAACATTCACATTATTAGTATTAGAAAATAGTGAAATATTACGGTGTGTATTTACATTTATTTTTATGTTTTTAGGCTTGATGTTATGTTATTAATAACTTTTTCTGTTAGGAGATAGCAAAGTGGGTGAAAAGAGAAACAAACCAGAAGCGGAAGTTGGGGGAAGCCCTGGAGGGGAGGGAGAGAGGAATATATAGTAAATGTTAAGAATTTTGAGATGTATGTAATGAATGAAAAAGAAAAATGAATAAAAAAAATTAAAAAGAAAAAGAAATGAAAGGCAAAAGCTCATTGGACCACGCCTGTTGCTGGGAGAGTACAGGACGGAAGAGTAGGGACGCGGGTGGCGCTGCGGTCTAAACCAATGAGCCTCTTGGGCATGACGATCAGAAGGTCGGCAGTTTGAATCCCCACAACAGAGTGAGCTCCCATTGCTCTCTCCCAGCTCCTGCCAACCTGGCAGTTTGAAAGCACACCAGTGCAAGTAGATAAATAGGTACAACTGTGGCGGGAAGGTAAACGGCATTTTTGTGCGCTCTGGTTTCTGTCAGGGTGTCCCGTTGTGCCAGAAGTGGTTTTGTCATGCTGGCCACATGACCTGGAAAGCTGTCTGCGGAAAAACGCCGGCTCCCTCAGCTTGAAAGCAAGATGTGTGCTCCAACCCCATAGTTTCCTTTGACTGGACTTCCCCTTGGGGGCATCTTGACGGGACAAGGTGAGAACAGGATGCCTGCCTCGATGGGCCACTGGTCAAATCCAGCAGAGCTATTCTTGTATTTTTTGTTTTCATCCAATCCCAAAGATGCTAAGTGTGCCTGCTTATTAGCATGGCAACTGGAAGTATCCAAGCCTGCGATTAGGCTAGAAATTGGCAGCAAGCAATAATGTCTGAGGAAACAGGTGAGGCCAAGGTGTGGAATGGAACCAACAGAGGGATTGTTTTGTATCTGACTGCCAAAGAATATCGGACAGTTAATAGAGACAAAGGCTTGGGGGTGGGGGGAAGTATTTTCCAAAAACCAACATTATGAAAAAGCAGAACATATTAAATTGAAATTCTACGGAGAGCACAGATGAAAAGCTAAACAAAAAATTATGAAAAGACAAATGTTTTGCGTTTTGCCAATCAATTTTTTAAAAGACAGGTGAAATCTTTTAAATGTCTAGGTTTGAGCTATAAAAACTCCGTCTTCTAAAAATACACATCCCACAAATGGTTTCCATATTATATCTTGGTGTTCTCCCATGAATAAACTCAGTATTGGGGTTTTTAAAATTTTTAAAAATTCCTTTCTAAAATCATGAAAAATTTGATTGCTTAAATTGGGTCACTTTTCCCACAGGCCCACCACATACATTTAAATGATCCCTTAATGGTTCATTCTTTCCAACACACTGGTGAACTTGTTTTTTCTGAATATATGATACTCTCAGTGGCATGAAGTACACATTTTGTGCAGATTTTATTGATGTTTCTTACAGCTGGGTGGAAGTAGACCCATAGGGAAATTTGCCCCATGAAGAAGACCACTTGTTGCTCCTCAGTGTCTAATTCCCAGTCCACTTCCTATGGTATTTTAAGACTGGATAATGACAAGGACTTTTTAATTTTTTAAAAAAATCACTGTCACTCCCCAGTGCACCCCCCTTGCTGCTGCCGCACAGCTGTACAAAAACTAACACCGAGCCACTGAAGGAGAAAGATTCCATACATACCTTGCACAGGGGAACTATCCATCATAAAAAGCCCAGGGTGGCGTCCGTCCTTTGGAACCGCAAAGTAATACAGGAAGTCAAAGGTGCTCTGACCTGTCAACAAATACAAGCGTTTTTTCACGGAAATTCTCAGGTGTAAAAAAAAAGGGGGGGTTATTTATGTGTTTTGTTAGCCCAAAAATGGAAAACGAGCAAAGTCCCAACTTAAGAAGAATGGCAACTTAAACTGATGGAATATGTGCAGCTTGCAGACCTAACATAAAGAAGAAGAGAACAAGAAGAACATACGTTTAAAGAAGATTGGGAAATGTTTATTGAATGTATGGGGGGAAATTGTGTACACTTGAAAACTTTGGCAGTGTTAAGATAAATTCAACGGCGTCAACAAGTTTTGATGGATGTAATAATGGAACAGTGAATGGTTTAGTTTATGGAAAATATGCAGGGATTTTTGATATGCAAAATGAACCATGGAAAGAGAAGAAGGGAAGTCACTGATATTTTAAGGTTGTTTAAATTAATACTCTAAATTGTAAAACAGAAATAGATAGATGATAGATAGATAGATAGATAGATAGATAGATGTAGAGAGATAGAGAAATAGATACAGAATTTCAGTAAGAACAAGAATAAAATAAACTTCCCTGGAGAGAGCATTCCACAGACGGGGAGCCACTGCAGAGAAGGCCCTGCTCTCGTGTTGCCACCCTCTGGGCCTCACTAGAAATCATTTGCTCTAGAGAACAGAGTTTCACCGTGTCGGGGCAATCGTTTGCTCAAAGATCCAAAAAATATGGCCACTGTTTTAGGCCAATAATAGATCCGATGCAACTGGCACTCCCTAGCGCCTCCAGGTGTGTGCAAGATCATGCAGAGGAAAAATGGAGCTCAGCATTGTGGCCTCACTTATCCCAGCACTTCAGTTTAGCCTTTCCTCACCTTGGACGTGCACAGAGTAGTGGCCTTGCGACTGAAGTGTCAGCGTCCATTTACCAGCATGGAGAGGGGGAGAAAGGACTGCTCTGTAGATGCTGCCAATGGACTGGATCTTGGCCAATGGACCGCTGGCTGATGAAGAAGCCTGTCTTACACCTGCATGGAAGGTCACAAGGGGAACATAATCTGGGTTAAACGTTATTCCCTTAAAATTGGCTGGACTGGATAAACGCTTCGAGGTGGGAGCTTAGAACTGCAAATGGGTCCATTCATCATCATCATCATTTATACCCCACCCATCTGGTTGGGTTTCCCGTCACTCTGGGTGGTTCCCAACATAAGAAAAACATGATAAAAACTTCCCTAAACAGGGCTGCCTTCAGATGGGTAGTTGGTAGTGACCTTTAAAGCCCTAAACAGCCTCGGCTCAGTATACCTGAAGGAGCATCTCCACCCCCATCATTCAGCCTGGACACTGAGGTCCCGCTCCGAGGGCCTTCTGGCAGTTCCCTCACTGTGAGAAGCGAAGTTACAGGGAAGCAGGCAGAGGGCCTTCTCAGTAGTGGTGCCTGCCCTGTGGAATGCCCTCCCACCAGATGTCAAGGAAATAAACAACTATCTGACTTTTAAAAGACATCTGAAGGCAGCCCTGTTCAGGGAAGTTTTTAATGTTTGATATTTTATTGTGTTTTGAATATTCTGCCGGGAGCCGCCCAGAGTGGCTGGGGAGGCCCGGCTAGATGGGTGGGGTATAAATAATAAATTATTATATTATTATTATTATAGTTGTTTATTTCCTAGGCCAATAATAGATCCGATGCAACTGGCACTCCCTCAGAACTGGACCTCAGTGTCCCAGCAGAACAATTCAGTAATTGCAAATGGCCCATTCGCAACAGGTTATTTCTAATTTATCGGATTTTCTGCCAGGAGATTAAGTCAAGATTAAATGGAAAGGGGATGATACATGCTGGTGTTCTGATGCCAATGAAGTAGTGTGGGCACTGTGATAAACTTGCACTGCAAGAGAAGGTCTGTTCCCACCAGAAATACCTGCCTGGAATTCCCCTGTGACTAAGAGCCCATCCACAGGTCCCTGCCATTCAAGCCATGGCTTTTGTTTTTGTCTCGCTGCTTTCCCCTGGGAAAATCTACCGTTTACAGCTGAATCAGAGCAAACATTAATCCACAGAAAAACTTGATTGCCGTTTGTTCCGATTCAGCAGTAAACTAGGGGCTTTTTTCCTGGGGAAAGTGGCATGGCAAAAGAATGCAAAGTCTTGGAGCTGTGACTTGAAATCACAGGATAAACGGCAGTGTGGCTTGGCTCTAACATAACCTGATTTCTTACCCTCTGCACAGCACCTAAAACATAAAGCAAGTAGAACCCAAAGCACAGAGGAAACCAGGGTGGATAAAAACAAACTAACGAATAATTTAAAAATCAGATTTTTTAAATTTCAATCGGGGGTTTTTATTTAAATTGGATTTTTAAAATAAAATGCTTTTGGAGGAAAAATCTTTCTAAAGATAGTTTTCTATTTAAGTATTCATCAGGAAACAAAGATTTGTTTTAAGTTTTTCATGTGTGCTAAAACTCAGTCTAAGTTTTTGTTTTTTTAATTGTTTAACCACATCAGTTAACAAACACGGATACATATGCTACAATGTTATTGTTTTAGTTAAATAAATTGTTTAAAAGTTTATTAAGGAAATGATTGTTTTTTCTCCTTCCAATAAAGTACAGCAGAAAAGCTGCCCAAGTTAACTTATTAAACCTCACAATAATTTCATAATTATCTGTCTATGCATTTCCAATAGTATAACCTAATCAGTAATTTTTTATATAACTGTAAAAACTACTCTGAAAATTTATTATTCCAAAAATTGAAACCTTCATCTGGTTGTAAATATTAAGATTATACCTGCAAAAATGAGTTTGTCTGTTAAAAAAATGATTTAAATCAAGTCTTACTGTCTAGTGATTTAAACCATGATTTAAATTGATTTGATTTTAATCAAATCCACCCTGAGAGAGCAGACAGGTGCCATTGAAAAGCCACAGATCGTGTTACCTGCAGGGTTCTGCATCTCAAAGGCCCGAATGCCCCCCTGAATGGTCAAGACCACTTTGTCCACCAAGCTGTCAATCCAGAAGGTGTGATCCTCCACCTGCGCCGCTTCCTTTCTCCTCCTCCGCTGCGACCCCTTAGGGCTGAAGATATTCCCTTTCTGGTGGCGGAAGAGGGTCACCTGGAAAGAGTGAAGCGACGGGGGAAACATGTGAAAAAACGTGTGGTTTGAAGCAGAATGTGTGTTTTTCTGAATGCACAGCAACTTGAAGGCAGAATCTTTCACAATGGTTTTTTAAAAATAATTATGAAAATGTTGTTTAAGCCATCACATCGTAGGCCAGGCATAGGCAAACGTGGCCCTCCAGATGTTTTGGGACTACAACTCCCATCATCCCTAGCTAACAGGACCAGTGGTCAGGGATGATGGGAGTTGTAGTCCCAAAACATCTGGAGGGCCACGTTTGCCTATGCCTGTCATAGGATCAGGTTGGTCATCTCTCTCAAACGACAACAAAATCAGGGGCACGATTCAGCTAACAAAGCCCCACCAGCAGAAGCCTGCACAAACACTTCCGCTAGCACAGTGGGGCTTCCCCTGCTCTTTCCACCCCCCATAGAGGGCTGGGAGATGGGTCAGGAAAACCCCAAACAGAGGGGGAGGGGAGGGAGGAGAGGGCAGGCTGTTCCATCAGGCAAGCAGAAAGGCTTGCACTGATGATTGGTGTAGCACTACGTAGACTGGGATAGCTCAGTCGGCAGAGCATGAGACTCTGAATCTCGGGGTTTGTGAGTTCGAGCCCCACATCGGGCAAAAGATTCTTGCATTGCAGGGGGTTGGACTAGATGACTCTCGTGGTCCCTTCCAACTCTATGATTCTTTGCTATATTCCTTCCCGAGGGTTGCAACTTTTAGCTGATCAGTTTAAGTCAGGAGTCAGCAAGCTTTTTCAGCCGTGGGCCAGTCCCCATTCCTCAGACCATGTGGTGGGCCAGACAATATTTTTTTTTTGGTGGGGGGATGAATGAATTCCTATGCCCCACAAATAACCCAGAGATGCATTTTAAATAAAAGCACACATTCTACTCATGTAAAAGCCATCCGTGGGCCAGATTGAGAAGGCGATTGGCCCGCATCCGGCCCCTGGGCCTTAGGTTGCCTACCCCTAGTTTAAGTAAACCAATTAAAAACATTTTTTTATAAACTCGAAAAGCGTCCTAATGAATAGGCCAGTGGGTTTTATTTTACAATGTTTAAACGAGTACAGTGGTACCTCGGGTTAAGTACTTAATTCGTTCCGGAGGTCCGTTCTTAACCTGAAACTGTTCTTAACCTGAAGCACCACTTTAGCTAATGGGGCCTCCCGCTGCTGCTGCCACGCCGCCAGAGCACGATTTCTGTTCTCATCCTGAAGCCAAGTTCTTAACTTGAAGCACTATTTCTGCGTTAGTGGAGTCTGAAACCTGAAGCGTATGTAACCTGAGGTACCACTGTACTTAAAAATAAGCATTCCCTCCTATTTCCCCCTCTCCACCCCCATTACCGAAGATGCGCTGGATTCACCGATGATTTCCGACACCCGCTGGATGTTCTCGTTGTCCGTAAATATGATCTGGCCGCCGGAGCTGTGAGCTAGGCTGATGTAGAGGTTGAATCGGTCTGGGGAAAGTGTTTCCCTTTTCACCCGGGTTCTGGAGGGATCTTCTGTTATTAGGAAGGTCACCTGACGTCAAGTGGAAGGGGGGGGGAGCAGCTTTATATTGGGGGCAGCGCGGACAGATGGTTTCATTGTGTTATTACACAGCCCATTTCGCCCTGGATTTTTACAGAACCGTAACAAAAATTACGCGGTTAGCACTGTGGGTTAAACCACAGAGCCTAGGACTTGCCGATCAGAAGGTCGGCGGTTCAAATCCCCGCGATGGGATGAGCTCCCATTGCTCAGTCCCTGCTCCTGCCAACCTAGCAGTTTGAAAGCACGTCAAAGTGCAAGTAGATCAATAGGTACCACTCCGGTGGGAAGGTAAACGGCGTTTTCGTGCGCTGCTCTGGTTCGCCAGAAGCGGCTTAGTCATGCTGGCCCCATGACCTGGAAGCTGTACGCTGGCTCCCTCGGCCAATAAAGCGAGATGAGCACCGCAACCCCAGAGTCGGTCACAACTGGACCTAATGGTCAGGGGTCCCTTTACCTTTAACAAAAATTCAGATCCCTTATCAGTGTTTTTCAAAATCGAGCATCATGAAAAGCAAACAGCCCAGCCCACCTTGCATTTCTGTTCCTGGATGAGGGCTTCCACGCTGTTCTTCAGGTGTGCATCTTTAGCGGATGCATCAGTAAAGACGAAGATCTCGGAGTACGGCGGCGAGTTCTGGAGGGCAAGCTGGAGAAGCGGACAAGGACAGGTGAGATTCCTATCTGTTGAACCAAGGACAGCATTCACCTCCTTGGCGATAAATAACAGCCAAAGAAAAACCCTGGAAGAGCTTATGGCTGGTTGCTTTGGCTCCAAACAGGCTCTCCGTTTTGTAGGTTCAAGACTATCAAGTACAGGAGTTCTCCTCACTCTTCTGGTAGCTCACCAATAAGAATTAACGAGCATTTGGTAGATGGATAGTCCTTTTATTACAGCATTATGTTGCAAGCACAAACAGGCAACCCTCCGCAAGGATATCAGTTGCCTACTCAGATTCCTCCCCACTTCCGCAGCAAGAAGCGTGCCAATGGGAAGTTCCTGTCGACATGCAGAGGGCTGGGAGGCCAGCTGGCAAGCCCCAGCTGTGCCGTCTCCATCCGTCGGCCCGTGCTTTGACGTAAATCAGCAACCCAGACTTCAAAAGCCAGGGCACGCTATCAGCAGAGTGTACTACAGAATAGGCGTGAGGCTTGTGAAGTCATACTATAACTACAGATTTATTAATCATAAATCAGGACAAAGAAGCATGTCGTCTCTCTCTCATGTCGTCTCAGAGAGAACGGGAAAAACAAAAGCTATACACAAACGGAAGTTCCCAGCATACTGTGCCGGAATGTAAACAGACATGTGACATGCAACAATTCCACATGTCTGTTCCTTAAGGTGGAACAGAATTTTCAGCAGTCCCCCCCCCCCATGTCTCCTTTGTTCTGTGACACGCTTGGACCTCCGAGTTCGGAGGGAGGGAAGGGTCCCCTTCACTCTCAACTGATGTATTGCCCAGCTGCTCCCTCCCTTCTGGTTGCTTAGCTACTATCTCACAGCTGGGAAGCTCCTCTCTCAACTGTGCAGCTTCTGTGTCTGCCCATTTCTCTGCTTCTGGAAATGCTGGACTCCGGGGGGGGGGGGGAATATTCCCCCTCCTCTTCTTTTAGGAGCTGCGATTGCATCTTCCGATCCAGACCAGCCCCTGACAAAGACAAGCACTTACATATTACAAATTAATTATGTGCAAGTGCCCCTTTAAATCCTCTTCTTTAGGAAAATGCCCTAAACTTCTATCTCCTTACAGTTATGACATTCACATGAAGCAGATCAGCCAGAGAAGGTTGACTTCGCCAGATTAAAACTAAAAAAAAAATGGGCATGTCTGTCATGGTCCGGTTCACGGGCGATCAAAGTCCCGGCTGGGGACGTCGGGACGGGGGGCAAGATGGTGGGGTGGGAGCAGGAACGGGAGTCCAGAAGCCAGGAGTCAGAAAGCCAAGAGCCTGAGGAGCAGGAAGCAAGGAGTCACGAAGTCAGGGGTCCGAGGATCAAAGAGCAAGAAGCAAGGAGTCAAGGAGTCAAACGCAGCAAGGCAGGGAACGTGTTGCTGTAGCAAAGAGCCAAAGGGAAAATGCTGACCTTATATCCTTTCCCGGCTCTTGCGTCCAGATGCTGTGAGTTACCAATCGGCCTCACCTGTGCGGCCGTGCCTTGCCTCTTCAGAACAAACTTAGGACGGCCCCAGTCCTGCAGAGTCCTATGGGTCACAGGGCCTGGCTCCTGCACGCACACCTGACAATGTCCTCCTCTTTATATGACCCCCTAAATCCTCCTCATTCTCTCTCATGGTGTGGCTTGGCTCTGGTCCTAAGAATCACTTCTCTGACCATTCGCCACTGCCAGGCACGTTAGCTCTGCACATGCAGTAAGGCTTTGATATAGAGACATAAGAACATCAGAAGAGCATGCTGGATCAGGCCAAGGGCCCGTCGAGTCCAGCATCCTGTTCTCATAGTGGCCAACCAGATGCCCTCAGGATTCGAGCCCAAGAGCGTTCTTGCCCCTCGCTGTTTCCAGAAACAAGCAGAGACGTAGAATTCTCCTTAGAGTATCAAGGTGGTACAATTCCTTTGAGGTTGCAAGTTCACGAAGAGGATTGCAGAATAAACATTTATCCCGGCAGCATTTATCTTACAGTACAGAGATCTAGAAAATGACACAGACCTTAAAGATATCGCATGGATACTAACCTGAAGCGCAGAAAGGCACATTTCTGGCTCGTCTCCGCCTTTCAGAGGGCTAATGGTGTTGAGGATTTTCCAGAACTCATCCGGGTCGCTGGTCTTATGGACAGGGCCAAACTCTGGAGGGATGAGAGAGAGAGAGAGAGAGAGAAAGAGAAAGAGAAAGAGAAAGAGAAAGAGAAAGAGAGAGCATGAATGCCGATTCATGCAGACACATGTCAAATGAATAAATGAACTGTCTCAATGGAACAGCATGGCATCAGAGGCACTATGATTAAAGTTATTTCTTTTTTGACCTGCAATGGCAGATTCATAAGTGTAAATCTACACATCAACCTGTAGTCACCAAGGGATGGACATGCATATATGAGCCAGCATCAACTAACAACTGTAAGAATTAAACAGCTATAAATATTATATTATATTATATTATTATATTATATATTAAAGGTAAAGGTACCCCTGACCGTTAGGTCCAGTCTTGACCGACTTAAGCTCAGACTCCATTTTTAAGCTGGACCTAGTATGCCTTTGTAACTTAATTACCGTTTTAAGTGTGCCCACATCAAGCTACTGTACCTGTCGTTCTTTAAGACTTATTCTGAGTGAGCAGATACTATTTTTGCCTCTTATAAGACTGTTTGTGTGAGATTGTTATTTTAAGGGGGAGAAAAGGGGGAAATCCAGGAAAATCCAGTCTGCCTTAAAGTGTTCTGGATTGCCAACACTAAAAGGATAAACTAGCTTCCCTTTAAGCTGCAAAGGGATGGCACACTGAGGAACTCAGTAATGTGAGGAAGGAAGGCTAGTATCTAATAAATATATCCTCTCCTAGCATCTAATCAAATGCCAACAGAAGGCAAATACAAGGCCTCCATTATAATGGCACTGCAATAGTTTCCTTATCTGGCTCTTGGCTTCACTGTCACCGAATAAACTGGCTGTTCTGTTCTTAGCTGTGCTTTTCCTCATGACGACTTCTTTTGACAGTTTAAGCCTTGTACTCCTGAGGACTTAATCCTTCCTGGCCTGACATTTACCTGGGCCTATAAACAGATCTTGGATGGCATTTTCTATGCAGCGTTCCCACCTGCCAACTCACATTTAAGCACCACGGAACAGAAAATTCCTCAATCTGAACCCGCTTAACTGTTGCCTCTTAGCCTAGTGCCCTTCCAGATGTTGCTGAACTACAGCTCCCATAATCCCTTGCCAATGGCTGTGCTTGCTGGGGCTGATGGGAGCTGTAGTTCTGCAACATCTGGAAGAGTCAGAGGTTTCTCCCAGCTAAAACTCATACAAGTCAGGAAGCTACATAGAAAGACCGTGTTCCCCAAAAGTGCCTGCCCAGGTCTTGAAGATCTTTGAGAGAGGACCTTCTTTCTAGCTGCCAGCATCTGAAGGGGGTTTGGCAGGAGACAAATAGGGGGCTTTCTGGTCACCTCATCCCAGTCTCTAGAGGTCCTTTATCAAGAGAAGCGAGTCTTGCCCAGTTTCCAGGAACCTCCCTCCCTCCAGCAACAAAAGCATTCTTATGCAAGCAGACCTTTCTCCAATAAACTGACAAGGTATGGCTCAGCTGACTGCTTTATTGATGTTTCATGTGCCTTATTCTTATGTTGACTTTGTACTTTACTTTGCATTATACTGCTTTTAATTGCCTTCAAGCGTCATTCGCTGAAAAGGCAGGTACGCAGTCTGCTGGGTGCTTTCCAAATCCCTCTTTGTCACCAGAGACCCAGGCAACACCTCAGTGGCTAGGAATGCCTTCTGCCAGCTTCAGCTGGTAAGGCAGGTGTGGCCATTTCTAGACCGGGATAGCTGGACCACTGTTGTCCACAAGCTGGTATGCTCCAGCCTTGATTACTGCAATGCAGTCAACATGGGGCTGCCGTTGAGGTTGGTCCGGAAGCTGTGGCTGGCTCAACGCAAGCTCAACGGCTCACTGGGGCAGGACATGGCCAACGCGTTACTCCACTGTGGGAAGAATTGAACTGGCTGCCAATCAGCTACCAGGCCAAGTTCAAGGTGTTGGTTCTGGGATATAAAGGCCCTGTACCAGGGATGCATGAATGATAGCCTCACCCCCTATACCAGTGGTTCTCAACCTGTGGGTCCCCAGATGGTGTTGGACTACAGCTCCCATCATCCCTGAACTCTGGCCTTGCTAGCTAGGGGTGATGGGAGTTGTAGTCCAACAACATCTGGGGACCCACAGGTTGAGAAAGGCTGCCTTATACAGTGGTACCTCAAGTTACAAACGCTTCAGGTTAAAAACAGTGGTGGAGCTTCATGCTCCGGCACCGGGGGCAGAGAGCAAGCAGGGCAGGACTGGCACACGTCCCAGGGGTGGGGAGCGCCTCCTGTGGGGGTGGGGATGGAACGCCACCGGGATCGTGCTGCCGGGGGTGGGGCGCTCCAACCGCCCCCCTCTTCCTCTGCCAGTGGTTACAAAATCCACTAACCTGGAAGAGTTACCTCGAGTTGAGAATTTTGCCTCAGGATGAGAATCAAAATTGTGTGCCGGCGGTGCAGCGGCAGCAAGAGGCCCCATTAGTGAAAGCACGCCTCTAGTTAAGAACAGTTTCAGGTTAAGAATGGACCTCTGGAACGAATTAAGTTCGTAACTAGAGGTACTAGAGGTACCACTGTACAGTGGTACCTCGGGTTAAGTATTTAATTCATTCCGGAGGTCCGTTCTTAACCTGAAACTGTTCTTAACCTGAAGCACCACTTTAGCTAATGGGGCCTCCCACTACTGCCACGCCGCCGGAGCACGATTTCTGTTCTCATCCTGAAGCAAAGTTCTTAACCCGAGGTACTATTTCTGGGTTAGCGGAGTCTGTAACCTGAAGCGTATGTAACCGGAAGTGTATGTAACCCGAGGTACCACTGTATAGCCAAACAACCACAAAGTCCTGCAGGAGAGGGTCTCTTGCAGACACCATCTTATCAGGAGCTCTGTTCCGTACAATTTTGGAAGGAGGTCTTCTCCTCAAGGATTAGGCAGGTACCATAAACCCTTCAAAGTTGAGATCTCTTTTTTTAAAAAAGATGTTCTTATTCCTTTATCTCTTCTTATTGGCCCCTCTTGGCCCCTCTGGAAGGGTAAGCTATAAATTTAATAAATCAATCAATACTGTGTCAGATCACTGGGTCCAACAAGGTCACTTCCATCTACATTGAGCAGTGGCTCTCCAGGGTTTCAGAGGAGAGGTTTCTACCAGCCCTACCTACAGGTCCTGGGGACTGACTCTTGGGACAGGAAACACTTCTTTCCCTGAGAGGATACCTCAGTTGGTAGATCATGAGAACTCTTAACCTCAGGGCCGTGGGTTTGAGTCTCACGTCGGGCAAAAGGTTCCCACATTGCAGGGGGTTGGACTAGATGACCCCTGTGGTCCCTTTTCAACTCTGTGGTTCCGATTCTTTGACCTTCTTCGTGCAAACAGATGCTGCTTTACCACTGAGCCAGATACAGCCTTTCCTCACATTTAACGACTACAGTGGTACCTCGGGTCACAGACGCTTCAGGTTACAGACTCCGCTAACCCAGAAATAGTACCTCGGGTTAAGAACTTTGCTTCAGGATGAGAACAGAAATCGCACAGCGACAGCAGGAGGCCCCATTAGCTAAAGTGGTACCTCCGGTTAAGAAAAGTTTCAGGTTAAGAACGGACCTCCAGAACGAATTAAGTACTTAACCTGAGGTACCACTGTATGTAATATTTACTTTTTTAAACACTTCCCTCCCCACTGAAAATGGGCCCTCATCAGCCATCTCACCAGGGTCGTTGAAAGGGACTAAGAGATAGAAATCTGGCTCCTGGGGGGTGCCTCGGCGCGCCCTGATGATCTCCCATGCTTGGCGCTTGGCTGCACTGATCTCCTCGCCCATGCTTCCAGTGGTGTCCACAACAAAGCTCAAGCCCGTAGCTGGACTGATATCCAGTAGCCTAGAAACAAAACGGCAAGAGCTGTGGCTTAGTCATTGTCCCTAGAACTGTCAGTGTGGCACCCGTGGGCTCAGTTGGATCAGTGATAACTCTGTTTTCCCCCTCCCCCTGGAGCCAGAGCCACTAAGGTGCTGGATGAAGGCTCGTGTCTCTTCGGGGGGCACGGGTTCGAATCCCACTGCTGCCAGCAAAATTTGTTTTGTTTGGAATAGCTCAGTCGGTAAAGCGGGAGACTCTTAATCTCAAGGTTATGGGTTCAAGCCCCGCCTCGGGCAAAAAAGGTTGTGAGCCTGTAGACCGGGGATTCAATAGTGCCAAAAAGAGAGTCCCAAGAAGAAAGAGGTGTCAGGAGAAACATCAACATCAGTTTGATCAGACATCTTTGGCTGCACAGTTCTGCATTTCTACTCCTTGGCACCAAAGACAGAGAACCCTACTACCTCAAATGCAAATGCATGACGTACAGCCGTCAATGTTAATTATTCACTTGGAGTTGACGAAGGGTTGGGAACATTTTAATGGACTGAAGAGAAAGAGAGGGGGGCAGGAACACAGTAATGTTCAACTTATTTTCAATGGCTGTATTCCCTCACATAGTTTTAAAGATCATAAATATTATATTTATCCCTCACTCTTTCTCCCAAAGGATCCCGGTTTTATTGATGGTTTGTTCGTTGTGTTTATAACTCGTGCTTTAAGCACGACGTTCTACAAGTTGTCGTCTTCTATTGTTTGGGATTCATTTGAATGGGAAGCGGCAAAGAAATCCATCAATCGCAGACAGGCAGACGTGAGCAGAGCAAGAAGCATTATGTATACATAGGCTTACGGAACGGGCAACATTACCTCATAAACGGCTTGCTCTTTATTTCCCGCCAGAGCTTCTCCAGGAAGTGTATTGAGGCCTCCTGGGCCACGGCAGCGGCTTCCCTGTGCAGGTAATTATGAGGGGAGAACAAGAACGAGGAGCTGTCCTTATTGATACCACCCCGAGGCTCCCTGTGGCGGCTGTCGTCAAATCTCCCGCCATGGCTGCACTTTCCTGGAAGACGGGGAAATAAGCAAACAGAAGAAGATGATGATGATGATAATTTATTATTTGTACCCTGCCCATCTGGCTGGGTTTCCTCAGCCACTCTGGGCGGCTTCCAACAAAGATTAAAAATACATTAAAATGTCACACATTAAAAACTTCCCTAAACAGGGCTGAGGGGACGCGGGTGGCGCTGTGGATTAAACCACAGAGCCTAGGGCTTGCCAATCAGAAGGTCGGCAGATTGAATCCCTGTAACAGGGTGAGCTCCCGTTGCTCGGTCCCTGCTCCTGCCAACCTAGCAGTTCAAAAGCACATCAAAGTGCAAGTAGATCAATAGGTACCACTCCGGTAGGAAGGTAAACGGCGTTTCCGTGCACTGCTCTGGTTCGCCAGAAGCGGCTTAGTCATGCTGGCCACATGACCCGGAAGCTGTACGCTGGCTCCCTCAGCCAATAACGCGAGATGAGCGCCGCAACCCCAGAGTCAGCCACGACTGGACCTAATGGTCAGAGGTCCCTTTACCTTTACCTAAACAGGGCTGAGAGATAGAAAATAAGACTGCCAACCCAACTGAAATTTGTGGAGCAAGAGAGAATTGCTTAAAAGGACCGTCATCTACTGCACGGCACACCCAAAAGCCCCATTTGCCACTGGATCACATAGTATAATAAAAAACAGAATTGCCAATCAACCAACAAGGAACTTTCACAGGCCCAGACAGAATTCCATCTTTTTAGATAACTGTGGCAGTAAAAAAGGGGAACGTATGAACCTAAGATGAACCCTGCTAGTGGCCAGCCTAAGCCCAGCATCCTGCTCTCACAGTGACCAACCTGATCTCAGGCACTTTACACCTGCAAAAAAGATTAATATTGATATACTGGAAGGACTAAAAAATATAGCTTCCTTTGATCCATAGAGAGACGACAACTCTTGAACAGACTGCTTTTCAATGAAGATCACGTATTGACAGATTTAATGGTATTTGGGAAGCATTTATCAAAACCATAGTTCGACTGCTGAACTGATGTATAATTATTATTTCTACCCTGCCCATCTGGTTGGGTTTCCCCAGCCACTCTGGGCGGCTCCCAACAGAATATTATAAAACATCAAACATTAAAAACTTCCCTAAACAGGGCTGCCTTCAGATGTCTTTTAAAAGTAAAATAGTTGTTTATTTCCTTGACATCTGCTGGGAGGGCGTTCCACAGGGTGGGCACCACTACCGAGAAGGCCCTCTGGCTGGTTCCCCATAACCTCACTTCTTGCAGGGAAGGAATCGCCAGAAGGCTCTCGACGCTGGACCTCAGTGTCTATGTTCATATACATGACATAGTTTTGGAACCCTAATTACATTCTAACGGTATTTTGTTATGGTTATCCTCCTCCTTCTCTTTTTCTTATTCATTTTAATCTATTGTAAGGTTTTCAATAAAATATAAATGCGGGGGGGGGAGAGGGGGAAAACAACAACAATGACCAACCACCTGTCCATGGGAAGCCTGTAAGCAGCTCATGAGGACAATAGCTTCTCTCCCTGCCTGCTATTTGCAGCACCTGGTATCTAGAGGCTTACTGCCTCCAACCACGAAGAGAGAACATGCCATTATGGTTGGCAGCCATTGATAGGCATCACTGACACCTACAAGAGAGAATCCCATAATTTAACTTCGCGCTGTGTGAAGGAAGCCCTGCCTTTTATCTGCCCCGAATATTCCAACATTCAGCTTCACCGTGTGTTCCCCAGGGGTGTAAAGTGTTCAGTGTTTTGAGCTGCCATTTCCCTATAATGTACCGTATTTTTCGCTCTATTGGACGCAGTTTTTCCCCTCCAAAAATTGAGGGGAAATGTGTGTGCGTCCTATGGAGCGAATGCAGGCTTGTGCCATAGCCGCGCGCAACCCCTCCGGCAGGGAGAGGCTGCACGGGGCTATGGCTTCTTTAGCCCTGCGCAGCCTCTCCCGGCAGGGAGAGGTTGTGTGGGGCTAAAGGGGAAGCCAAAACAGCCAGCGCGATTCATCCCGCTGGCTGCCTTGGCTTGTGCCATAGCCGCGCGCAACCCCTCCGGCAGGGAGAGGTTATGAGCAGCCTGTACGCTGCTCTTTGGGGCTGGGGGGGGGAGATTTTTTTATTGATTTCCCCATCTAAAAACTAGGTGCGCCCTATGGTCCGGTGCGCCCTATGGTGCGAAAAATACGGTATTCTTATTCTTATTAGTCAGACAGTGATACCCTTCAGGGGCACAGAAGAATCCTGTCGCTCTTTGCAAAGGTTCCTTTGAAAAGCTGGTCCTTGTCTTGAGGGCAGGGGGTGGGGTGGGGTGGGAAAAGACGTTTTCCACAGGCCCAAAAGCAACAAAGAGGAAAAGGAAAACAAAAAGTTGCTAGTTCCCACCATGAAGGCAACACACCTTTGCACACTCTCCAGACACCGAGCTGAACTTGTCAGAATGTTTAAATGCAAAAGTTGGCAGTCTGATGCATTAAAACAAGAAGAAGCTGTCAGAGTGGGGCAGGAAAGAGAAACCAATCCCGTGAGAAGAATCCTGAGAGAAAAAGCGCTTCTCTAAAACGAATTTCCATTAAATTCCAAAGGGTTTCAGTGTGAACTGCTGGAAGATGCAAGAGGAATACAAATGAAGAAGAACAAAGCCCTTTGAGTCTTTAGTACTAAACACACAGACACAAAACCCCAGGCCTCAAACAGAGCCTCCCGCTGTATTCTGGCAACAAAAGCATACCGATTGGCTTTTCAGGTTGGGCGCCATAGAAACCAGTGGTCAGGAGCCCCTTCTCAAGGAGACCTTCCAAGAGGTTTCCCCGACACGTCCAGTCAGAGCAGTCCGTGCAGGTTCGTACGCCGGCTGGAGGGGAGAAGGAGAGAAAGCCTACTTATTTTATTCTACTTATTTTATTTATTATTTTATTTTACGCAAAGCAAAGCTCCGAACAGTTTACGCAAAAGGTTGTCAAGCAAAAACAGCAGGCACTAAATTATTAAAATGTAGATAAAAACCAATCAGTTTTAAGAACAAAACAATGTGCCTCGATAAGCTGCGAGGGCTGGAGAAGGCTTAGGCAAACTCAGCCCTCCAGATGTTTTGAGACTACAATTCCCATCATACCTGACCACTGCGTCCTGTTAGCTAGGGATGATGGGGGTTGTAGTCCCAAAACATCTGGAGGGCTGAGTTTGCCTATTCCTGGGCTGGAGCTTGAGAGTGAATTCCTGAGCGCTTACAGGACCAGCCAGAAAGCAGCAGGTGATGGGGGCAGCAGCTAAAAGGCCCCGAGGCCTGGACACCTCAGGTGGCATGGATATTCCTGGGTTCTCCAAGGCTGGTTCTCTACACCACAGCATCCGTTCTTCGGAGGTGGCCAGCTGGGCATCTGTATAGCTCCAGACATCATCTTGTAAAAGGTATTTCCTACAAGAAAATTGTGCTTATTCCTAAATAAATGTGTCTAGCATCAGAAGTCAATTTCATTTAATCCTGCAGTTCTGATGGTGGAATGATTTAAGTGTGGAACATGGATAGCACTGTGGTCTAAACCACTCAGCCTCTTGGGCTTGCCGATCAGAAGGTTGACGGTTCAAATCCCCGTGACGTGGTGAGCTCCCGTTGCTCTGTCCCAGCTCCTGCCAACCTAGCAGTTCGAAAGCACGCCCGCGCAAGTAGATAAATAGGTACCATTGCAGCGGGAAGGTAAATGGCGTTTCCATGCACTCTGGTTTCCATCACGGTGTCCCGTTGCGCCTGAAGCAGTTTAGTCCTGCTGGCCACATGACCCAGAAAACTGTCTGTGGACAAACACTGGCTCCTGCAGCCTGATAGCAAGATGAGCGCCGCAACCCAATAGTCGCCTTTGACTGGACTTAACCATCCAGGAGTCCTTTAACTTTACCTTTTTACCTTTGTGATTTAAGTGAGTTAAAAAAGACGAAGCTGCATATGCTCAGAGTATGTCTTTTTCTCAGAAGGATTGGCAAACTTTTTGTTTTGTTTTTTTGCTTCAGCTAGTCAAGAATGTAGAAGCAATTGCAAAGCACAGGCAGGCAGCGGGAAGAAGAGAAACGATGTGCTTTACAAGCACGTACAGTCGACTTGCAAGTTACGTATTGCAACTTGTGAATTCAGCTTTATGTGTTTCATTGGGAAAAAATGTAAAAAAGAAAAATAGGAGGTGGGCATCTGGGACAGGGGGATGTCAGCAATCCCACCCGCCGTTGCACTCACACTGGGAGAGTGTTTGGAGGTACAGGGAAAATGTCTTTTTATTATGTGTCATTTTGGCTTTATGTGCTACCCCTGAAATGTAACTGCTGTGTAAGTTGGTAATACACATGGCTGTCTAAAGACTGTGTCTGTGTGTGAGTGTTAGTGCGCACAATACACACACGTATGTGTAATTTTAGTTCAGGGTCTAAAATCACCTCGTCTATCCACTGCCTAAGATAGCAAGCAAGCCAGGGACCCAGGAGTCCTGGGTTCACCCTACAGATGAAACAAAAGACACAACATAGCACAGGCCTCAGTTTCTCTTCCCTGAGGAGTTTTGGCACCAAGCCTCCAACCTCACCCAGCCCAGGAACCAAGAGAACAAATACTCCCCAAGTTGTGGTGGAACATCATCATCATCATCATCATCATGTTCTAAAACCACACCTTCTGCGATGGACTTGATTTCATGGCCTGGTTGTAGGAGGTGCGGGTGTATCTTCCGATGGCCAAGTTCAATCCAGTTGCTGTGACTGTAGAAATCCTAAACGGAACGGAAGCTTATTAGTGGAGACTGTTTACGCTACGACAGCCACCTGTACTGTTAGCCCAAAGATGGAAAGAGGAAGCGGTCCCAACCAAAGACGACTGGCAAACCAAGTTAATGGACTATGCTGAAATGGTGACATTAACTGGGAAACTCAGAAATCAAGATGACAAGAAATTTTTTAAAAGAATGGGAAAAGTTTATTGTGTACTTGCAAAAGGATTGTAAACAGGTTTGCAGGATCTGCTAAGGCACAACAGATTCGGATGGGTAGAGAAGAAAATAAAAGTTTAGACAGTGGGAAAAATAAGCTGGGAAAGCAAGCAATAATAAAAGTAAGAGTGATATGAGCAAATGCCGTAGAAATGGTGGAAAGAAGAGGACTTAAGTAGAGGATTCTACCCCACCGTCTTGATTATGTGACTAAAAACACTAGTTCCTCTGAGCTTGGACAGAGTTCCTTCCCCTCATTGCTAAAGGGCTACAGCTGGCCCACAGCTCATCTTGAGACCCAGAATATATTATTGGGAGAGTTCCCTCATGTAAATAGCAGGTGCAGGGAGCCTAATCTAATCAGGACCACAGTATGGGGGACAAAGGATTTTAAAAAACCACTCACAGCATCTTTAGTCACATAACATAATACAATAAAATATAAAAACAATGCAAAACAAAGCTGCGCGTGTTGCGTGTAGGAACAAATCTTATCTGCTTCTCTCAGTTGCTGTTTGGCTTGAAAAATCGCATAGGACATTTTTTAACCCAAAAGGTTAACATTGGCTGGGACAACATCATGGAATATTTTTGCCCTTTTTTGGTTTTTTTAAAAATACTGTCTTAATTTTGCCCATGGCTTAGAATACAATAAAACACGATAGGGGAGAAATGGTGAATCACATTTTCATAAGGCAGTAGATATAAATAATATAAATAACAAGTGCTTCTTGTACTTTGCAGAAGGAATGCAAACGCAGGAAATGGGTTAAAGGGAAACGGGTATGTAGAAAATCGTAATATAACTCTACAGAAATCATACCATTTTCACATATTCCATATATCTGCCGAGGCTGCTGTCAAGGAGTGCGGCAGCTGTGGCCTGATAGTTCTGGTGCCTTTCATTTACAAAATAAAGATTATGGCTAAAACCTGGGAGGAATTTTAACTTCGGCGCAGGTGATGAATTATGGGAACTCCGTGCTGCAGATCTAAAGTAAAGGTAAAGGGACCTCTGACCATTAGGTCCAGTCGTGACCGACTCTGGCGTTGCGGTGCTCATCTTGCTTTACTGGCCGAGGGCGCCGGCGTACAGCTTCCGGGTCATGTGCCCAGCATGACTAACCGCTTCTGGAGAACCAGAGCAGTGCACGGAAATGCCGTTTACCTTCCCGCTGGAGCGATACCTATTTATCTACTTGCACTATGAGGTTCTTTCGAACTGCTATGTTGGCAGGAGCAGGGACCGAGCAACAGAAGCTCGCGGGGATTCGAACCGCCGACCTTCTGATCAGCAAGTCCTAGGCTCTGTAGTTTAACCCACAGCACCACCCGCGAGCTGCAGATCTACTACGGTGCAAATTCTGCAATGAACAGAGACCCCCTAGAGTGGATTTCAACCCTGCTTTTGACAAAGGTGGCTGGATCAAATCAGGGCTAGGGCCAAACATGTTAAGTTCTCTACCTCAAAGCCAAATGCCACCTTCCCCTCCTTCCAGCATCTCCTACATTTTGGTAAGCACCTGTAAGGTATGGAGCAGCTGCCCCAGCTTGCCCCGGGCAATGACGTACTGCTCCGAATGCACAGCTTGGAGGATCTCTTTGCGGGTTTGCAACAGCCAGCTGTTCGTGGAGTGGATGAGCTCAGAATCGAAGTGGAGCACAGGGTCGTCCCGCGTAGTGTTTGTGAAGTCCATGGCGGCATTGGCGTTGGCCACCTGGGCAATAGCCCCGCGGAAGCGCTTAGCTGACACCTCAGGACCAAAGAAAGCGGCAAAGATGTCATCAGCCAGGAGGGTCCTGCCCTAGGTGAGAGACGGGGAGGGAAATCAGATCAGGAGAGCCTTTCATCTGTAACAGTGGGAACCAGGGCAGTGGGTACAGGCAGCACGGGTGCGAATGAGGTATAACTGGATTCTTCCTAGGTGCCATTCCATTCTTAACCTGAAACTGTTCTTAACCTGAGGTACCACTGCCGAGCGATTTCTGTTCTCATCCTGAAGCAAAGTTCTTAACCTGAGGTACTATTTCTGGGTTAGCGGAGTCTGTAACCAGAAGCGTCTGTAACCCGAGGTACCACTGCATAGGAAACCCTGAAGAGTCAGTTCCAATCGAGGTAGATGGGCCAAAGGCCTCATTCAGCACAACTCCCTGCACCCATAAATTGTGTGTGCCTGTTTTAGTGGCGGAGGAATTACATGAGGTCCAGCGCCGAGGGCCTTCTGGCGGTTCCCTCCCTGAGAGAAGCGAAGTTACAGGGAACCAGGCAGAGGGCCTTCTCGGCACCCGCCCTGTGGAACGCCCTCCCATCAGATGTCAAGGAAATAAGCAACTCTCTGACTTTTAAAAGACATCTGAAGGCAGCCCTGTTTAGGGAAGTTTTTAATGTGTAATGCTGTATTGTGTTTTTTACATTCTGTTGGGAGCTGCCCAGAGTGGCTGGAGAAACCCAGCCAGATGGGTGGGGTATAAATAAAATTATTGTTATTGTTATTGTGATTGTTATTATATGTTCCACCTGCACCTTGGATATTGGAACACCAGCTGCTGCTCCTCCTGCTTACTTACGATTTCAGCCCACCCACCCCTAGGCTAGCATTATTTTATTTCATTTCATTTCATTTTTTTATTAAATTTATATACCGCCATAAACCCTGGGTCTAAGGGCGGTTCGCAGAAAAAAATCAAAATATAAAAACACAAAATTAATAATAATAACAACAACAGTAATAATGATAATAATATTAATAATAATAAAAATCAATAATCCCCCCACAAAAAAACACATTTTAAAAGGGCATAGGATGTAAATCAGATCAACCAAAGGCCTGGTTTAAAAGGAACAGTTTTTGCCTGGCACCTAAGGGTGTGTAATGAAGGCGCCAGGCAAACTTCCCTGGGGAGAGCATTCCACAGACAGGGAGCCACTGCAGAGAAGGCCCTGCTCTCGTGTTGCCAACCTCCGGACCTCTCGAGGAGGAGGCACATGAAGGTGGGCCTCAGAAGATGATCTCAGGGTCCGGGAAGGTTCATATGGAAAGACCTCTGTTTGTGACTAGAGCAGCCCTGCTGGTGTCCAGACCCGCCGTTCCTCTCACCTTGAAGTCCTCCTCCCGGATACGTTTCCCCTTGTTGGGATGCTGCATCTCCACAAAGATGCGCAAGGTGACGTTGAGGATGGCCTCCTCGGTCATGTCCTGGTGGGTGACGGAGTCCCAGGTGAAAGCCATGGTGCGAGACCAGAAGTTGGGGAAGAAGGCGTGGGCTCCTCGCGGAGGCAAATGCAGCAGCGGCAGCAGCCACAGGAAGCGCCAGAACCAGGCCAGGGGATGGTCCATATTGGATGCATTTATCAGGAAGAACAAGAATCCAAGGAAATAGTAAACCTAAAAAGAATTCAGAAACAAAATTCCAAACAATTCAGAAAGCACTTTTCAAACCCACTACATCACATTTCTCCTTGGGAGAAAGGCGATGGCAGACCTAGACAGCATCTTAAAAAGCAGAGACATCACCTTGCCAACAAAAGTCCGTATAGTTAAAGCCATGGTTTTCCCAGTAGTGATGTATGGAAGTGAGAGCTGGACCATAAAGAAGGCTGATCGCCGAAGAATTGATGCTTTTGAATTCTGGTGCTAGAGGAGACTCTTGAGAGTCCTATGGACTGCAAGAAGATCAAACCTATCCATTCTTAAGGAAATCAGCCCTGAGTGCTCACTGGAAGGACAGATCATGAAGTTGAGGCTCCAATACTTTGGCCACCTCATGAGAAGAGAAGACTCCCTGGAAAAGATCCTGATGTTGGGGAAAATGGAGGGCACAAGGAGAAGGGGACGACAGAGGACGAGATGGCTGGACAGTGTTCTCAAAGCTATCAGCATGAGTTTGACCAAACTGCGGGAGGCAGTGGTAGACAGGAGTGCCTGGCGTGCTCTGGTCCATGGGGTCACGAAGAGTCGGACATGACTAAACGACTAAACAACAACAACACATCACAAAAGGAATTGCTTCCCTGAGTAAATAAGAAGCTCATCTTTTACAGCAGGAGCAGACTGACTTTAGTCTCGTTTGGGTCTACTTTATTTTTCCACCAGAATCCCATGATGCACTTTAAATTTACGGTGCAATAATGCCTACTCAGGATCTTCTCGTCCTGAGCTGTAACTAACCTGTATGTGGTGATCCTGAGTAGGCAATTCTTGCTCAAGAACCGTAAGGAGTGCTTTGCTGGCTCAGGCCCAAAGTCAACTGTTTTTGACTCCGCAGCATTCTCTGTTCTGCAAAGTGGCTGGTGGTTTCTCCTCCGCTGCTTGGCAGGAGTGGCTTCTGCTAGGGTAGATTTGAGACTTCTTACCGGAATTGTCACCTTTGTGCAGCTAAACAATCACAGGATCTTACCTGGAAGGCACATCAGCCCACTTCACTTAGCTTTTCAAGTGTGAATGTGGCTGTCCCCCTTGCAAATAACAATGTCCCTGCAAATGCATGCATTATATAGGTGTGCTCATGAGGGGGTAAGGCTAGGCCTCTGCACAATGAGAGGAGCCATCACTCAGTAGTGGAGCATCTACTTTCCAGGCAGAATATCCTGGGTTCAAATTCTGGCATCTCCTAAGCAATTGCCCAGCTTTCGCCAGCTTTGAGATGCGAGAGGATCAGATTTTGACCTTGCGCCGTATTACCAAGGTCCACCCTGCAGGACTGATGGGAGCTGGAGGAATGTAACAACAACAACAACAACAACAACAACTTATTTCCTGTACCTAGCCACTCTGAGGAGCTTGCAGCAAAATACAGCAGCACCCAAAGGGCACCACGTTGGCGATCCCAGCCCTAAACGACCCAAGCAAGTGGAGTCACACATGCCGAAGAGAAACTGTACATGCAGAGACTAAACACTTCCATACATTGATTCATCACAGCATCCACGTGATTTACTTACTTACAAGATATTATACCAACCATTTTTTATTATTATTCTTTATTGATTAAAAATTTGCATATCTATACAAACTTTATATGCTATTTCTTTACCTATGAAAAAAAAGAAAATTATGTAGAGAATAGAAAATTTTTAAAGGAACAAAAAAGAGGGAAAGAAAAAATAAAGAAATAACAAATACACGAAGTAAAAAAAAAATCAAAAGAGGAAAAGAAAAAACAAGACAATATTATTTACACAATAAAAGTGTTCATCGACACAATCCTTCCCATCCTTCTCATTACACTGTAATATAAACATTCTTTTTCAACACAGATTTGTATTGTGTAATATCATTTCTTTCTACTTTGTATATATTCCTCTAATCGTTTTCTTTACAAATATCACTCAATTTCTGCTAATATGGAATTATTTGTACAATAAAGTTTTACATAGTTCTTGAATATTATCCATTCTCTAGTTGTTTTTTGTTTCGATATTCCTCTAACTCAGGGGTCTGCAACCTTTAAGACAAAAAGAGCCACTTGGACCGAAGAAAAAAACACTGGGAGCCGCAAAACCATTGTGACATTTAAAACAGTGGGGAGTGTCGGGGCACACAATGCGCCTCCTCCCCTCGCTAGTATCCGCCCCGGAGCCGCGGCAAAGGTGTAAAAGAGCCACATGCGGCTCCGGAGCCGCGGGTTGCTGACCCCTGCTCTAACTGATCCCGTCAGTTTTGCTAATCGTAGATATTCTAACATGAGTATCTGCCAGTCAGTAATCTCTGGAAGCGTGTCATTCTTCCAGTTCCTTGCCAACCATTAACAAAACGTTCTCTGGACAATTCACTGGCCTGCTATGAGATGAAGGATGACCGCCATTCTCTTCCTACAGACCACTGATATTTTCATGCTAGATAAACCTGAACGGAACTCCTCCTTACCTAGCAAGGGCTTCAGCCCAAAGCTGCATGAAATACACACAAACAAACACGCAGTGGAACCCGTGGTATCCGTCTCTTTTTGGTGGTCTCTTGTGTGTCGTCCCCCCCCCCCCCCCGACACGAACTCTGCATGTTGACCGTTGAGATCAGTGCCATTTCTTAGAACTCAGCTGGCAAGGAAAGCAGCTTGGGCTGAGAAGATAACAGCTCTGGCTACACTCCTGGATAACACACACGCCCCAAACTGACAAAAACAGCACAGAGAAACAGCGGGGGTGGCGCATGCTGCTGAGAGCACATGAATCCAAGTTCACAATGTTCCCAAGCATGGATGATCCCAGCCCCCACCCCCCGTACGGACTGGGGGTGTGCCACAGAAAGATCTGATGGCACTGAAGAACTGACAGCACACACCCGAACTCTCAGCGAGCTGGAAGCCAGCCAAATCAGCCTGGGCATTCCTTCACCTAGCTGGCACCTTTTGAGCTATATCTTGTCTGGTTGTGACTGGGCAAGGCCAGCCGTGTAAACTTAAATACAGTCCTGAATTCAGGGAGACCAGAACAGCTGTATTGCTGGATTACCCCAAAGTCCATCTAGCCTGGTTCTGTTTCCAACAGCAGCCAGAGAGAGCTTATTTGTCCTGAATGTAGAGAGAGATCTCCTTCATCCACGGAACAGAGGAAGCTACCTTATGCAGGTGGACCACCTGGCCATGCAGCTAAACCAATGTAAACAGAGCCAGTGTGGTGTAGTGGTTAAGAGCGGTGGGCTCGTAATCTGGTGAACCGGGTTCGCTTCCCGCTCCTCCACATGCAGCTGCTGGGTGACCTTGGGCCAGTCACACTTCTCTGAAGTCTCTCAGCCCCACTCACCTCACAGAGTGTTTGTTGTGGGGGAGGAAGGGAAAGGAGAATGTGAGCCGCTTTGAGACTCCTTAGGGTAGTGATAAAGCAGGATATCAAATCCAAACTCCTCCTCTTCTTCAACACTGATGGGCAACAGCTGTCCTGGATTTCAAGCAGCGGACATTACCAGCCCCACCTGCATACAAGACACCATGAAGGAAGGCACCTTCTCTCATATGTGGTGGATGTGTAAGGCATTCTGGGAAATGATATATAATGAATTTTTAAAAATGTTTAAAATAACTTTTGTAAAAAAAGAAGCAGCAGCTTTTTTTAATAGGAATTCTAGGTACCGACATTCTAAAGGAACAGAAAATACAGTGGTATCTCGGGTTACAGACACTTCAGGTTACAGACTCCGCTAACCCAGAAATAGTACCTCGGGTTAAGAACTTTGCTTCAGGATGAGAACAGAAATCGTGTGGCAGCAGCGGGAGGCCCCATCAGCTAAAGTGGTACCTCAGGTTAAGAACAGTTTCAGGTTAAGAACAGACCTCCAGAACGAATTAAGTTCTTAACCTGAGGTACCACTGTACTTTGCATGTATGCGGCAACAGCCCCATGGAAAGAGATGGAAAGAAGACAGAGTCCCTACCAGAGAGGAATGGAAAACCAAGCTAGTGGACTATGCCAAAATGGAAAACTGACTGGAAAGCTCAGGAACCAAGCAGACCAAAACTTCAACAAAGAATGGGGAAAATGTTACTTTAAAAATGTTCTTGTCATTTTCTACGAGGTAGAACGATGTTTATTCCCAAGCATTAGGGTAGGAGAAAACTGCCTTTAAATTCAAAGCACCGTTGAATGAATGAATAGAATTTCAAATGCAAAATGGAATGTGCCTAGAGCCCTTTGAAAAAAATTTATCTAGGAGATCACTGTAATCAGATGAAAACATTGGCAGGATTTTAATAACCCTTGTAACATAGCGAAATTTATGGGCAATATGGAGAGATACAAAATATGCATTATGATATAATATGCAGTTGAGAGGGTGCACAATAGGACCCATGGAAGGGAAGGTGGGAAGTTCAGAGATTTGGAGAAATCTCTAAATATGGATATGTAATTTGGATTGTTATAATTTTATATTTGTAAAACCAAATAAAAATCATTAAAAAATTAAAAAATAAAAAATTATTAAAATTATTAAATTATTAAAAAGATACAAGACACCATGGATTGAACTAGAGACATTTTGTGTTCAAAGCTGGGCCTCTACCAGTGAGCTACAGCCCTTCCTAACAGTTCTATTTGGTCAAAAGATTGTGATACATCAGATTGTGCCTCTCGACCTTTTAAAGCCCTCTAAGCCAGAGGGAACTGGGGCACCACCATACAGTGTACCTTACTTCGTACTGGAGGTCTGTTCTTAACCTGAAACTGTTCTTAACCTGAAGCACCACTTTAGCTAATGGGGTCTCCTGCTGCCGCCGCGCCGCCAGAGCACGATTTCTGCTCTCATCCTGAAGCAAAGTTCTTAACCCGAGGTACTATTTCTGGGTTAGCGGAGTCTGTAACCTGAAGCATCTGTAACCCGAGGTACCACTGTATATTGTAGCAGAGAGTCCCGTAACTTACATGCTGTTATGAAGAACTTTGTCTGTCTGTCTCTTCTTTGATCCGTCCTGACTCTACTGCCGCTCAGTTTTGTTAGGCATCCCCAAGTCCCAGAACTATGAGAAAGGACCTCCCAAAAAACTTGTCCTATCTACATTCTCCACACCATTAAATCATCAGTCTTTCCTCTTAAGCGGGGCTGGCATAAGCAACATGCAACCCTGCCTGCATTACTAGACTCCACTTCCCACCAGCTCCTGCCCATTGAGGCTGATCGGAGTCTAACAATTATCCGGAGGCTCAGTTAATCTAGCAATTACTGTATTTTCTGCACCATAACACTCACTTTTTTCCTCCTAGAAAGTAAGGGGAAATGTCTGTGCGGGTTATGGAGGGAATGCCTACGGGTGGCATGCCTACTGATTTTCCTCCTCTAAAAACTACCTGCGTGTTATGGTCGGGTGCGTGTTATAGAGCGAAAAATACGGTATCTGGAGGACCCCCATCCCTGATCTTAGGGAAAGTGCTCCACGCTGGGCCTGGGAGGATACAAGTTGCAGTCCGAAACTTCTGAAGGGGACCATGTTAGCAAAGACTGCCCTATACCAACTGCGAATCTGGAACAAGAGGGCCAGTTTGTTTGTTTTTCAGACCGACTATTTTTTATTAACAGGCAATGGTCCAACACAGCTTACGCTATGATACAATTCGCTAAAAAGAGCCACAAGTCTCCTTGTTTTGCTTTTTGCTGTCTGGCTATACCTCTGGAAATATCTGTTTGCATTTGCCACGGCAAAACCACATCAACCTTATCTTGTAGAAACCAATTTACGCCATTGCCATAAGGATAACGTTCTTAATAACGGCACACTCTCTTTAAGTGCTTTTGTTTCACTGACCCCTATATTCGCCACTGGGTCATTTGCCAAGCACGGGCAACGCCGAATAACTGCGTTCGACAATGTTTGTTTTGACCTGCGGTCATGAGAATAAGTTACCCACCTGAGATTTGTAGGCTGTTAAGTAGTAGAAGAACAGTCGGCAGAACGCCGTGTGCTACACAAGCCGCACCCACCCCCTTTCCAGCTTTCAACACACAACACAGGAATAGTAACACACACTTCACTGTTATATGGTTACACATGGACAAGCAAAATGGGAATGAACACACAAGTCAACAGACAGCACTGTAACTAGAGGAGGCTAGTCAGATTTTTTGCGCCTGTGAAGCCTGTGTGTGTGTGTGTGTGTACGGACGCAAATTCACATGGGGTGGGGTGCCAAACCAGGTGAAGTAAAGCCTAGTTTTGCCCCTGCAATAGGAGCTGTTCAGGCACCCGGTTGGCCTGCAACTTGAGCCTCCTGCGCCACTACCAGTTTTCCTTTACATTTTTAGCAATGATACAACAGGAGACGATTAAGGTAAAGGTAAAGGGACCCCTGACCATTAGGTCCAGCCATGACCGACTCTGGGGTTGCGGTGCTCATCTCGCTTTATTGGCCGAGGGAGCCAGCGTACAGCTTCCAGATCATGTGGCCAGCATGACTAAGCCGCTTCTGGTGAACCAGAGCAGCGCACGGAAAAGCCGTTTACCTTCCCGCCGGAGTGGTACCTATTTATCTACTTGCACTTTGACGTGCTTTTGAACTGCTAGGTTGGCAGGAGCAGGGACCGAGCAACGGGAGCTCACCCCGTCGCGGGGATTTGAACCGCGACCTTCTGATTGGCAAGCCCTAGGCTCTGTGGTTTAACCCACAGTGCCACCCGCGTCCCTAAGAGACAATTACATATAGCAAAAATAAAATTTTAAAAACCCACGCCCTCCAACATTTATCTGATGGAACTTGGGATGTCCTGTTCCATTATTATTATTATTATTAGTCCCTGTCCATCTGACTGGGTTGTCACTCTGAGCAGCTTCCAATGTATATAAAAAACATAATAAAACATTAAACTTTACAAAAAACAAAAAAACTTTCCAATACAGGGCTGCCTTCAGATGTCTTCTAAGGATTGTATATTTGCTTATCTCCTTGGCTTGGGGGTGTCGCATACCTCCATAATACCCTCCCACATTTCTCCGATGGAAATAACGTCGTCCTAATGAAAAGCGGATCAAATCAGAAACAGTTTCTGCGAATCTGGGGCTGTCCCTGGAAAGGAGGGACACTTGGAGGGTCGGGAAAGTATTGATGGGTTTCCTATGGCAAGTGAGGACCAAAACCAGAGCCCAAATCTTAAAAAAAAAAAGCTGAAGACTACGGCAGCTTATTGATCGCTGAAGAATTGATGCTTTTGAATTATGGTTCTGGAGGAGACTCTTGAGAGTCCCATGGACTGCAAGAAGATCAAACGTCTCCATTCTGAAGGAAATCAGCCCTGAGTGCTCACTGGAAGGACAAATCGTGAAGCTGAGGCTCCAAGACTTTGGCCACCTCATGAGAAGAGAAGACTCCTTGGAAAAGACCCTGATGTTGGGGAAGATGGAGGGCACAAGGAGAAGGGGACCACAGAGGACGAGATGGTTGGACAGTGTTCTTGAAGCTACCAGTATGAGTTTGACCATTGGAAAGACAGGAGTGCCTGGCGTGCTCTGGTCCATGGGGTCACAAAGAGTCGGACACAACTAAATGACTGAACAATAACAACAACAACAAGGTACCGACAAGTCAACTTCTTTTTCTTTACATTTCCAGCAGATATCTGAACTTGTCCTATACATTTTTGCGCCACACTATTTTCCCAGTAGTGACATATGGAAGTGAGAGCTGGACCATAAAGAAGTCTGATCGCCGAAGAATTGATGCTTTTGGTGATGGATGAGGCTCTTGAGAGTCCCATGGACTGCAAGAAGATCAAACCTATCCATTCTTAAGGAAATCAGCCCTGAGTGCTCACGGGAAGGACAGATCAAAACAAACACAAACACGATCCCCTGGGAAGGAAGGCACTCCGCCCTTTTCTCAGATCTCCCCAGCCCCAAACCCCTCGCCTCCCTCCAAGATCCCCTAAAAAAGACGTCAGGCTTACCGGGCAGGTTTCAGCCGCAGGAATTGACTCAGAAGCAATTCACCTGTCGCGAAGCCCCGGGAATGATAGGGGAGCCCACCACGCAGCGCCTCCTTTAGAATCTATCCCCCCACGCCTCGGCAATGCGGGGGGGGGGGTGTTGGTGTTGTTGCCTCCGCGGGCGCCGCCCCTCTGCCGGGACACCGGATCTCCCGCCCCTATTAATAGAGGGCAAGAAGTAGGTACGATGCCAACCGGTGCCGCCGCCGCTGGAGTCACGGGCTATAATTACAGCGCACGTGAACGGAGGAGGATGGGAGAGTGGGAGGGAAAGGGCGGGGCGCGCAGATCAAGCCCCCGGGTCCTGCCTGGGGGACCCAGGCGTCCGGGATTGCCTCCCCCACCCCTCTCAAAATCCACCCGCCTCCCCGGGCGAGGCTCTCCACCTGTTTTTATTTTTCGGGATGCGCCCTTAAAGGCAGCGCGGAGAGATCCTGCAGGTGCAATGCGCGTCCGTCCCCCCGTCCCCCCATCATTTCTTCTCCCAAGGACTAGCCGGCCGGGGTTTCTGGTTAAAGCAAGGCCCGGGGGGTGGGAATTTGGCCCCCTGGTGATCCCGCCGACCCGGGCTGTGAAACTCTCCTCCACCCCAGCCGACCTATTAAATGCTCGGCCCCGTCCCGCGTACACTGTCTTACAAAGAGGTTTTTGTTTTTTTGCACGGGGGCGCTTATTCCCAGTAATCCCAAGGACTGCACGTCTCGTTCTCCTTCCCCTCCAAATAATTAAAATAATCCAGTAATTCGAGGGAAGGGCAAGGGAGTGCCAGTCCTCCTTATGCAACCGTTGACTGGCCTTGCAGTTGAAATTTAGGCCCCGTCTACATTCATTCATTCATTTAATACATGGAGGAGGTTGGAGGATGGATGGTGGCTAACAGATTGAGGTTGAATCCTGGCAAGACAGGAGTACTGTTTTGGGGGGACAGGGGGCGGGTGGGTGTGGGGGACTCCCTGGTCCTGAATGGGGTAACTGTGCCCCTGAAAGACCAGGTGTGCAGCCTGGGAGTCATTTTGGACTCACAGCTGTCCATGGAGGCACAGGTTAATTCTGTGTCCAGGGCAGCTGTTTATCAGCTCCATCTGGTACGCAGGCTGAGACCCTACCTACCTGTGGACTGTCTTGCCAGAGAGGTGCATGCTCTAGTTCTCTCCCGCTTGGACTACTGGAATGCGCTCTACGTGGGGCTACCTTTGAAGGTGACCTGGAAACTGCAGTTAATCCAGAACGCGGCAGCTAGACTGGTGACTGGGAGCGGCCGCCAGGACTGCATAACACCAGTCTTGAAAGACCTACATTGGCTCCCAGTACGTTTCCAAGCACAATTCAAAGTGTTGGTGCTGACCTTTGAAGCCCTAAACGGCCTCAGTCCAGTATATCTGAAGGAGCATCTTCACCCCCATCTTTCAGCACGGACGCTGAGGTCCAACACCGGGGGCCTTCTGGCGGTTCCCTCACTGCAAAAAGTGAGGTTACAGGGAACCAGGCAGAGGGCCTTCTCAGTAGTGGCGCCCGCCCTGTGGAACGCCCTCCCTTCAGATGTGAAGGAAATAAGCAGCTATCCTATCTTTAAAAGACATCTGAAGGCAGCCCTGTTTAGGAAAGTTTTTAATATTTAATGCTGTATTGTTTTTAACACCTGATTGGGAGCCGCCCAGAGTGGCTGGGGAAACTCAGCCAGATGGGCAGGGTATAAATAATAAATTATTATTATTATTATTATTATTATTATTATTATTTATTTTACATAGGTGTAGCTGGGGGCGGGGCAGGGAAAGGCAGCTGCCCCCCACTTAATCAATAACATTCAATAAAAAGACATAGCAATCTGAGGTTCTGCCCCCACTCCCTAATGAAAGGCTTGCCCCCCTCAACAAAAATCCTGGCTACGCTCATGATTTAATATACCAACCTTTGCCTTCCGAGGATCTCAAGGTTGTGTACACGGTTCTCCTCACAACAACCCTGTGAGGAAAATTAGGCTAAGAGATGGTGACTGACCCAAAGTCCCCCCAGCGATGCTTCATGGCCTAGCAGGGATTCGAACCCTGGTCTCCCAGGCCTAGTCCAACACTCTTAACCATTACGCTACACTGGCATAATGGTAGCATCGTACCCCTTCTGCCTCCCCCCTCACACAAAAAACTTGGGAACTGTAGTTTGTTAATCATGCTGAGAGCTGTTACGAGGCCCATGCGCACACAATTCCCTTCCGCCGGCCCACCCGTGAGGCGTGAGGCGACCACCTCAGCCGACAAGATGCACAGGGGCTGCAGATCTGGCCTCCAAGGAATTGCCGCCTGCTGCTGCTGCCATTACTGAGGTTTTAGCGACGCCTGTGGTGCACTCCTTGGAGAATGGATCTGTGCCCACAGTGCCACCTCCACAGCAACCTATGGGGTTGTTTTCCTCCCACCTCTGGCAGGGATGCCCTCTGGGGTATCCTGGGCTCTGCGCTCACCTAGTGGGATTCAGAGCAGTTCACTAACCCCCCACCCCACAATAGCCTTTGATCCCCACTTCAACTACTGTATAGGCCAAGATATGGGTGGTTTGAGTTCCACCACCCTTTTTTTTAATTTTAAATTTATACTTTTCAGATATATACATTTCACTGATTTTACAATCATTTTGACATTTTCAAACCCGACTTCCTTCTCCCTTTCTGCGGTTCCTTAAATTTATTTTTAATATATTCTGCAAATCCAAATTCACTTAACTTATTTATCTTCTTTAAATATATACTCTTATATTACAATAATCCTGCCAGTGTTTTTATCTGTTTACAATTTATTTGTAAATATTCAACAAACCATTTCCACTCTTTTATTAAAAGTTTGTTATCTCGATTTCTTATTCTTGCGGTAAGTTTCGCCATTTCTGCATATTCCATAAGTTTTTGTATCTAGTCTTCCTTTGCTGAAACTACTTCTTCTTTCCATTTTTGGGCAAGTAACATTTTTGCCGTTGTAGTCACACACATGAATAAGTTTCTATACAGTTTAGGTAGTTCTGTCCCTATAATTCCCAAGAGAGAGACTTCTGGTTGTTGTTTTTTTACAAACATGAATTTGAACATCTTTTTCATTTCATTGTATATCATTTCCCAGTAAGCCTTATGAGTTCCACCCCACCCCCCTTGTTCCTGATGTGTGTTTTTATTAGCAGCTTGTTCCCCTTCTTCCTTGGCCATTTTGTGGTCTGCCTCAGGTGTCAAAGTGTCTTGAGCTGGACCTGATTCCCCTACCATTCCGGGGGTGGTTTAACAGGTCAACATCTCTTCTCCAGGAACAGCATCCTGGCATAGAAATTAGAGCAGGTGGGTCTTATTTTCCCCAGAATACATTGCTTCCCAGGTGTGTTTGTTAGAAAAGAGCCATGTTTCAGAGTGACAGAACAGGCCCGAATCAACTCCTGGCATCTTCAAGTAGGACTGGAAATGCTACCCCTGACTGAAACCCTGGCTAGCTGCTGCCAGCCAGTGTATGAAATACTGAACTAGGTGGACCAGTATTCCATGGATGCAGTTGGTCAAATGTCAGCCTCCTGGGCTCCCTTGGGGGAGAACAGGTCCCTTTGTGTGCTGACGAGGGCAATTTTTAAAAAAAGTACACCCAAGCGTTCTCCATCACAGACACTCCTCTGCAGTACGGCTAACCCACAAGAGAGCCATTTTCACCCATCAGGGACAAGGTTCTTACGCATTAACCTAAGTGGTTTCTTGGCTCAGAAGATGGAACTGAGTCATAGTGGCAAGAAACTGCTGGATGCTTTAAGAGGGCGTGGTGAGGGCGAGTTGTGAGAATACCAGAGGAGACAGGACTAGCAGACAAGGAGGCATGAGAGCCCAACTTTTCTGGGGAACTCGGACGATAACATTTAAGTTTGGCTGTCAAGTTAGGTAAGGATGCGTGCGTGAGAACTTGAGTTCCCAAGCGGTTCCTGAGCTCTGCTTTTCACAGCACCTGGAACTGCATTTGCAAATTTTTATAGCCCTGTTGTGCAAAGTTTCACCAACTATCTAATTCCGCCACACAAAGTTTAAGGGCACAGCTACAGAAGCAGAATAATTATGGAGCAATTCAGAAACCCTATTTCACCTTGCTGAGATACATATATGTGTGTGTATCTTGCTATTAGAAATGCTTAGGGCAATTCAAAAGCTCTTCAGCTGGCATGTGAATGTACTTGGGGGAAAGAGACGTGATTAAACATTTGAAAGTTTTGAGGACCGGGACATTCCTGAGTGGATAAACTTACCACAGGTTCATGGGCAGAGGATGGGACAGGCAGAGCCTTTTAGCTAAAACTGGAGGCGAGGGGAACGCATAGACTTCTTCAAATATCTTAAGGGCTGTCACATGGAAGACAGAGCAAGCTGGTTTTCCTCTCCTCTGGAGAGTCAGAACTGAAACAAGGGCTTCAAGTTACAAGGAAGGAGATTCTGGCGAAACATCAGGAAGAACTTTCTGAGAGTTAAGAGCTCTTTGGAAGGTGGTGGACTCTCCTTCCTTGGAAGTTTTTAAGCAGAGGTTGGAGGACCATCTGTCAGGGATGCTTTAGTTGAGATGCCTGCATAGCAGGGGGTTGGACTAGATGACCGTCGGGGTCCCTCCCAATGTCTATGGAAAGCACATCATGCTGAACCGCCATTTCACTATGCCTTTTGCAGCACATTCTTAAAGAGGCCATATTTTTTGGATGTTTTGGTGTAGGAGGGTCTGCTTCACCACCAGAATAATTATTTCTGTTCTGTTATGCAGCACCAGAAGAGGTTTTTAAACGTGTTATAAGCTTCTTGAAGAGCTCTGGGTAACAAGCGACTAACACGTCTAATCATAATAATAGCAGCAATAAGATTACATAGAAATGCTATACAAGTTCAACCAAGGTCAGTGGGGGTGGGGACACACCAAGAACGCCATGTGTGAATTTGCCATTAGGACTGTGTGTGCATCACAGTTAGGGAGTGGACATAAAAGCAAAAGCAAAATGTCCCCTGCTCAACAAAAAAAGAGCTAAGTGTCTAGTCTTTCAGGACTGCAAAATATATGCCTGAAGTATACAGGGAACGGACTCCGCCTTTTGAAAGAGGTGGATGAGTTAAGATGATCAGGGTTTCAGTAAAAATTACACATGCACTAATGCGAGGAACCTATGCAAATCTGTATGGTTTATAGTGAATTGCACTGTTCTTGGTAATTAAGTGCAGAAATAAATTAAGCATGGTCTTGACTCAACTCCAAACAGATCCACAGCATTGACTCCAATCCTATGCAGAGCAGTAATGCTGAAATGAATGAACCTAAGTTAGCCATGTCCATTAGCTTCAATGGGTTTACTCTGAGTAGGACGAGCCCTGTCTACAGCCCTGTCTACCTTTAATTGAGCTCTCCTTATTTTATTACCCTTTGTTTGATTGCAGGTGGATGTACAAACCAACTCCACTAAACCTTTGCATTTGAATGCTCTGCGACATCGATGGCCCATTCACACATTTGGAGTCATCACTTGAACATGTGAACCTGCCAGCAGACCCAAAGGGCTAGGTTGGCCATGCCTTGCATTCGCTTGCTTCTTTACACACCAATGACACCGCAACCTTCTAACTCAGCAAAATATTTTAATGTCTCTGCAGAAAATAGAATAAACCAAGGAGAGCTGAACCGAAGACGAGTCTTCTTTTCTCAAGGTAAAAGGGCTTAACGTTCTCCTCTCCCTCCCTCCCACCCCTTAGGATCAACGTATTCAGAGCATCTTCTTGAAGTTCTCAATGGCTTCTTCCGACTTCCGCAATTCAGTCTCGCTTTGTTTCAGCTGGGGAAAGGGGGGGGAAACCGAACAATTTCTTTTTCATCGTTCCTCCCCATTCCTAGAATGGGCACCACAAGCTACCTTGGGGTCCCTGATGACACAACGTCAACGTGAGCAAAGCAGATGTGAGAGGGAAGCGCAAGCAACACAATTTTATTTAATTAAAACGGCTGAGACTAACGGCCTGGCAAGGCCATTGCATGTTAGGTACCAGATCCTAAAACCCAAGCAAGAAATCCTAGGGCAGGCTTCCTCAACCTCGTCCCTCCGGATGTTTTGAGACTACAATTCCCATCATCCCTGACCGCTGGCCCTGCTAGCTAGGGATCATGGGAGTTGTAGGCCAAAAATGTCTGGAGGGCCGAGGTTGAGGAAGCCTGTCCCAGGGAGTAGGAAGCCTGTTGAAAGCTAGCGTTCAGCGCAGGAAAGCCTGAGGAGCCACAGTAAACAGGTTTGCAATTTGGGAGTCCTCCCAGATGCTGTTTAGCATCGGGTTACGGTGGCAGCAGTGTCTGGGGGGCATTTGCCCAGCTGAGACGGGTGAGCTGCCTGCACCTCTTTTTGAGGAAGTCAGATGCAGCTGCACGTCTTCGTCCTAAGGTTGGGAACCTCAGGTCTGCTAGTCAAATGCAGCCCTCTTAAGCCTCTGACCCCAGCCCTTGGGATTCTCCAGCCCTCCCAGCCCTCGTAGATTCATAGAATTGTAGAGTCGAAAGGGACTACAAGGATCATCTGCTCCAATTCCCTGTATTGCAGGAACCTCTTGCCCTACGTGGGGCTTGAACCCACAACCCTGAGATTGCAAGTCCCATGCTCTACCGACAGAGCTATCCCAAATGCTCTGCACTCGGCTGGGATGTGCTGTTGAACTGGGACAATCCCCAGATGGAGAAGTGTGCAAGGGGGCATTCGGGCCCCACAAGACCGACCCCAAGGGAACGTGGCCCTCGGGCCAATTCCCCATCTCTCTCTGCCTTACTCGCCTCCAGGTTGGATTACTGCAACACATTCAACAAGGGGATTTCCTTTAGAGAGTCTGGGAAGCTTCACTGGGAAGCAGAACATGCGTGTGGTGCTGCCGAACCACAACTCCCATCAGCCCTAGCAAGCATGGCGAGTCATGCAGGATGATGGGAGTTGTAGTTCAGCGACACCTGGAGGGCCAAAGGTCGCTGGTCCAGAATGAAGAGGCAAGGATGCTCATGGGCCTAACCTGCAACGCCTGCACTGGCAACCAACTTTCTTGCGGTCACAATTCAAGGCCTTTAAAAAGCCCTCAATGGCTTTGGCTCAGGCGACGGCAGCAGGAACGCTGCTCATCACTAGAGCCCCGGAGGCGTTGCCTATGCGACTTTCAGAGGGGGTTTGTTTTGGGGGGGGCAGTTTTCCTTACCTTGGCTGCATCCGCCTCCTGGACCTTGGCAGGCACTTTGGCAGCGTAGTCCGGGCTGCCCATGCGCTCCTGCAGCCGAAGGATTTGCTTCTGCAGCTCTGCTTTTTTGCTCGCCAGTTTGGAAATCTCCTTCTCGGCATCGATCAAGCCCTGGCACAGGAGGATGGAAAAGTACAGGGGATGGGGGGAAATGCAGAGTGCATTTTAATTAATGGACAGCAGGGAGAGTCTATCTCTCTCTCGGCCTCCATCGACCAGCACGACACAAATGCCCCTACCTCCAAAAATAAGATACAGATCCCCACTAGTGAATACTGTACTGAAGAGTATCCACGCACAGGTTAATCAACAAAGCATGCATTGAAATCTATTAGTTTTCAGAAAAGAGTCCTAGTCCTTGTGGATTATTTCTTTTTTAAGAAAAGCTCAGAAAGCATGGCTGCCATCTGTTTCAGAAATGTATTATTTGTAATTAACAGCCATTAAAACAGCGCTTAACAGCTTATTCTTCCTAACATCTATGGCTAGAGCAGTGTTTACCAAACTTGGGTCTCCAGCTGTTTTTGGACTACAACTCCCATCATCCCTAGCTAGCAGGACCAGTGGTCTGGGACGATGGGAATTGTAGTCCAAAAACAGCTGTTTGGGAAACATTGGGCTACCAGGCATGGCCAAACTTGGCCCTCCAGCTGTTTGGGGACTACAACTCTTATCATCCTTAGCTAACAGGACCTGTGGTCAGGGATGATGGGAACTGTAGTCCCAAAACAGCTGGAGGGCCAAGTAGACAGAGTTAGGCAACAGAGTGAGGTGACAGGGAATAGTGGTGGTTGCTGGTGGGAGAGACCGGAGAGCTGGGCTGTAGCTGATGCCAGAGCCCCAAACTCGCTGGCTGGTCGCGCAGGTGACGTTGCGTACCTTGAGCAGAAGATGGACGGTGCATTTGTCGGAAGCGATGGCCACGGCACAACCAGGAGGGGGGGCTTGACCAGGCTCCAGAACCAGCACTTGGTTGGAGGAGCTGAGAGTCCGGATGTAGCTGGAGCAGCAAGATACGGACCGTGCTGTTCCGGGATCCAGGCACTGCAGGTAACCTGGGAAGCAGAGGGAGAGGAGGTCAGAGCTGGAGAAATGGAGATGCTGGCCTGTCTGAACCTCCCTTGGCTTTTGCAGCTGACGTTCCTTGCAGGGCTGGCTCCTCCCTCAGGACCTCTTAGATCTCCTTTTCCATCCCTTGGTCAAATTAGGAAACCCATCCTACCTGGAGACACTGGGGATTGAACCTGGGACCTTCTGCGTGGCTCTGCCGCTGAGCCACAGGTCTCCTTTGAGTTCAAATCCCTGCTCAGCTATGAGTCCTGGAATGACCTGGAGACAAGCAGCTGCATTCTCAGCCTCACTCTGAGCCACAGGGCCCAAGCAACTGAGAAGCCACAACACACGTGCTGATTTATTCCGCCTTGAGATTTTGCCGTGTGTTCGGGCTCTGAAGACCAATGGCAGCTTCCTTTGTTCCAAATGAAGACCCTTTCCCCCTCTCCACTCACAGTCAGCTTTGGTCTTGGTGAGGTTGTAGTCCGCCCGGAGCGATCGAACAGCCCTAATGATGCTCAGCGCAAAGTCCACGGTGTGGTCCAAGCCCTCGTTCCTCCAGCAGTACTGGGGTAAGGCGGGAAAAGGGTTAACAGTGCCCCGGTTTAAAGTGATGTTTTGGGTATCGTGAGTCAACAAATCAGAAAGGGATAAAGCAATGAACTTGACCCAAAAAGAGACACTTCCTTTCCTGGTTTTGTAGGGAGAGGGACAGAAGGTTGAGCTTTCTTATATTATTATTCAGCCTTCGCGAACCTGGGGCTTTGGACTACACCTCCCATCAGCCCTCTGTGCTAGCTGTGACTGATGGGAACTGCGGTCCAGAACACCAGGGCTACTGAAGCTTTAGGAAGCCTTTCCCATCATCTACAGAGGATCGGTTTATATCTGATGAGACTTTGTTTCAGAGTTTGCCAAGTTGGTTATACAGACTTACTTCAGAAACCGAATGGAATCCATTCTGGAAGTCTGTTCAACTTCCAAAACCAAGGTGTGGCTTCTAATTGGCTGCAGGAAGCTCCTGCGGCCAATCAGAAGCTATGGAAGCCGCGCTGGACGTTCAGGTTCCAAAGAACATTCGCAAACCGGAACACTCACTTCCGGGTTTGCGGAGCCAAAACGTACAAGTGCCAAGGTGTTCGGCTCCCAAGTTATGACTGTACTGTTATTCACGCTTCCTCATTTTATTCTGTATTTCAAACTGCTCTGACGGCCTTATGCTGTGAAGCAGGCCTATAAACTTGTTCAATGACAGGATAGAAATGAAAAGGACTGGAGAGCGTCAGCTTGGCAAAGTGGCGTTATAATTGATTGAAGAACTTTAAGAAAACAAAATGCGTAAATAAGAAGAGTTTGTATTTGATATCCCGCTTTATCACTACCCGAAGGAGTCTCAAAGCAGCTAACATTCTCCTTTCCCTTCCTCCCCCACAACAAACACTCTGTGAGGTGAGTGGGGCTGAGAGACTTCAGAGAAGTGTGACTGGCCCAAGGTCACCCAGCAGCTGCATGTGGAGGAGCGGGGAAGCGAACCCGGTTCACCAGATTACGAGTCTACCGCTCTGAACCACTACACCACACTGGTGTAACAACAATTTGTATGTTTTCTCTTTCTGTCGTTATTTTCCAGTAATTCATGCACTTCTAAACTTTTGTTTCAAAACAAAGCTACACGATAAATACGAGCACATTGTTTCTAGGTTCAAGATTTCGCTTCACGTTCCATTATGAATGGAAAGGTCCCTGCACCGCTACATCCCTGACTCTGTGAGCTTGAGGATTTACCTGCTCTGTGGAGGGGTAAGGAGTGACGCAGATGCTGGGGGGGTCGCTGGGGGACCGCCGGGGCAGCCGCTGGAACAGCTCCTCAGTGACGAAGGGCATGAAAGGGCTGAGAAGACGGAGTCCGGCATCCAAGCAGGTGTAGAGGACGTTCCGGGCCGTTTGGATCGCGGCCTCATCTGGGCTGGCAAACACCGGTTTCAGGCACTCCTGAGGGGGGCGGGATTCAAAAGGGCAGAAGTCAGGAACAAGGGCCACATTCCCTCGCAGGCCAGCTTCCGAGGGCCACATTCAGGTGGTGGGCGGGGCCAAAGTGGGCGAGAAGAGAACCTGCCTTGCCATGGAAACACAAGCTTACAGGGCAATTAAAAAATAATGTTGGACTTTGACCAAGAGGGCTAGCGGACAAAGGGCAAATGAGCCGCCCCTCCTCTGCCACCCTGCCCACTCGCCTGCAAAGAACTCCATGTATTCGCCTACATGCAATTCCGTGCACCTGTGGCGACCATGCAACTTCTGAAATGCAAGAACAGTCTTCACAGTACGCCTGGGACAGTTAAAAATGTGCATTATGCGTCGGTATTACATCTGCACCTGTCTCTTCCTCCAGGAAGCTCAGGTCCTCAAAACAGCTCTGTCAAGTAGATCAGGGTACTATGGTATTATTGATGGGGTTGTGGTCTGCACTGACTACTTTAAGTCTGCATGGTGAGCTTTGTGACTGAGCGCTGCTTTGCTGAACTCAGATTGCCACGTCCAAAAGTAAGACTCCAGGCAAGGAATGGGGAAGCTTTGGCCATTCAGATGTTGATGGACTCCAACTCCCATCAGCCCCGGCAGCAGGGCATGATGGGAGTTGTAGTCCCAACATTTCGTCTTGGAGTGCCACAGGCCTAATCTAGGCCCTCACACACCCCCGAATTACATTTTAACGTATTCTTGGTAGCAAAATGACAAAACAAAAATGAACTATCCACCAGCTGCAGATGTCACACCTCCCCAGAAGGGAAAAGGGGCAAAAAAGCTCAAAACAAAACCCTTCAGAAACCCCACTCACCAGGTAGACATCGCAGAGCTCATAGAGCCAGAAGTTGTAGACTGCTGTGGTGATGCCAGGGAAGTCGTAGGCCTGGAATCCTGCATCGCACAGCTCCACAGCATGGCTCAAGCGACTCAGGATCCAGCGGTCGATGAGGCTCTCCGATCCACTGGGCTGAAAAAGGCATTTCCTGTTAAATAAGGAATCGTTCCCGGTGGCCCTCGTCAGGACTTTGAGGCGGGAAAGCGAGAGGGCACATGATTATTTGCTCATTGGAATTACCTGGGAGTTCTCAGAAACCAACAAAACACTGCCGTTTCTAAATGGATAATGCAATGTGTTAATTCCTAGGACTCCCGCCCCCCTGACCAGGACGCACCCAAGCCTTATTCCTTCCACCAGCCTTCCTTCACGGAGCTCAGGGTGCCTCACAAGACTCCCCTCCGCTCCCCCCACTCCACTTTATCCTCACAACCACCCTGTGAGGTAGACTGGAATGAGAAATGACGACAGGCCTAACATCACCCTACGACAGGGGTCAGCAAACTTTTTCCGCAGGGGACCGGTCCACTGTCCCCCAGACCTTGTGTGGGGGGCAGACTATCTTTGGGGAGGGAATCCTCCCCCCCCCCACGACTCTCCCCTCTCTTCTCTACAGCACCAGACGAGGCCCGGTGGCTGCTTACCTGTGCCTTGCGAGCAGCAGGGGCTGGCGGCGGCAGCGGAGGGACGATGAGGGCTGCTTAAAATGGCACTCAGCCAACCACAGCTCAACAAAGCCCAGCCCCCTTCCTCCTCTAGGCAGGGCGGGGAGAAGCCAGGAGGAGGGAGGAAGGAGGCGACGCCGCGGTTTGTGTGAGGGAGAGGGGGAGGAAGTGGCGCAGCCCGAATCATCAGAATCAGATCCACGCTGCAATTCCCAGACTGTCCGCAGGCCGGATCCAGAAGGCAATTGGGCCGGATCCAGCCCTCGGGCCTTAGTTTGCCAACCCATGCACTACGAGCTTCACAGCTAAGAGGGGATCTGAAGCTGCGTTTTCCCTGACAGCACTCTCAACCCCTGTGCCGTACTGGATCTCGAAACCCTGCAGTCTGTGCTGAGCTCCAGGAGGCACTAACCGCCCCCCCCTTCCAAAAAAGATGGGGCAGGGGCGGGGTGGAGAGAATGGAGTAGGGAATCATTTGAAAAGAGGCTCACCTCTGGGCTGGGCTGCGGCTTGAACCCATCCCCGAGACCGCGGATGGCGAACTTGGTCGCGTTCCACAGCTTGTTGCAGAAATGGCGGTAGCCTAGGATGCGGTTCACGTCCAAGTTTATATCCCGTCCTGGAGGGAGCAGAGAATGTTGTGAAACACAAGCAGGAGAGACACAAGAGCCCTTCTGCATCAAGGAAAGGGTCCACTGAAATTGAAATACTTTATTGTCACTTGTACAACTTGTATACAGTGAGATTACACGAGCACCCCCCACTCAGCTCTCTTAGTCTGAATTCCCCTCGTTTACTGACGCACGCACACCAAACCCGAAAGTCCGTTGCCCTGTTGTGATCTTTTCATTCAGCAGCCTAACAGCCCATGGATAGAAGCTGTTCTTTACCCTGTTGGTGCGACTAATCCTGCTTCTGTATCTTCTGCCTGAGGGCAGGAGATCAAGAAAGTGCCGGCCAGGGTGTGAATCATCCCTGAGAATTTTCCTCACTCTCCTGAGGCAACGTTCTTCCACGATGTCATCCAGCGGATTCAAGGGACAGCCCATAATATCTTGTGCTGTATTATATATCCAGCTCCTTCATTCCAGTTACCCTTTTGTGAACTTCTTCCTGCTCAACATTAACCCTTTTTTGGAGCAGGGATAGAACAACAGCAGGGCCTCTTTCACTCAAAGAGAGAGAGAGAGAGAGAGAGAGAGAGAGAGAGAGAGAGAGAGAGAGAGAGAGAGAGAGAATGAAGTCAGGCAGAGGGATAAATTACCTTGGGATGTGTAGGCGCAGAGAGCAAAACGGAGGGCATCTGTCCCACACTCTGGAATCCCGTTGGGATAATCCGACTTCTGTGAAGGAATCACAAGTAAAGTATTTAATCCTCGCCATTAAGTTTTCAGAACTGAAAGTGCTTATTTAGACTTGCTTCCAGTTGAGAATGTGTGTATAACATGTAGACTTAAAGCTATCATATAATTCTGGGAGGGAGGGAGACTGTGTATGTGGGTATAGTCGTACCTTGGAAGCCGAAAGGAATCTGTTCCAAAAGTCCATTCGACTTCCAAAACATTTGGAAACTAAGGCGCGGCTTCCGGTTGGCTGCAGGAAGCTCCAGCAGCCAATCGGAAGCCGCAGAAGCTCCATTGGACGTTTGGGTTCCAAAGAACGTTCGCAAACCGGAACAGTCACTTCTGGGTTTGCGGCGTTCAGGAGCCAAAACATACAAGTGCCAAGGTGTTTGGCTTCCAAGGTACGACTGTATTTCGTTTATGAATCACTTCTCACGAAGCCTCTGGAAGGAATTTTACAATTTAATAACAAATACAAAAGCAGCTGCAAACAACTTTAAAAGACAATAAATACAAAAACAGTTCAAAGCAACAAGAACACGTACATATCGTCAGTTCAGATCCAGGACAGACCAACTGGGATGAAGGTGTTAGAAGCCTTGTTGAAAGATAAAATGCCTTCAGCAGGAAGCCAAAAAGGCAACGGAGAAGGTGCCTGTCTAACGTGCAGTGACAGGGAGTTCCACAGGACAGGAACTGCCGCCGCAGTAAAGCCCTAATTCTAACATTGTGTGGAAGGGACCTGGGCAGGACGGCACTTGCAGGATGCCCTCTCCTGCAGAACACAGCGCTTGGTTGGGTAGATAGGGGATGCGGCAATTTTTTGGGGTGTTCTGGTCTCAAGCTGCGTATTGTACACCAAGACCACCAGCACCTTGAGCCTAGCATCCTAACTAACTGACATATATACAGACATACACACACAGTCATGTCATGTTGGTGTTCTTTGCAGCATCCATTACAACATCAGCATTAGGGGGGAACTGGCGGCAACAGGGGGGAAAACACATTACCTGTCCTTGTTTTGCTCGCTCTGTCTCAGATGGGTCCAAATTGCTCTCTAGCAACTGTGCATGGAGGCCCTGCAGAGACAGATAAGAGGGAAAGCGTTGCACCTGGAGATGCAAAGAGGCTGAGGGAACGTTCTTTCACATGTGGTGGACTTGCAAAAAGGTAAAAGAGTATTGGGACATGATCCATAATGAATTGAAAAAAATGTTTCAAAGTACATTTCCAAAAACAAACAAACCCGGAGTCCTTTTCGCTGGGGATAATTCAGACTGAAATTCCCAGGTGTCAAAAAAGGTTATGTATGCTACTACTGCAGCCCGTGTTTTATTAGCCCCAAAATGGAAAACAAGTGAGGTCCCAGCTAAAGAATGGCAGCTTAAGCTGACAGAATATGCACATCTTGCAGACTTAACATATAGAATAAGAGAACAAGAAGAACATTCGTATAGAGAAGACTGGAAAATGTTTGTTGAATATATGGTAAAAAAATTGTGTACACCTGAAAACGTTGGCAGCGTTAAGATAAATTCAACAGTGTAAATAAGTTCTGATGGATGCAATAATGGAATACTGAATGGTTTAGTTTATGTCAAATATGCAGGGATTTATGATATGCAAACCATGGAAAGAGAAGAAAGGAAGTCATTGATATTTTAAAGTTTAGATGAGTATTTTAAATTGTGAAACAGAATTTTTTTATAAAAATTATATAAAGTGGGGGGAAGAAAAAGGGTTTTTCTCCTCACTGGACGACAAAGCAGGATGTGCAATAGGGGAGACTTTACGGAGGCAAAAATCCCAGATAAGAGCCCTCGTTTTCCCAGCCCCACATCTGGCGTGTGTGGCCTGGTGGCTTCCCCCTCCCTGGCCTAAAACCATAGGTTACCTCCAGCGTAATGCCGGTAATAACATCCAACGGATCGATCACGTTCCCCAGCGATTTGCTCATCTTCCTGCCATGAGCATCCCGAACGACGGCATGGAGGTATACCTGGCAGGAGTCGCAGAAAGAGGGTTAGTTGGAGGAAGAGGGGTGAAATGTATGCTTGGGTGGCAAGAGGGGAGAGGCTTGCAATTGTGAACTTGGCCCAATCCCTCTAATCTTCGGGGAATGTTTTGAAACACTATGCATTAGCTGACCAGCAGGGCAAAGCATGAAAATGTTTATGAACAGCTGACTGCACACATCTCTTAAGGTATCTAACACTGCAGGAATATCTGGCTTCTTCATGTGTGTACATAAAGTAAAATGGCTACATATGATGATTTGCATGCCATTTTCTAACATTTTGCTCTGCAGGGGAGTGTTTTTTTCGTGGGAAAGGGATTGATGTTTCAAACGGCACTCAGTTCCCCAGGATTTAGCAGGAACCGGTCCTCACAGGGCTTCCCTTAGAGGAAAAACTAATTATGCTACACGCAAGGGTTATGGCCTCTAAAACAGAAAAATGTAACTACAGAAGAACTGCAACTTAAGGATCAAGTGGCTAGGCCTCAGTAAAACTTCTGTGGTAGTTTCAAGCGAATCTATGGTTGGGGAACTGGCCAGCACGATATTTGGGTTTCCCAGCACTCCAAGTCTGACCCCAAGAACAAGAGGACTGGGTTCAATCAAGTGCGTTCGAGGGCAAAGATCATTAACACTGAAGTGATCAATAAGCAGCTGCATGGATAAGCATACCTGAAATAATAAAATTAATAATAATAATAATAATAATAATATTGCACCCATCTGGCTGAGTTTCCCTAGCCACTCAGGGCAGCTCCCAACAGAATATTAAAAGCACAATAAAACATCAAACGTTAAAAACTTCCCTAAACAGGGCTGCCTTCGGATGTCTTCTAAAAGTCAGATATTCCTTCCAGATTTATTTCTTTGACATCTGACGGGAGGGCATTCCACAGGGTGGGCGCCACTACCGAGAAGGCCCTCTGCCTGGTTCCCTGTAACCTCACTTCTTGAAGGCAGGGAACCGCCAGAAGGCCCTCGGCACTGGACCCCAGTGCCCAGGCTGAACGATGGGGGTGGAGCGTCAGTGTTATCAGGTTTTTGTGTTTCCTCCATGAGGACTAGTAACTTGACTACTCTTTTCTTTTTAAAAGTAAGCACTTCAAAAACCTTGCACAGCAAATGGCAGATTGCATGCTTGTGCAGGGAACCTATGGGTACTTGCATGCGACGTAAGCCACTCTGAGCACACACAGTCATGAAGAATGGGGTTGAGGGAGGGACAGCCGAAAACCACACCTCTCTGAACGGCAACTTCCCCGTAAGCTTCAGGCCCAGCATGACCATGCGGGCTACCCAGAAGAACAGAATATCGTGCCCAGTCTCCAGAAGGGTCCCCGGGTAAAAAATTTGGAGATCTTCGCTCTAGAAGAGAAATAAAAAGTTGGAGAGGGTGAATGAATAAGAACGATGGTGGGGGGATATGAATCCTGCATATTTAGTTCAGAAGCCCCCAAGCAGAACCTGAGTGCAACAGACATTCTTCCAAGCAACTAGGCATTCCTAAGCACACTGCCTCCAACAGGGGAAGTAGGACACCGCCATTATGGCTAGTAGCCGTGGACAGGCTAAGACCTGAGGCTCATCATCAGGTTCAGAAAGGGGGAATCAGTGTGATCAAGGGGATGGAGAAACTACTGAGAAAGGCTGCAGCATTTGGGACTTTTCAGTTCAGAAAAAAGGCAGTTAAGAAGAGACATGACAGAGGTTTGCAACATCACGGATCGGGAAAGGCTTCTTTTCTTCTCTTGCAACACCGGAACTTGTTATGAACTGTTGGAATGCTGTTATGATTGATGGAAGTTTGGGGGCAGAAAAAAGAAAGTACTTCTTTGCACAGCATACAGTTTAACTGCGGAACTCACTCCCGCCGGTCCAGCAACTTGTACAGCTTTAAAAAGGTTAGAAAAATTAACAGAGGGTAAAGTTACCAGCTATGATGGCTCTGCTTAGTGAGTGCAGCTTCCTTCTAAATACCAGCAGCTGGAAACTGCAGGAGGGAAAAGTTGGGTCTTGAATTCAAATCCTGCTTTGCAGGTTTGCTACAGGCATCTGGTTGGCCATAACTGCATCTTGCGGAGAATGCCATATCTGAACTGTGCAAAGTATTTCCCTGAATCTCCCAACAGAGATTCTGGAGTAATACAAAAGGCCAAGACGTCACTAAGGCCTGACAGTCCTGCTTCACAGAGGGACTTACGGGGTTTGGCCACCCAAAGATGGAGAATGGAAACAGACCGGACGAGAACCAGGTGTCCAGGACATCCTCATCTGCGAAGGAGACAAAAGAAATATATAGAGTCATCTATTAAGAGAGAGAGAGAGATCAGGACCTTTGTTCTTTATATTCGAGCAAGTTTAAAGGTAAAGGTAAAGGGACCCCTGACCATTAGGTCCAGTCGTGGCCGACTCTGGGGCCGCAGCGCTCATCTTGCTTTATTGGCCAAGGGCGCCGGCATACAGCTTCCGGGTCATGTGGCCAGCATGACTAAGCCGCTTCTGGTGAAGCAGAGCAGCGCACGGAAACGCCGTTTAGCTTCCTGCCAGAGTGGTACCTATTTATCTACTTGCACTTTGACATGCTTTCGAACTGCTAGGTGGGCAGGAGCAGGGACCAAGCAACGGGAGCTCACCCTGTCGCGGGGATTCAAACCGCCGACCTTCTGATCGGCAACTCCTAAGCTCTGTGGTTTAACCCACAGCGCCACCCACGCCCCTTAACAAGCAAGTTTAGCTTTCATTTAATCCAAGAATAAGTAACTTTTCACCCTGTTCAAGGGGCAAATAAACATCAAAATTGTGCTTTGAGTATGGCACCCACACACTATACATTTAAAACATGCTTTAACAGCCATGGTGTACCCCCAAACAATCCTCTCTGGTCCTGGCTGGCCCTTCCCCAGCAGCAGTTGTGGCCCCAACAGCTGCTCAAGCTGCGTCAGAGGGGACTCGCACTGCACAGCGCTGACAGGTCCCTTGAGTGAGTCCATACCCCTGGCAGTCGCAAGAGGACTTTCCTGTGGCGGCAGGCAGCAATGATACTGAGGAGCGGGGGCGGGTTAGGCTTCTCGCCTGGGGGCTGCCATTTTCCGCCTCAGCTTCTGCCCTTCTGCCTCAGGCCTCCACCATGCCTGCCTCCCTGGGGGCCTCCTCTGGCGAGTGGCTCCGCAGTGACGGCTGGGTCTGTGGTCAGGCCAGGACCCAGAGACCACTGAGGGGAAGAGGAAGAGGAGGAGGAGGGAGGCCTGGTGCAGGGGCAGAAGCGGGGCCTGCTCAGCCGGCCAGACTGCTCGCCTGCTCCCTCAGGGCAAGCAAAAAGGAGAAGAAGAAGAACCCGGATGTTTTTCAAAATTTATAAAATCCGCCCAGGTGATTTCACCCTAGAAATCCAGAGCATGTCCAGGAAAATCTGGACGTATGGCAACCCCAGCACCACGCTTTCGCAGGTGTGTGTGTAATGTGCAAGATGGGAGTCCCTCTTTAGGATGAGGATGGCAGCCAGGATAAGACGACGGCTCCCGCTGCTTCACAACCTCCTTGCAAATCTCCCACCCACCCACCTTATCCCTCCCCCTGCTGTACCTTGCCGGAGGGAGATTTTTTCCGTGGGCACCTTGAAGACTTTGGCTGCTTTCTCTTTGACCTCCTGCTCGGTTCTGCCGCTTATCCAGTATCTACCATCCGTATCCTGGGCAGAAGAGGACAGATTATTTAAAACAGTTTCCCCAACCTGATTAAAAACATGGGACAATAAATACAAGCTATAAAGCGGGGGGGGGGGGGGGAATCTTCCAGCTCAGGGGCCACTTTCCTTTCCAGGCAACCTTCCGAGGGCCACATACGCCCCTCACACACCCCTCTCTATCTTCCACCCATGCTCATTCCCAGAAGAGAGAGAGGGATCATGCATGTACAGTCTCATTTTATTCCAGGGTAAGCTACCATATTCATTTTGCGAGACTTTCCCAGGCATTTTGGTGCATGCTTCCTGACTTTTCCCATAAGCTTATTCCTTGTTTTGAAGGAAACAAGGTTGTTATTGTGCATTCTGTAACAACAGCGCCCAATATGGCTCCTTTTCTTCCCCTCCCTTTTGTGTTGTTTCTTTCGCACTATAAACCAGACGGGCAAGGGCTCTGTTATTATTGATCCATTGCAAACCATTCTGGAAGCCTTTATACGGCTAAAGAATGTTTGTTGGGGTGGGGCGCTTCAAATAAACAACAGCATTGCCCCTTAGCTTTCAGCTTCTCTTTGGAAATCTGAACTTAGTAACAGGGAAATGCCGTATTTTTTGCTCTATAAGACTCACTTTTTCCCTCCTAAAAAGTAAGGGAAAATGTGTGTGCGTCTTATGGAGCGAATGCAGGCTGCGCAGCTATCCCAGAAGCCAGAACAGCAAGAGGGATTGCTGCTTTCACTGCGCAGCGATCCCTCTTGCTGTTCTGGCTTCTGAGATTCAGAATATTTTATTTCTTGTTTTCCTCCTCCAAAAACTAGGTGCGTCTTGTGGTCTGGTGCGTCTTATAGAGCGAAAAATATGGTAGTTCTTTTCCAGGCATTCCTCCAAGCCCTCTAATCCCACCCTGGGCTACCTGCTCAGAGAGGACCATGGAGATGGCCGTTTATACATCCCAAACATTTTCCGTGTTTCGTTTCCTCGGCTGTCTGGTCCACCATCTGCCCTCAGTGTCTTACCTCTCCTGGTGGCACGGAGGGGTCGTTAACGGTCACAAAATATGCCGGGATACGGTGGCCCCACCACAGCTGCCGAGAAATGCACCAGTCCCTAGAGGTGGAGAGAGAGAGAAAGAAAAGAGTCATAAAAGTCCTCAGCACAGAACACTAAATCGTCTGGCGAATCTGGATGCATGCGCACAGCACACAAAAACCAAAGGACCAGCAGGCACACAGAAATCTCGCCCGAACAAAAGGACATGGCTCTTTCTGTCCCCTTTGCCTGCCTTTAATGCCCCCACCCACCCACTGCATTCAGCGCCCTCCCCCTACAGCGCCACAGGAACTGGGCAATCCCACAGCAACCCTCACCTGATATTGTCCATCCAGTTGAACCAGGTCTTGAGGTGGAAGTCCGGCACGATGCGGAGGTCGCCCCGGCGCACTGCCTCGGCCGCTCCGCGGGCCATCGTGTCACAACGCACGTACCACTGGGGTTTCAGGAGCGGCTCCACCACGTCTTTGGAACGGCTGCAGGCATCCGGGTGGGGGGGGGAGTGGGAAACAGAATTAGCTCCGGCAAGCGAGTGAAGCCGGCGCCAATGGATGGCAGAACAATCTGCTCCCCGTGATAATAAAGGTTCCTACTAGAACAATTCATTGCTCTTCCTATTTCTGGGATAGCTCCGTCGGTAAAGCATGAGACTTTTAATCTCAAGGTCGTGGGTTCGATCCCCACATTGGGCAAAAGATTCCTGGATTTGCAGGGGGTTGGACTAAATGAAGCCTTGCGGTTCTTTCCAACTCTACGATTCTCCACACCAGGCAAGGTATTTTCCACCTTTTCTGCATACAGAATGCCCTTCCGTCTAACCAGTTTCGAAACCCTCCTCCCCTCAGAATCCTTTCCCCCCAAGGTATCACACCCTTTCAAGCTTCCCCCAACTACTTCTGAGCAGACATGGTTAGGATCTCACCGTAAACTAAATAGCTTAGCCACGGGCCAGTAACCATCTCTGGCGGTTCATACGTAACCATGGTTTGGCCAACAGGGTCACTGCTTTGAGCTTGCACACTCCCCTGACCCCCTTAGGTTATGGGCCCATTGCCTCACTCACAACCTGGTTCGAGCAAACCGTAGTTTGCCGTTACATATGAAACCGGATAGAGTATGGTTTGACTCTACATTTGTAGCAGTGCTACAACTGGAACGGGCTGCCTCCTTTCCTGGAGGCAGTTCAGCAGAGGCTGAACATCCATCCGTCAAGGGTCTTGCGATTACATCCTGCACTGTAGATCCCGCACTGAGGAAGGGGTCAGGGCTGTAGGGCCTCCAAAGTCCCTTCCAACTCTCTTTTTTTGGATTTTGCGCACCTCAGAACACCCGTCTCCCATAACATCAACACCCTTTTCTGACAGACGGTACCCATTGTGTTAGGTGCAATGGGTACCGTCCTCTTCACAACCAATTAGGTTGTGAAGAGGTTGCTTCAGAGAACAGGGCTGCCGGCCAAAAACCAGAAGGTCCCACCACCCAGATCAAAATTATTCCTCTCCCCCATCCTCTTCTCACCTGCAGATCGGTACCACCATGGGATTGTCCTTCACATCCCTCACGAGCCCCGCGTCCTTCAAAAGTTGGAACACAGCACGACGAGCATCAAACCGCTTCATGCCCTGGAAACGGGTTAAGGAGAAGGTAAACTGGCGGCAGGATCTACAACAAAATGTTGCAGCGTGGAACACTGTTTCTCGGGAATTCCAGAGACTTGGCTCCTTTTTCCACACGTGCGCCTCCAGTTTTCCTCCCTTTCTTCTCCTCACAACAGTCAGTCACCACACTAGAGCTACTGAGCAAGCTCAGGCCTCTCTTGGCTGTTGTTGGGTTTTGTGGGAGGCAGGGAGTCCCCTACCTTAGGGCGGCTGCTGTTTTGCCTAAACGTATTTTGGTACTTCTGAAACCTTGAGGTTCCCCAAAGCATGCTGCTTACCTTTAGTTATAGTGTCTGGGGTTAAGCAACAAGCACTGAACATCAGAATAGTAGTAGTAGTAATAATAATAATAATAATATTTATACCCCGCCCTCCCCAGGCCGGGCTCAGGGTGACTAACACCAAACATAAATTACAATAAAATGTAATAGAAAACAACAACAAACAAACAAACAAACAAACAAACAAACAAACAGTTAATACGGCTTAATACAGCTTAAATGCAGACTCATTTTAGTAGTAGCCCATAAATCAAGACCATAAAGGGAGGAAACATCAGATATTCCCCCGAGCCAGCTATCCATGCTGGTCCTACATGGGCCAACAAAAAAGCCAAGGGAAAATTTATATACCAAATCCCATATAAGGGGTCAGAGTGAGTCTAAGCCGAAGGCCAGGCGGAACAGCTCCATCTTGCAGGCCCTGTGGAAAGATGTCAAATCCCACAGAAGAAACGAGAGCACTGGAAGGTCCATGACAGTGACCTAGGCCCAAATCACTGAGATGGGATCCTCACGCTCCAAACCCATCCTTCAACCCATTACAAACAAGGACCAGGCATAAACAGATTATAAACATCTAAGAAGAGGCCTGCTGGATTACTCCACGGACCCATCTGGTCCAGCATCTTGTTTTCACAGTGGCCAACCAGATTCTAACCTCAAGCCCTCAAGAAGGGGTTGAATGCCGTAGTCACCCTCCCCGCTTGCGACTCCACAGAGAGGCCTACCACTACCTCCAATACTGGAGACAGCAACTACCCACAGCCTTATCCTTCCCAGATATGAAACCAGAGGCTGCTTTGTCCAATCGCAACATTAAGAACCGCCTGGTGGACCAGGGCGAAGCCCCACTGAGTCCAGCATCCTACTCTCACAGCGGCCAACCTCAGGGAGACCTGCAAGCAGGACCTGAGGGCAACAGCTCCCTGGACCCAGTGGAGTAGGAAGGGGGGCGTGCAGGCCACCCCAGGTGTTATCACTCAGGGGGGTGACAAAATGGCAAAAATGTGTGTGTGTTTCTTTAAAAAATGGGCTCACAACATCTTTTTTTTGAAAAAATAACTCCTGCACCCACTGCACCCCCCTTCCCGGGCCCTAAGGAAATTAGATTATCCTCCGCCAGGGCCTTCTCAGTGATGGCTCCGACCTGGTGGAAGGCTCTGTCCCATGAGACCAGGGCCCTGCAGGATTTAACTTCCTTCCGCAGGGCCTGTAAGACAGAGCTATTCCGCCTGGCTTTCAGTGTGAACCTGGCCTGATCTTTTGTTCCCCTTCCTTCCCTCCCCCTCCCCTTTTTATGAAGATTACCCGCTCTGGGATCCCACAGCTAATTCTCCCCTGGTCTCCTCGCCGGCCCAAATAGGACTAATTTAGCCAGCTAGCCCTGGTGATCATCTAATGTTTATTGGATGGATTTCCCCCCCTAAATTGATTTTTGAATTCTGAATTTTTTGTTAATCACGTTTTTATGCCTTTTTTTGTTGCATCAATTAAGTGTTTTAAATTTGTTGTTAGCCGCCCTGAGCCCAGTTTCCTGAACCGGGAAGGGCAGGGTATAAATAAAAAAATATTATTATTATTATCATTATTCCTACGCCACTGGAAGCTAGGTGAGGTGGGGGGCACTGGGGGGCACTGTGCGCCACACCATGGGGCCTGCAGCATGCCTGAGCCACGTCTCTCTCCTGGGGTGGGGGGAGGCGGTGGGCAGACTGCCTTCAAGCTCTACACTGCTTTTTTGAGCAGCGTGGGGCTTGCGTCTGCCCCTGGCTGCAGGACACACCCACCACACCAGGCACCCAAGCAGCTAGCTACGCCGCCACCCGGACCCACCTGTAGTTCCCAGAAACTGGCACTGAATCTCCAACAGAGATCCACCGTACAACCCGCTCCTCCCATCCATACCTGGAAGGTGGGGGGCACATTGACGAGGCAGCCGGTCTCGTCGATGATGGTGATGAAGTCGAGCCCGTGGCGCAGGCCCACCTCGTAGTCGTTCGGGTCGTGGGCCGGGGTGATTTTCACAGCCCCTGAGAGACGCAGGAAGAGGAGGAGGAGAAATTAGAAGAGGACGGCATCCATCCTGCTTTTGGATCTGACTGGTGGCCGTTCAGGTTGCTTCCCAACTGCCCACCCCACAGTCTCTTAAGTGCGGCTGAAGGCATGCAGTTGGGCAGGTGCTTTTCCCAGCCTTCAACCAGAAAGCTCCTCTAGTTACACCCAGTGGTGTAACTAGACCCTGAGGTGCTGAAGTTCATCAGGAACAGCCCCACCTACCCCTATAGCTTTGAGGACTTTTTTTTTTTTTTTGCATGATCAGGCAGTGTATAAATCCTATTAAATACATAAACAGCATGCCCCTAAACGCCAAGTCACCACCCAAAGGAGGACAATTCGAAAGTGGAGATAGCAAATGTGCTTGTGTATGTGTGTGTGTGTGTGTGTGTGAATTAATACACAACCAACAAGTCTTTCAAGAGGGAGTCCCACAGCAGCGCAAAGGTTATAAATGTCTGTGAACCAAGGCTGCTGTGCCTGCGAGTAAGGCTCACGAGCTCAGGAGAACTTGCCTGAGCTTTCACAGAAGACCTTCACTCAGCTGAAAAACCAAGCTTGCTGTCAGAAACACAAAACTAAACTTGGAGGGGGGAAAGTTTAAATTTAAATTTACATTGGCTCCCAGTACATTTTCGAGCACAATTCAAAGTGTTGGTGCTGATCTTTAAAGCCCTAAATGGCCTTGGCCCAGTATACCTGAAGGAGCGTCTCCACCTAGACATACCAGTTCTTTTGGGAAATAATTTATAATAAGTTGGAAAAAAATGTTTAAAAACACTTTTCCAAACAACAACAACAACCAGAGTCCTTTTTGTTGGGGATAATTCATATGGAAATTCCAAGGTGTCAAAAAAAGTTTATTTATGTATGCCACTACTGCGGCCCAACTAAAGAAGAATGGCAACTTAAACTGATGGAATATGCACAGCTTGCAGACCTAACATAGAATAAGAGAACAAGAAGAACATACATTTAAAGAAGATTGGGAACTGTTTATTGAATATGGGGGGGGGATTGTGTACACTTGAAAACGTTGGCAGCATCAAGATGAATTCAACAGTGTAAATTAGTTTTGATGGATGTAATAATGGAATACTGAATGGTTTAGTTTATATAAAATATGCAGTGATTTATGTTATGCAAAATGAACCATGGAAAGAGAAGAAGGGAAATCACTGATATTTTAAGGTTGTTTAATTGAATATTCTAAATCGTAGTACAGAAAATTTAATAAAAATAAATATATACAGTAGTACCTCGCTTTGCGACTGGGATCTATTCCAGAGCCCTGGTCACTGGCCAAAAAGGACACTGGACAAAGCGCCACATCTGTGGAGCAGTTTGCACTTCTGCACATGCACGAGCGGCGAACCCGGAAGTAACCCATTCTGGTACGTACGGGTTTGCCGCAGACATTGGACGGAATGGGCACTCAACAAGGCAGACGCACGAGGTACCACTGTATCTATACATATATATATATATATATATATATATATATAAAAACAGACATACCAGTTCCAAACTCCATGTCTACAAAGTCATCGCAAACTATAGGCAAGCACTTAGCAGTGAAGGGATGGAGGACTCTCCGGCCGTGCAGGTGCTGGGAGACAAACAGAGAGAGAGGAGAAAAGTTTAGCTAAAATATTCCCAGATCACCCGAATAAAGAATACTCCAAAAAGGTAATCTGAAGTAGAATCTACTGCCCACATCCAGTCCTTAAGATCCATTCCACGCATTTGCAGCCCAACCAACTCAGCCCTCCATTCCTGTAACTTTCTTCCTATTGCAAAATATCCTGTATTTCCAAGTGTGGGGGAGCCTGTTCCTGAACTACAACTCCCATCATCCCTGGCCAGTAGTGTCATGTTTGACGGGGCTGATGGGAGCTAGAGCAACACTTGGAGGGTCAAAGGTTGTCCACACCAGCTGTGTCTGAACTGCCTTCTCATCCTGTTACAACTTTCGTCACTAACTAAGGTGCCATATTCCACTGAGTGAAACGAGATTACTTGTCCTTCATTTATTCCAAAAAGAAAAAAGTGGAGGGAGCTTTTAAGCAGCTGGGCAAATACAGGAAATGCTCCCTCATTAGTCTGGGCATACTGACCATATCGGAAATACAGAGCAGGCCCCAGGCACAATTGAGAAAAAGCACCTAAACTCTGGTACTTCTTCTTTTCTTTGGCGATCACTCGTAGCCGAGTAAGACTGTCTTCCCTAAACACGGTTTTAACAATGAGTCCGTAAGTGACTGTGGAGGCCAATTCTGGATCCACACGTCCTTCCACAGTGGGGACATTGGTTTCTGGGTGGGAGTTGATCACGGTGTGGATTTGCCAAGCGTGCCTTCCTCTTAGCACGTTTCTCCCTTGCGTCCTGAGTTTGAGTGTCTTCAAAGCCCATGACACCTTTGGTAAAGGCTGCTCTCCACCTGGAGCGCTCGCAGGCTAGTGTTTCCCAGTTGTCAGTGTTTATACAGTGGTACCTCGGGTTAAGTACTTAATTCGTTCCAGAGGTCCGTTCTTAACCTAAAACTGTTCTTAACCTGAGGCACCACTTTAGCTAATGGGGCTTCCCGCTGCCGCCGCGCCGCCAGAGCACCATTTCTGTTCTCATCCTGAAGCAAAGTTCTTAACCCGAGGTACTATTTCTGGGTTAGCGGAGTCTGTAACCTGAAGCGTATGCAACCCGAGGTACCACTGTACTACATTTTTTAAGATTTGCCTGGAGACAGTCTTTGAACCTCTTTTGTTGACCACCAGCATTACGCTTTCCATTTTTAAGTTGGGAATAGAGTAGTTGCTTTGGAAGAAGATCATCAGGCATCCACACAACATGACCAGTCCAACGAAGTTGATGTTGAAGAATCATTGCTTTGCAACTGATGATCTTTGCTTCTTCCAGTACACTGATATTAATTCGCCTGTCTTCACAAGTGATGTGTAAAATTTTTCAGAGACACTCTGGTACTAACCCTATGATTGCAATAACCCTTTCAAATAAATCTAACCTAGAACACTACAGGTGTTCATTTGTCTTTCACTAGGAAGTGCAGCAGCAAGAATCATTCAGCAAGCAATCATTCATCCTATTACAGTATTAGGCTGGATGGAAGAAGATGCTAGGAATTATATGTTAAAGCAACAACAAACAAACCTATGGTCACGTAAAGCATACTCAATAAACACAGGAGACGTGACTGGCTCTGTTCTTAGATAAATAAGATGTACTATTCATAGTATCAAATTGAAAATTTCAACAGCTACTACTATGCCATAGGATCCACTATCCTGTAATATCATATATGAGCCTTAATTACTGATGAAGCCCAGGATGGCGAAACAAGGCCTATATTCCGGAAATCCTTGTGAAAGGATTTTGTGAAAGGAAATCCTTGTGAAAGGACTTTGTGAAAGGATTTTGTGAAACTGTAACAACCTTTCATGTGGATGGTTTGGACTTTATGAACAGACAGGTGGAATGGATACCATTACACGGATGGACCTTATGCATGAACTGACTATAGAATGATCTGATCCACTGGGTCTTCTGTTTTGTTCGTTTGTTGAACTTTATGAGTTACTTCTGTTGAAATTTACAATTTGATACTATGAATAGTATATCATATTTATCTAAGAACACAGCCGGTTACGTCTCATGTGTTTATTGATTATTTATTAAGGAGTTATATGTCAGCCAGGACAACTTATTGAGATTTGACAATTGGTGGAGTTGGGAGGGAAAAGTTGTTCTGATGGAGTTTCTTCCCCAACAAGAAAGATAAGCCCCCCTGTTTATTTCTCCTCGTCCTTGTACCCTTTGTAAAGTCTTATTTGTTCCTTTTGCTCTGCGGACTCTGTTTTAATTTCAGTCACTCTCTGCTAGCAGCCCTCAGGGTTACTTACCTTGTACCGGGGATCCTTTGGGTGGACAGCCACAGCGGTGTCCCCCAGCATCGTCTCAATACGGGTCGTGGCCACCACCACTTCTTCATCTAGGGAGGAAGGAAGGAAGGAAGGAAGGAAGGAAGGAGAAGAAGAAGAAGAAGGAGAAGGAGAAGAAGAAGAAGAAGAAGAAGAAGAAGAAGAAGAAGAAGAAGAAGAAGAAGAAGAAGGGGAGTTTGGATTTGATATCCCGCTTTATCACTACCCTAAGGAGTCTCAAAGCGGCTAACATTCTCCTTTCCCTTCCTCCCCCACAACATACACTCGGTGAGTGGGGCTGAGAGACTTCAAAGAAGTGTGACTGGCCCAAGGTCACCCAGCAGCTGCATGTGGAGAAGCGGGGAAGCGAACCCGGTTCCCCAGATTACGAGTCTACCGCTCTGAACCACTACACCACACTGGAAGGAAAACAGCGGGTCAGTGATCCTCTCTGAGAAACGCTGGTCCCACAACAGAGCGAGCCAAGAGTCAGAGAAAAAAGAAAGGGCGTCAGATCCTGATCCCAACCCAACTGCCCACCAGGCCTCCTGACTCACCGGAACCTTCAATCTTGTACGCAAAGAAGACCAGCACCCCGAACTCAACCTTGTTCTCGTAGCCGGGGACAGGTAAGAGCGTCCGGCCCGTAAGTTCCTTCTTGTCCACCTGGGAAGAGGAAGGTGCCCATGGTGTGTCACCCTCTTCTCACGGGGCCTAACACAGGAGCAATAGCTGGCCCGATGCCCATCCTGCGTTCTCTCCCACCCAGAGGGGGCTCGTGGGGAGACGGTAAGGGGGCAAACAGTAGGGGGTGCCGGAGCCAATGACTCTCATTTTGTCCTCCTCTTCCTTCCCTGGTGAGTTCACACTGTACGTTCAAAGCACTGTGATATTGCTTTAAACAGTCACGGCTTCCCCCAAAGAATTCTGGGAGTGGTTCCCCCTCACACAGCTGCAATTCCCAGAATTCCCTGTGAGGATCGATTGTTAGGCCACTCTAGGAACTGCAGCCCTTGTGAGGGGAAACAACCCTCAGCACCTGTAACAGACTGAAGCTCCCAGAATCCTCTGCAGGAAAGCCATGGCTGTCTAAAGTGGTCTTTAAATGTATGGTGTGACTCTGGCCACAAAGGCAACGCTAAGGCTGAGGAGGAGGGAGCTGACATTCAGGGCCACACCTGGCCAGCTTGAAAGTAGGAAGGCAAGCAAGTGGGGTTGCTGACCAACTAGGGCAAACTGAAGTTGGGGCGACAGCATCCCATTTGCCCAGCCTCTCCTGACCCTGTCACCTCTATGTCGGAGATGGCCGAGTTGAGGGCGCACGACCAGTTCACGAGGCGCGTGCTCCGGTAGATGACGCCTTCCTCGTGCAGCCGGATAAAAGCCTCCTGGACGCTGTTGGAGAGTTTCTGTGGGCAAAGCAAGGGAGAAGTTCAGTTCAGGCGCATCCATCTCTTGCAGGACGCAAACAAAATCGCAGTCCGTTCGACTCTGAAATATAACTGCAAAATCCAGTTGTTGGATCTTGGGGTTTAGCCAAAAAAACAACATTGAAAAAACAAAAACCCAAAGCAGCTCCCCTAAGTCTAAAGTCTGCCACTGCTGTCCTAGAAGACTATTGGCATAACCAGTCATTTCCTGAACTGGTCAGCAATGGTTAATAGAGGTGTTCCATCTGGTTGATCTTATCCGTCACGCCCAGTATACCTGAAGGAGTGTCTCCACCCCCATCGTTCAGCCTGGATACTGAGGTCCAGCTCCAAGGGCCTTCTAGTGGTTCCCTCAGTGCGAGAAGTGAGGTTACAGGGAAGCAGACAGAGGGCCTTCTCGGTAGTTGCGCCTGCCCTGTGGAACACCCTCCTACCAGATGTGAAGGAAATAAACAACTATCTGACTTTTAGAAAAACATCTGTTTAGGGAAGTTTTTAATGTTGGGTGTTTTCTTGTGCTTTTAATATTCTGTTGGGAGCTGCCCAGAGTGGCTGGGGAAACCCAGCCAGATGGACGGGGTATAAAGGTAAAGGACCCCTGACAGTTAAGTCCAGTCGTGAATGACTCTGGGGTCGCGGTGCTCATCTAGCTTTACTGGCCGAGGGAGCCAACGTTTGTCCGCAGACAGTTTTTCCGGGTCATGTGGCCAGCATGACTAAGCCGCTTCTGGCGAAACCAGAGCAGCGCACGGAAACGCTGTTTACCTTCCGGCTGGAAGTATTTATCTACTTGCACTTTGATGTGCTTTCAATGGGCAGGGTATGAATAATAAATTGTTGTTGTTGTTGTTGTTGTTGTTGTTGTTGTTGTTGTTACCGGGTCCATTGTAAAGCAGGCTCTGTCCCAGTCCATTGAGGCGCCCAGTTTCTTCAGCTGGTGGTAGATCCGATCGCCTTTTCTGCAAGAAAAGAGCCAGAGGGAAAAAGCACCCTGAGCACGTCATGTCTCTAGAAGACGTGACACGGCACAGGGACGAGGTTCAAGGCGGTCAGAAAAACGGGGCCAGCCTTGAGACAACTCACTCGGTCTTCCATTTCCAGACGGCCTCGACGAACAGCTCTCGCCCGAGGTCGTGCCGCGTCTTCCGTTGCTCCTTCCACAGCTTCTTCTCCACCACCACTTGCGTGGCGATGCCGGCGTGGTCGCAGCCGGGGTTCCACAGAGTGGTCTCCCCCTTCATCCGGTGCCTGGAAGACACAGGGGCCGTGAGCAGCTGTTCCTCAGGCGACGTCGTTCAGGAACAGCCAATGCGGCGTTCTCTAGGTGCTGCCAGACTACAAATCCCAACATCCCTGACAACTAGGGCTGATGGGAATTGGAGCCCAGCAACACCTGGACATGTTTTGTTGGCTATCCTCCTATGACAGGCATGGCCAAACCCAGCCCTCCAGAAATTTTGGGACTACAACTCCCATCATCCCTAGCTAACAGGACCAGTGGTCAGGGATGATGGGAATTGTAGTCTCAAAACATCTGGAGGGTCAAGTTTGGCCATGCCTGTCGTATGACATACAATGTCGACCTTGAAGGCTGTGCTCCTGTTTGGGGAACCCTGGGGTTTCCCCCACCCCCACCCCCCGCATTCAAAGGGTGGTGTACATGTGCTCAGAAAGTGTGGTTCTTTCTCCAGAATACCACAGAGGCAAATGGGCAGGGACAGGGGAATTTTGAATAGGAAAACTAGCAGTGGGGAAAGGTCCAAGCCACATTCCTGTCAGTTTGCATTTACAGAAAGCATTGATCTGATGTGCAGAGATCTTTCCTATTCTAATTAATTCAAGGGGGTTCTGGAAGCTTCTCTGTGTGAAAGATACAAGCAGAAGGTCCATGATGTTTGGGTTACTCCTTCAGAGAAGCTGAGTACAGCTGGCCTAAACTGGTTCTCTTATCTCTTTCAATCAAGGTCATGCTGACTATAAAAATAGGCCAGAAGGAGCTTGGGTTTCACTTTCTCTCTCTATCTCTTTTCCTTCTGGTGTGGTGTTCTGTACATAGCATGCTCAGTGTTAAGGTTTAGACCTATTGTAAGTTATTGTAAGTTTAAGTTAAGTCTGCTGCAACTGGATTTCTTATGGACAGCACCAATCCTGAATGCATTAGATTTGTGACCATTATGCTCATTTGCCTTCAGGAAAGCTCTGCTGGATGAAATATAATTGCCTCTGGTCTATTTCTGGGGAATCCTGCAACATATTTAAGTTTTTACTCTGCTAACTATACGTTGAGGCTCTGCTCTGGACCAATACTGAGTAGAATTCCAGGACAAATCCCTCTCCTAGGAATCCTCTGGTAGAAAGAGTAGCCTCCTGAGGCTACTTTTCATTTAAAATGCAAGCCTCCATACCGGGAACAGCCCAATTCTTCAACCTGTACAAATTAGGTAAAGGTAAAGGGACCCCTGACCATTAGGTCCAGTCGTGGCCGACTCTGGGGTTGCGGCGCTCATCTCGCTTTACTGGCCAAGGGAGCCGGCGTACAGCTTCCGGCTCATGTGGCCAGCATGACTAAGCCGCTTCTGGCGAACCAGAGCAGCGCACGGAAACGCCGTTTACCTTTCCGCCGGAGCGGTACCTATTTATCTACTTGCGCTCTGACGTGCTTTCAAACTGCTAGGTTGGCAGGAGCAGGGACCGAGCAACGGGAGCTCACCCCGTCATGGGGATTCGAACCGCCAACCTTCTGATTGACAAGTCCTAGGCTCTGTGGTTTAACCCACAGAGCCACCTGCGTCCCTCTGTACAAATTATGGTAGTATATTTAGCCTATTCACCATTTTGCATACCTTTACATAACCTCTGTTTGGGTTAGCCATGGGGAGAGAAAGGCGCTACAGAGGCCACAGAGGTCTGAACACCCTTTCAAGCGTATATTTGAGACCATGAGGGTTAGGAACTTGAACTTGTTTTGTTCCAATCGAAAGCGCAGCAATTCTTCGGAATCTGAATTCTGCGCACTGTAGCCCATTCTGTGGATGTATGTGTTAACGACCTATACAAAGCCCCATGCCACTTGGGAGTCGGGGCTACCTGAATCAGCTCTCAGGCAGGGCAAAACTGGGGCAAGGAGGAGGAGTTTGGATTTGATATCCCGCTTTATCACTACCCGAAGGAGTCTCAAAGCGGCTAACAATCTCCTTTCCCTTCCTCCCCCACAACAAACACTCTGTGAGGTGAGTGGGGCTGAGAGACTACAAAGAAGTGTGACTAGCCCAAGGTCACCCAGCAGCTGCATGTGGAGGAGCGGGGAAGCGAACCCGGTTCACCAGATTAAGAGACTACCGCTCTTAACCACTACACCACACTGGCTCTCAGCGATCAGGCAGGGCAAAACTGGGGCAAGGCCAAAGAATGCCAGTTAAGGGGTGGGGCACAGAGGGTCCAGGTTCACAGAGACATCTAGGAAGGGCCCTAGCGTAAGGCCAGAAGGCTGTAGTCAAGGCAACTGAAGGAAAACTCACCATCGGGTCAGAGAGTCCTGGATGGCGTTGGTGAGGGCGTGGCCAAGATGGAGGGATCCGGTGACATTGGGAGGAGGGATACACATCATGAAGAGGCCTTTGGGGTTTGGCTCGGAGACGCTGCGACGCTGGAAAGGAGAGCAATGTTCGTGAGGCAGGCGGCCCTCCAGGAATCAGCCACAGAGCCGGCCCAACCGTGAGGCATGGCGAAACGACCGCCTCAGGCAGCAAGGTCCGCAGAGGCAGCGGATCCCAACGTAGATCTTTATCCACCCCTGCTCATCGGTGGTGTAATCTTCCCTTGCCCCTTCTTCCCTGGCTGAGGGGTGTGCGTGTCGGCCATTTTGTTGTCGGCTTCAGGCGCCAAAAAGTCTTGGGCTGGCCATGTTACCTTCCCGGGGGGATGGGGTGAGAGAATCCCACCCCACAGTCGCCCCAGGCTCAAACTCACCCCATACTCTGGCTTGAAAAAGCCCTGGCTCTCCCACCACTGGTACCAGGCGGCTTCAACGTACTGGGGGCTGTAGGAGTCAGGCATCGGGCTCTCCACATCTGGAAGGAGAAAAGAGACTTCGAGGCCTCCTAATACCTCCCTGCTGTGTTTGGGTGCTGCGGCTTCGGCTACATTATGACCCCCCCTTGGGTTAACGGGCTTCACAGTTGGCATGTCCGACGCCTGAGCGCAGTGTGGGCCAGAGAACTCCAGCCCTGCCCAGCTCCCTCCCACCCCCACCCCACTTACATTACCTTTTTTCTCTCCTGGGGGAGTTGGGATGTTGTAGGTTATGACCCCTAGATCCTTCTTCTCTTTCTTCTCAACTTTTGGCTTCTTCTGCAAAGAATCAGGATGGGGGCAGGAAGGTGGAAACAGGCCTCAAACACTATTATCACCCCCTGCCCCGAGCTCTTCGCTGTTTTCCTGAACTCAGACAAGTTCGGAGTGCAATTTTTTAAAACCTCACCTTTTCCCGGTTTTATTTATTATTGGAAAAAGGCGAAGTTTAAAATAAATTTTATTTATTTATTATTAGTGATACACACGCATACATATACGAACACACCAACTTGAGCTGTATTAAGAACCCACTATATTCTTCTGACTCAAAATTGTTTGAAATGACGTTTAGTATTGATTCAACCTGCCCTGGGAACGTACAGTGACGGAGTAGGTAAGAAAACCCGGTCAATAATAAAATGATTAAACAAAAGTTGGGGGACATCTATCCAAAACATCGCATGCGTAAGTGTCATGTAACTTGTCTTCCCTTTCCTTTCCCCAAGCATCTCCCAAATCTGCTCAAATCTTGGCGAGACCAGAATCCCTCAATCCCCAACACACTAGTATTCCACATGCAGGGAGCTCTTTTTTTGGAATAGATAGCACTGAAAAATATCTCTCTCACACACAAGGATCCTATTTTCTTCTTTTCTGGAATATTTAAATCTTCCCTCACTCTGTGCATGCACATGAAAGCTCATACCAATAACTAACTTAGTTGGTCTCTAAGGTGCTACCAGAAGGATTTTTTTATTTTTATTTTTATTTTATTTTGTTTTGCTTTTCTTACCTCCCCCTGTTGTTGTTGCTGCTGTTGCTGCTGCTGGCTTTTTTCCTTCTTCTGCTGAAACTTCTCCAGTTTTTCTTTCTTTTTGGCTTCTTTCTTTAGCTGGGATGCGCTTTTGGGCGGCTCTGTGAGCTCCTTGGGCTCTGAAAACTCTGCCTTAGGTTCTTAAGAGGAAAGGAAATAAACCAATGCGCAGCAGCCTTGTTAATAAATATTGCTTAATTGCCATCTGCCCTCCAGAATGGGGTGGGGGATCTGCAGCGCTCCAGAAGCTACTGGGCCCCAGCTCCCATCAGCTGCAGCCAGCATGGCCAATGGTCAAGGATGATGGGAATTGTAGTCCAGATAAATAGTTGGGAGGGCTGCAGGTTCGCCACCCCTACACTAGACCCACATCTCCTCACTGCTGCCAAAAAGTCTGTGCCTCTATGAACAACATGTTTCAGACCACAATTCAAAGTGTTGGTGCTAACCATTAAACTCCTATATTGTATACATGAGGGAGCATCTCCACCCCCATTGTTCAGCCCAGACACTGAGGTCCTTCTCTGAGGTCCTTCTGGTGGTTCCCTCACTGCGAGAAGCGAGGTTACAGGGAAGCAGGCAGAGGGCCTTCTCTGTGGTGGCACCTGCCCTGTGGAATGCCCTCCCATCAGATGTCAAGGAAATAAACAACTATCTGACTTTTAGAAGACATCTGAAGGCAACCCTGTTTGGTGTTTTGTATTTCTGTTGGAAGCCACATAGAGTGGCTGGAGAAATCCAATCAAATGGGCAGGGTATAAGAAATATAATATTATTATGTCATCATCATCATTACCATCAGTGCTTTTTTCTGGGGGTACTAAAGGATACAAGGTACCAGCACCTCCCCCCCCCCAATGTTAAAAGTGTGGCACTTACTGTAACAACTTCATGGTAAGTAAAGGTAAAGGGATCCCTGACCATTAGGTCCAGTCGTGACTGACTCTGGGGTTGCGGCACTCATTTCGCTCTATAGGCCGAGGGAGCCGCCGTACAGCTTCCGGGTCATGTGGCCAGCATGCCTAAGCCGCTTCTGGCAAACCAGAGCAGTGCACGGAAACGTCGTTTACCTTCCCGCCGGAGAAGCACCTATTTATCTACTTGCACTTTGATGTGCTTTCGAACTGCTAGGTTGGCAGGAGCAGGGACCGAGGAACGGGAGCTCACCCCGTCGCGGGGATTCGAACCGCCGACCTTCTGATCGGCAAGTCCTAGGCTCTGTGGTTTAACCCACAGCACCACCCACGTCCCTTTCATGGTAAGTATCAACACCTTATTTTCCTTTTTTTAAAAAAGCACTGCTGATTATGATGACTATTACTAAATCAGAAGGATGCCTGACTCTGCGGGCCACCTATTCAGGTTGAGGGCGACAAGAACAGAAAAGCCTTGCTAGGTCAGACCAAAAGCCTACCCAGTTCAACATTAAATTGTCACAACAACAACATTCTGTTCTCCCAAGCAATACAGACTGTAGCTCTGTTCTTCCTTGAGGTTTCTTTGCCCTCAGCAAATTCACAAGGATCTGGGTACGAGGACAACGGTAGCAGCACCTTACCTCTGAGATCTGATTTCAGGGTCCCCACAACAGTCGTTTGCTCACACAGCTTCATTGGACCCAAGATAAACTGGAATTCTGGCTGATTGACGCAGGTCAGGAACCACCGGGTGACGTTGGTGTATGAAGCGCGGAGAGATTGGTTGAGAACCTAGAGGAATCATTTGGAGATGAGGAGAGGAACACTATTATGAATATAGGTGAGAAGAAGGACAGAAACCCAACAACAGCGTTAAGTAGGAACATCTGCAGATGATAATAATAATAGTAGTAGTAGTAGTAGTAATAATAATAATAATAATAATAATAATTTATTATTTATACCCACCCTTCTGGCTGGGTTTTCCCAGCCACTCTAGGCTGCCCCCAATCGAGTGTTAAAAACAATACAGCAATAAATATTAAAAACTTCCCTAAACAGGGCTGCCTTCAGATGTCTTTTAAAGATAAGATAGCTACTTATTTCCTTCCCATCTGAAGGGAGGACGTTCCACAGGGCGGGTGCCACTACCGAGAAGGCCCTCTGCCTGCTTCCCTGTAACTTGGCTTCTCGCAATGAGGGAACCGCCAGAAGGCCCTCGGCGCTGGACCTCAGCGTCCGGGCAGAATGATGGGGGTGGAGACGCTCCTTCAGGTATACAGGACCGAGGCCATTTAGGGCTTTAAAGGTCAGCACCAACAGACTGCAGAGCCACTGATTCCCTGCCCCAACAAAAGCAGAGTAGTAGAAACTGCTGCAAAATTATGCTACCGATGCCCCATTGGAGCAGAGGATGGGAGGGATACTGCAGGGAGACTCACATATTTATACGGCAGCAACAAAGAAGACGCAACCGTCACGTCAGCCAACGTCATGGCTTCGCCCACCAGGTATGTCCGCAGCTTCAAGTGGCCGTCCAACACCGCAAGGAGACTCTGGAGCTCTGTCACAGCGCGGTCTGTCACCTGGGCAGGAGAAGAGTGTGTGATCACACCCGCAAACCACCACCTTTCATGGTACAATGCTCAGAAGATACCTGTCGCCTGGACTCCTTGCAGGGCCTTTCTGCATAAGGGGTCCCTGAATTAAAGGTGACCCTCCCGCTCTGTTGAGGTACATTGGCACTACTCCCCGCCACTGTGTCCCTTCCACCCTGTATGTGGTCTAGCTCACTAAATGCCCTTGCTCATGATTCGGGGGGGGGGGGAGTTAAAATCAAACAAAAACAATGAATGAAAAAGTGTTTAAGGTCTTGTTAAACACGCTGGTGCCATGACCTTTGGATCCTGCAAAAGTAGGGAAAGAAAACAGCACAGAGCAACGTGGGGCTCAGCTGCATAGTGTGCTTGCTTATTTATTTATTTGGCAAAATGTACCGTATTTTCCGCTCTATAGGACGCACTTTTCCCCCTCCAAAAATTAAGGGGAAATGTGTGTGCGTCCTATGGAGCGAATGCAGGCTCTTTGGCTTCAGCGATAGCAACGCGAAGCCTCCAAAGCGCAGAGGGAGCGCTCCCTCCCCGCCCCTTGGCTTCGCGTTGCTTTCACTGAAGCCTGGAGAGCGAGAGGGGTGCGTCCTATGGTTGGGTGCGTCCTATAGAGCAAAAAATACGGTATATAGCGCACAACTGTTAAAAGAAAATCCTTAGAGCCGATTGCGAAAAGAACAGAGCAATAAAATTATCAGTCAAAGCAGTTAAACGCAACTATTTTAAACTTTCAAAAAAAATAATTAAAATCAATGAAAAGCGGGAAACCAAATTAAAACACAAGCCAGCATTACACATGCCTGGCTAGGCTGGTCTAAACAACAACGTTTTGGGCAGGTGCTGAAAAGCGTACAGCACTTGTATGTATGTTTATGCTTTTCGTTTTGTTCATTTGTCTCAAATAAACAAGAGTTATTTCTCAGAGCTTTTTTTTTTTTTTTTACACTTCCTCCCCCGCCCTGCCCACTTTCTTCCTGGCTCACAGCTCACTCCATTAACCACTACGCTATGGGTTAGACACAGTACCCTACCCCATCACAGCAGAGTTAAGCTTGCCTCTCACCTGTTTGCTTTGCTTGGAGACCCCCAGAACAGAGAAAGCAGCTGCGGAGGCCGCAGGAGCGATCTCCAAGTCTGCGAAACTGACCCACTGCCGTACCAGGGCGCTGGCTTCTGGGCTCTGCCCTCTCATGGCATCCGGGCAGAGCAGGTAAGAAACAGCCGCTGCACCAGAGACACGGACGCCCGCCTGGGTCTCCAGGGCTGGGAGTTTGGGCACAGAGAAGGAAGGATTCCCCAGCTCCTTGTCAGGAGGCAGGGAGACCACCCTGGGCTCGTGTCGGCCATAGCGGGCCGCAACCAGCACCCGCAGATTCTGGAAGTTATCCGGATGAGGGGAAAGGTACAGAGTTGGCATGGCGACCTGGAAAGAGAGGGCAACGAAAGCGTTAAGAGGGAGGACGTTAAGAGCCCTCTTGGAAATACAACAGGGCTGTCATGAAGAAGAGGGAGAAGACGTTCTCTGCTGAAGGTAGGTCAGAGATGGGCAGAGGGTAGTTTGGGGTCTCCTGCCAGATCCCTGGGTGATCTGAAGTAGACTGGTGAAGGTTTCCAACTCCTAACTGTTTAACAACAATTTAAGGTCAAGATACAGTGGTACCTCGGGTTAAGAACTTAATTCATTCCAGAGGTCCGTTCTTAACCTGAAACTGTTCTTAACCTGAGGTACCACTTTAGCTAATGGGGCCTCCCGCTGCCACAGCCATGCGATTTCTGTTCTCATCCTGAAGCAAAGTTCTTAGCCCGAGGTACTATTTCTGGATTAGCGGAGTCTGTAACCTGAAGCGTCTGTGATCGAAGGTACCACTGCACTGTTGAGATGTGGGGAGGGAAGTTGAGGGAGGGGATAACTGGGAGTGGGGGGCGGGGAGAGAGACAGAACTCTGAGTTCAGCTCAGTGCTGTCACGTCAAACCGAATCCCTGAAATCAAAATTATTTTGCTTGAGGCTTCAGTTGGAAGATCTCAGAGTTCGAGCAGAAAACAAGGCCAGTACAGTGGTACCTCGAGTTACAGACGCTTCAGGTTACAGACTCCGCTAACCCAGAAATAGTACCTCGAGTTAAGAACTTTGCTTCAGGATAAGAACAGAAATTGCATGGCAGCGGCGTGGCAGCAGCGAGAGGCCCCATTAGCTAAAGTGGTCTTCAGGTTAAGAACAGTTTCAGGTTAAGAACAGACCTCCAGAACGAATTAGGTTCTTAACCCAAGGAACAACTGTACTACAAACCTGATTTCTGTCCACCTGAGGTGATGCAATATGCAAACAAGGATTCATCGGTCTACTTACTTAGGGCAAATATACAAATGCCACAGATGGCTAGAAGAGACAGCTCGCTCCTCAGGATTTCCAACCTCCAATATGTTTGCCCACAGAGTTAAGTATAAAAGGCCTTACAACTTTATGGGTCTTTTTTTAAAAAAATTCCACCACCATATGAAGGAGAGGAGTTTAAATCGGCAAGAGCCCTGGTCCCCAATTCACCTTCAAACCCTTTCCATGTCATGGGAAGCCTGCCTTTCAGCAATTTCATCCCTGTTGTAAACTGTCATTATTACTATTGCTATTCCCCAGTCCCCACCCTGAGAACTCAGAAGTCCTGGCTCCCAGATCTGCCTCTCTCAGCTCTCCCTCAGGCACTGGGGTGGGGGAACAGGTTCAAACAGCAGTTGGGTGAAAAAGCCATGTGCAATTTGAAGCATAGGCATGTATATAGTTTTATTTTAAACTATTTCGACGTCACAAGCTCCGAGGACTTGTAACCGTGACATGTCAAAAATCCAAATAAATTAACTCGCGTAAGTACAAAGAGACCTTATTCTGCTGGCATGAGGCAAAGGATGTTAAATCTGCATCCCGCCAGCTCAGTACAGTGGTACCAATACAGTGGTACCTCAGGTTAAGTTCCGGAGGTCCATTCTTAACCTGAAATTGTTCTTAACCTGAAGCACCACTTTAGGTAATGGGGCCTCCTGCTGCCACCGCACCACCGGAGCACAATTTCTGTTCTCATCCTGAAGCAAAGTTCTTAACCCGAGGTAATATTTCTGGGTTAGTGGAGTCTGTAACCTGAAGCATATGTAACCCGAGGTACCACTGTACGAATAATCAAACAACAGACCTCGGAGTTTACATCGGAAATACAACAAGTTATCTGCATGTGAACTGGGGTGGGGGACAGACGAGAAAAAGAACTAACTATTTAAATCTGGACTTGGGCTCAGGTTTTTATTTAATAAGCTGAGGGTGGGAGAGAAAGAGAGACCGGCTGATTGACAAAATTAAAACTAAAGTGAGGAGCAGGTAGTAAACTACTCTGGGATGGGATAATGACCTAAAAAGCTGCCTTATATTGAGGCAGGCCATCGGGTCCATATAGCTCTAGTACTGAAATGAGGTTGAATTTTAATGTTGTATTTTAATCTTGTTTTTTAAGCTGTATTTCAATCGCTTTTCTATTTGGTGTTAGCCGCCCTGAGCCCGGTCTTGGCTGGGGAGGGCGGGGTATAAATGAAATTTATTTATATTTATTATTATTACTGCCTTACACTGACTCTGGGAGAGGGCAGGGAAGTGACTGGCGGCAGGGTCTTGGCAGCAGTCGGCAGCTTTGGATCGCGGGAGGAAATCCATGAGCAATTTTGTGGGTTCTTTGGGAGGAAACCAGAAACTGCAGTAAACTTGGGAACAGGAGTCGAAACTCCCAGGTTTTGCTGGAGACAAATGGGGCGCTAGAGGGGGGGTGGGAAGGGGTTGGACTGAGAATCTGCAATAAGTCTCTCTCCGGCAATGAATGAAATGCTTGGGGGGGTCTTTTTCTCGGGGTGGGGGTGGGGGAACCCCCCATGGCCGGACTCCTGGGTTCAGGGGAAGGGAGGGGGCGGGGTCCTCCTCTTACCTGCAAGTCCCGCCGGTTGCAGCTTCTCCCCCCCCCCCACGTGCTACTTTCCCATTGCGGAAGGACCCCGCCTGTAGCCGTCTGCTGCAACGCCTGCGTCACCAATTTGCAGCGCATGGCACTTGTAGAGTTGGAAGGGACCCGAGGGTCATCTAGTCCAACCCCCTGCAATGCAGGAATATACCCATGCTTAGAAGACATCTGAAGGCAGCCCTGTTTAGGGAAGCTTTTAATGTGTGACATTTTTAATCTTTGTTGGAAGCCGCCCAGAGTGGCTGGGGAAACCCAGCCAGATGGGCGGGGTAGAAATTTATTATTATTATTATTATTATTATTATTATTATTATTATTATTATTATTATTGGGGTAGAAATATATTATTATTATTATTATTATTATTATTGGGGTAGAAATATATTATTATTATTATTATTATTATTATTATTATTATAAAATCCCAGCTGGTGCCTTCCTTCCTTTCTTCCTTTTAAGAAAACAAGGAGGAGCGTTATGCACCTCTGCCCCCTTGCAGTTGTTAGGATCTGAGGGCCTGGACTCTGGTCTCCCTTGCCTAGTTCAGCCCCTCGACCCCTGCATATTGCCCTGCAAGAAATATTCTGAAATCCCTATAAGAATGCTATTGATTGACTCCTTTGTTCGTTTCATAAAAATTCCCGCACTTTATAACGCATGTGAAAAGAAATACAGTGCTACCTCAGGTTACATACCCTTCAAGTTACATACGCTTCAGGTTACAGACTCCGCTAACCCAGAAATAGTGCTTCAGGTTAAGAACTTTGCTTCAGGATGAGAACAGAAATCGTGCTCTGGCGGCGCGGCAGCAGCAGGAGGCCCCATTAGCTAAAGTGGTGCTTCAGGTTAAGAACAGTTTCAGGTTAAGAACGGACCTCCGGAACGAACTAAGTACGTAACCCGAGGTACCAATGTACTAAAACACATTAAAGCTACCTCAACCATTAAGCATCTGGGTAGGCTCCTAAAACAGGAATATTTCCAGCTGGTGTAGAAAGGGGTGTGGCGAAGGCGCGCCTGCTTGGTCTCAAGGTGCAGGGAGTTCCGCAGGTGCTGCCACAGGAAATGATGGAGTTCCTCATACGAAGGATTGACATTCTGTGTCCTTTTAAATGTCTTTGTGGGGTGTGAGGAAGGGGAAGGGTTATGGGCTTGGTTTGTTCTTGTTTATATTATGTCTTTTGTGGTTGTATTCTATATTTTTATGCTGTTAAACCCGCCACCCCACCCCCGAGATCTTCAGATGGAGGGTGGTATACAGTACTGAGTAAATAAGTAAATAAATCCATGAATGTGGAAAGAGCAGTAGTAGTGCCACTACCTTTATTAAAGGTAAAGGGACCCCTGACCATTAGGTCCAGTCGTGACCGGCTCTGGGGTTCGGGTGCTCATCTCGCTTTATTGGCCGAGGGAGCCGGCGTACAGCTTCCGGGTCATGTGGCCAGCATGACTAAGCCGCTTCTGGCGAACCACAGCAGCGCATGGAAACGCCGTTTACCTTCCCGCCGGAGCGGTACCTATTTATCTACTTGCACTTTGACGTGCTTTCGAACCGCTAGGTTGGCAGGAGCTGGGACCGAGCAATGGGAGCTCACCCTGTTGCGGGGATTCGAACCGCCGACCTTCTGATTCACAAGTCCTAGGCTCTGTGGTTTAACCCACAGTGCCACCTGTGTTCCTTTAATAAACTACCTTTATTAGGCCAGCATAAAAGTCACGGAATAGTGTGCAAGTTTTTTTTAGTTCTCCAGAACTCTTCGTCAAGCTAAATGATTTGGTGGTGGGGCGGAATAGGGGGGCGGGGAGTCGTGGAAAGGAAAATATTGATTGTCGAGCCTTAAGTTGTGGGGTGTTTTGAGGGGGCAGCAGAGGAGGGCTTTGTTAGGCTGGGCAGGGTGATGATCCTAGGCATGGTCCACGCAGAAGCTAAATTACAAGGAGTTAAGGCGAGATACTCCTTTTGTTTATTTAATTTTGCTTTATTAGTTCCATCAACAGAAAAACCAATCAACAAAAAAACACTTTAATACATCTAAATATAATAATTTCCTAATACATATATATTCCTAATCAAAGCTGTTACAAGACTTCTGCTTTAAAGCATTGCTCGCCAGATGCAGCTGTGTGGACGACACACGGATATACAGGGGACTATTTCACCCTATAGGGCATTCTGACCTGTTTTTAGCATTTAAACTTTTGTATGTTTTTGATGCAGGGTTGCCAGTTTATTTCTTTATCCTTTTTGTAAACCGCGCTGAGGGTTGCTGCTTTGTTTCTTTCTTTGTTTGCTTAAGCGGTGCATAAATGTTCTGAAGCAAATAAATAAATAGACATCCTGTATTGCAACCGACTTGCATCATACATGTTTTTACACAGGCAGTTCCGTGGCCAACCCTCGGTGATAAAGGACCCTAAAGCCAGACTTCCGCCTCCCGATTCTTATAGAGCAACACGTTGCTCACAATAGCCCGGTGGAAGGCGCAGGGTAGAGTGACACATAGCGCGCACTTCCGGTAGAGCCGCTTTTACCTGTTAACGAGGATACGTAGTGGGAAACAGGACCGGAAGTACCTATTAAGGACAGCTGGTGATGCCACGGCTGAGAAAGGGAGAAAGGGAGCCGTGAACGTAGAACTAGAAAAATTCAGAACAGTACACGCGGGTAGGCAGTTAGGCTGCCTTAGGTTAGAGGCTGCAGTTTTTCCAAGTCGAGCGGTGGAGCGCCCCCTCCTGGCGGGAGGGCCGCTAGTGCCGCTCGGATGCCCCGGGAACGCGGGCTGCAAGGCAGCCGTCGGCTGAGAAGTACGTCGCCTCCGCCTTTCCCCTTGTTTCCAGCTGCCTCCCCTTGCAGCTTGGTGCCCCTTTTTGCAATGCCCCGGGAATGGCGACCCTGCAGCGCCCACCCCACCTCTCCCAAGGATGCGGCTGGTTCCCGCCAGCCCCGGCCAAGGATGCAGGTTGGCGTCTAGCAAACACCTGGAGGGAGACCACGAACCCGCCATCCTCCCCGCCTTGCCGGGTGGTCCTTCCTGAGGGTCGGGCGGACAAAAGCCCTCGTCCCCAAGCAGCCCCGGTGGCGCAGCAGCAGCAGGAGGAGGCATCTGAAAAGTCACTTGCTGGCCCGCCCGCCGGCCGTGGGGAAATTTTCCGCCCCCGTGGGAAAATGGGCTTTGAATTTCCCACGCGCACTGGATGATGGATCTTCATAGCTTGGGGTGGTGTTTTTTTTGGGGGGGGAGAATCTGGCGGGTTAAATCGAGACGGGCAGAAAACCGGGTCTGGGGTAGCGCAAGATGATCAGAAAGCAGGGAAGCCTTTGGCCTTTCAGGTGGTGTTGGGAGCCCATGTCCTTGGTCAAACGTCCTGGTTCTAGACTATAGCAAGGCTTTGGGACAGGAGGCAGGGGCAGCCTGCGAAAGGTTCACACCCACACCCACACACCCTGTAGGGTAAGACCTGTAGTCTTGCTCAACGCAATGAATGGCCTCATCACTTCTAGTGTGACCATCTCCACTCCTGAGTTTCTCAAACTTGGGCCTTCAATTTTTGGACTACAACTCCCATTATCCCTGACCCCAACCACTGGTCCTGCTAGCTAGAGATGTTGTAGTCCAACAGCAGCTGGGGAGACCCAAGTTTGGGAAACAATGTCCGAAGCCTTGACCCTGGGACTGGGAATCATCCCTGCAACTCCAATGCTTGGTGTGACATAAGCGATGAAACTTGTGTGTCTTTCCTGAAAGGGCAGAGTTGGGTTGACTGCAAATTCCAGCGGCCTACCAAGGCTCCTCAACATGTGTGGACCCTGGCCAAAAAACAAGGCGCCAGTTCTGGTTTTTGTTTTGCTGGGCACACCTCTTTTGCTGAACTTATACTGTTCCATTTTGAACTGTTTTATTACTGCATTAATTTTATCTGTTTTCATAATTGTATATACATAGTCTGTTGCTCTAAGGGACGCGGGTGGCGCTGTGGGTAAAACCTCAGCGCCTAGGGCTTACCGATCGCATGGTCGGCGGTTCAAATCCCCGTGGCGGGGTGAGCTCCCGTCTTCGGTCCCAGCTCCTGCCCACCTAGCAGTTCGAAAGCACCCTTAAGTGCAAGTAGATAAATAGGTACCGCTTTATAGCGGGAAGGTAAATGGCGTTTCCGTGTGCTGCGCTGGTGCTGGCTCGCCAGAGCAGCTTCGTCACGCTGGCCACGTGACCCAGAAGTGTCTCCGGACAGCACTGGCCCCCGGCCTCTTAAGTGAGATAGGCGCACAACCCTAGAGTCGGACACGACTGGCCCGTACGGGCAGGGGTACCTTTACCTTTTTAGTCTGTTGCTCTAGCCCACTCATGGGGACTTGTGGTGAAGCATGGGTAATAAGTTTCATAAATATATGTAATCTAATTTTAGGCAATTGTCTCATCTTTCCCTCAGGGAACAGCCCCTCTCCTCAGCCTAGGAATATTGCATTCCACCTGTGATGATTAATAAGGGTGAGAAATCCACCCATCGTCTCATCAAGCCTTGTCATCTTAACTAGGAGCGCCAGTTAAACTCCCCATCTCCACCCTCTGGAGGGACAAAATGGCTGCTGAAAAGGGAGATGCGTCAGGGCTGGCTCTGCCGCTCCAAGCAATGATTGAGCAAGGATTGAAAATGGAGGAACCGGAGCTTGCAGACCCTGGGCCAAGGAACAGTGCAGAAAACAGCCCTTGTGCCATCCGTGTGGGGAGTTGTGGGGATTTCAAGGAAATAACCATTTTGGATGAGATGAAGCAGGAACCTCCTAAGCAGCTGCAGGAGCGCTGGGAGGCTCAGCTACAGGAATTTATCGAAAGGGTCGAATTGCCCTGTTCGGAATGGAGGCGCCCACAATTGCCGGGGGCCGCACCAGCCGATACTAAGGCTCTTCTGTCCACCTCTGAAGGAGCAGCCCACGCCATTAAGGAGCCTGGAGCTGCAGGGGTGCTATCCCAGTTCCTGCCACGCCTTGGCAAAGACGCCAAATGGTCAGACGAAGCCGAGGCAAATGGCATGAGGGTGAAAGAGGAAGACTTGGAGGAGGGGGACTCCGCCATCTTGGACGCAGAGGCAAAGCGACAACGCTTCAGGCGGTTCGACTATCGGGAGGCCGATGGCCCCCGAGAGGCCTGCGGGCAGCTCGAGCAGCTTTGCCGCCAGTGGCTGGAGCCAGAAAGGCACACGAAGGAGCAGATCCTGGAGCTGGTGATTCTGGAGCAGTTTCTGTCTATCCTGCCCCAAGAACTCCAGAAATGGGTGTGGGATAGTTCGCCACAAACCTGTTCCCAGGCCGTGTCCCTGACAGAGGATTTCCTGAGGCGGCAGCAGGACGTTCAGGTGAGAGAGCCAGATACTGTTTATTGAGGGGGAAGGTGTGGGAGCAAAATCCCTGCTCAGCTTTGGACTTTATCCCCATGTCTTCTTCAGCTGGGTCTCCTTGGCTTTCTCAGGGACCAGGGCCATTCAAGGTGGCAGCTGTACATTGCGCAGAGGCAGAGAATGACGGTCCATCGGGTGCCTGGCAGAAACCACCCTGCAGAGAACTCGGCCAGAAGGTTGATGGTGATGCCAGCTCCCCAGGTGAGAAATTATTGTGCCTGGGTCAGCGGATTATCGCGAGTTCTCGAAACGAGCTACAGTTTAGGTTGTCGTTCAGTTCTCGGTGTCTCTGATTCCTGGCCGCTCTTTTAAATCTGGGCGTCTTGAGTGAAAGTGGCACGAGCTTCCTCGCAATGTTTTCAATCAAGGCGTTTTAAAACAATATGGAAACCGCTATTCCAAAAGTGTTTGCGCGACGTATTTGTACGTCTGATTCCAGGCGGTGAGCAGAAAAACAGGGCATCTAAAGGAACATTACTTTGGAAAGGGTCTCCTCCATGAAAGCTGTGTAGTTGTTTTCTTTCATTGTAGTGCAGGAGCAAATAATAATAATGTCAGGCGTCAGAGAATCCAACCCCCCATGGTGGGTTGCCAGGAATGGATAAGAAAAGGAAGTACAGTGCTACCTCGGGTTACATACGCTTCAGGTTACATATGCTTCAGGTTACAGACTCCGCTAACCCAGAAATAGTGCTTCAGGTTAAGTACGGACCTCCGGAACGAATTAAGTACTTAACCAGAGGTACCACTGTAAGGTAAAAGTAAAGGACGCCTGACTGTTAAGTCCAGTCGCAGACAACTCCGGGGTTGCAGCACTCATCTCGCTTTACAGGCTGAGGGAGCCGGTGTTTGTCCACAGACAGATTTTCTGAGTCATGTGGCCAGCATGACTAAGCTGCTTCTGGTGCAACCGAACACCAAAACCAGAGCAGTGCACGGAAACGCTGTTTACCTTCCCGCCGGAGTGGTACCTATTTATCTACTTTGGCGTGCTTTCTAACTGCTAGGTTGACAGGAGCTGGGACCGAGCAATGGGAGCTCACCCCGTCGCAGGGATTTGAACCGCCGACCTTCTGATCGGCAAGCCCAAGAGGCTGAGTGGTTTAGACCACAGCGCCACTTGCGTCTCTGTAGGAAAATGAAAGTTTTCACCAATGCTTTTTATTCAATATTCACAGAGAGAGGCTTAGAAATGCAGCCTCTCAAAATAATGGCGTTGCTCCGAGTGAAACCCCAGGCCCTCTGTCCCTCCCACTTCCTCATGCGTCATCGCTACAGATGTTGGGATTGGGCCTTTTGCCTTTGAGCTCTCTGCTCTCCTACTTTCAATGCCCGCCAGGTTCTGAGAGAAGGGGGGTCTGGCATGCTTTCTAAAGACACTGAGTCCATCTTCTTCTTCCTCCTCCTCCTACTCTACCATTATTTCCCAGATTTCCCCCTCATCTTCCTCTGAGCTGTGACCTCCCTCAAACCCCTGTTGTAATTCTGAGCAGTCTTCTTTTTCTCTGGAAGATTCAGGGTGCGGAGGACGGTCTCCACCACTCTTCCTCTGCCCAGTCCCTGACAAACAATAACCCTCACGTTACAAACTCTCTCCCAATTCTAGGAGAAGATAGGAAGCGTCACGCAGAGGAGCAAAACCAGACAGAGCACCCTGAGGATAAAGAACCACATTGCAAGTTGCCAGGAAGAGACCAAAGAAATGTTTCCTGCGGCCTTGACCAGGAAGCAACATTTGCGCAACGGCAAGAAAGCTGCTCAGAGGAGGCAGAGAGCCGTCGCCTTCATGGCAGACACCCAGAGCATGAAATCTCCTTGCCAGAAGGGAAGCGGTGCGCGTGCTCCTTCTGCGGGAAAAGCTTCAGCCAGAGGTCAACTCTCACCATCCATGAAAGAACCCACACGGGGGAGAAGCCCTTTGAGTGCCCGGCTTGTGGGAAAGGCTTCAGCCACCGCTCAAACCTCATCGCCCACAGAACGGTCCACACGGGAGGCAGGCCGTACGGATGCCCCGACTGCGGGGACGCCTTCCGCCACAGGTCACACCTCATCGCGCACAGGAGGACCCACACGGGCGAGAGGCCCCACAAGTGCTCCGACTGCGGGAAGAGCTTCGGCCAGAGGTCGACGCTCACGGTGCACGAGCGGACGCACACGGGCGAGAAGCCGTACCGGTGCGCCGACTGCGGGAAAAGCTTCAGCCAGAGGTCCATCCTGATCGCGCACGCCAGGACCCACACGGGCGAGAGGCCGTTCAAGTGCTCCGACTGCGGGAAGGGCTTCAAGCAGGTCTCGGCGCTGACGGCGCATGCCCGCAGCCACACCGGGGAGAGGCCGTACCACTGCCCGGACTGCGGGAAAAGCTTTGCGCGCAGCTCGCTGCTCGCCAAGCACAGGAGGACTCATACGGGAGAAAAGCCCTACGCTTGTGCGCACTGCAGGAAATGCTTCCGTCAGCGGTCGCAGCTGGTTAGCCATGAGAGGACCCATGCCAGCGCTTAAGAGTATGGAGGATGCGTGAGCACATTGGGGGAACCCGGAAAAGGAGGGCTGCCCAACGTTTTTGGCAAAAAACCAAGCCTAGAGTACGGGCGGCGGGCCTGGGGGGGACCTTTTGCCCTCCATGTGAGAGGAAGGAGCCAGCAATAAATCACACTGAGCAACTGGGAGTTAACCCTTCATTAGCAAAAACAGGAAATGTCAGGCCTCATGAGTACAACTCATCTCCAGCAGGTTTTGCCCCCATGAAGCATTTGCTGAGACTGAAGGTCCCTGTCAGATGTCTGTTGCGCTTGCTCGAGAGTAACCAGGCAGGACTCCAACCTGTCTTTTACAGGCTTTATTTTGGTGTGGGTTAAACCACAGAGCCTAGGACTTGCCGATCAGAAGGTTGGCGGTTCGAATCCCCGCGACAGGGTGAGCTCCTGTTGCTCAGTCCCTGCTCCTGCCAACCTAGCAGTTCGAAAGCACATCAGTGCAAGTAGATAAATAGGTACCGCTCCGGCGGGAAGGTAAACGGCGTTTCCGTGCGCTGTTCTGGTTCGCCAGAAGCGGCTTAGTCATGCTGGCCACATGACCCGGAAGCTGTACGCCGGCTCCCTCGGCCAATAAAGCAAGAAGAGCGCTGCAACCCCAAAGTCGGTCACGACTGGACCTAATGGTCAGGGGTCCCTTTACCTTTACCTTTATTTACAGTGAAGAGTGTCATAAGTTCATGTCTGACTCAATTGCTAGCAGAATCCGGGCGTGGTCTTTTTTTGTACCTCACCCAACGTAAAGGTTTTGTTACCCCTAACCGTTTCCACCCCTCCCTGCGCCTCAGATTACTGCGCAGGAGGGGCGATGGCAAGGGCGTGCCCCCCCCGGCTCGCTCAGGAGCGGCGTTAAGGCTCTCACTAGCATCCTCTGGTCCTTGCACCTCTTCCCCACTGGAGGTGGGGCTTTCCTCCTCCCCGGAAGAGGAACTGCTTCGCAAGATTTTCGGAGGCTACCTGTAACACAACTGCCCTTCTATTTCTCGCCTCTGAGCCAGTGGCAGTTCCCTGACAGTCCCTGTCTCCCCACAGTTGCCCCCTCCTCTCTAGGGTTTCCCCCAAGCAATCTTGAGACTGCGCCTCTGTGAAGCTAACCCCTCCTCCACCCTCTTCATGCCTCTGCTGGTTCTGGGAGACCAGGGGTGAGGGGAGCTTGTCGCACCAGGAGGGGGAGACACCTGTGGCTCTTTGCCAACCAGACACATCTCTGCCGCTTGACCTCCCTCCTCTTCTGGTTCAGCTTCTGCCTCCGATTCTGGACTTCTGACATGGACTCCCCCAGTTCACTAAGCCCTGTTACCTCTTCAGCTTCAGACATCTCCTCCTCCCAGTCTTCTCCCTCTGACCACTCATCATTGTCCCACCACCTCTCCCCTGGCACGGAGCCTTCTTCCCTTGGGGGTTCCCCAGCTGGTGCCCCCCACCGTTCCTCTGTATCCAACCAGTCTGTGACATCATGTTTGTCGGGGCTGATGGGAGACAGCAGTCAGCAACATCTGGAGGGCGAAAGGTTCCCTACATCTGCCCTATGGTTTTACAAACACCCCCGGAATGCTCTAGTTCAGGCCTCCTCTACCTCAGATGTTTTGAGACTACAATTCCTATCATCCTTGACCACTGGTCCTGCTAGCTAGGGGTCATGGGAGTTGTAGGCCAAAAACGTCTGGAGTGCGGAGGTTAAGGAAGCCTGCTCTAGTTTCTCCCCAATAAAGACACCCAGGGCCCTGAGTATCTTTTCCCTCTGCTGAGCCTTGGGGAATACAGTAGTGTAGCTTTGGCTATGTGCCTTGTTCAGAGTGGCAGGCCTCCTTGCTTTTGACCACAAGCCCTCTGGGATGGTCAATAAGGCCACTGAGGAGGAGATCCATCCTTTTAAGTCATCAGACTGCCAGTGGGAAGCGAAAGTTAATAAATCGGCAAATCTCCAAAGCTGGTTTTTATGTTCCTTATTACATGCAGAGGATCAGCAGGGCGTGTGTTGATAAGCTGCCCAACTTTTTTTTGCAGCCTTCAGGAACTCCACAAAATAAGCTAACAAAGAGGAATATGGAAATGCCTTGGGAAGGTCACAGCACAAGGCCATTGAGTGCAGGATCCGGTTTCTAAAACCGACCCAAGTTTGCAAAGCAGGATGTGGCGATGATGAACAGGAAGGGATTCTTGTTCTTTGGCGAAGGGTTGCAGTTCAGCGGCAGAATATCTGCTACGCATGCAGAAGTTTCAATTCCCAGCTACTCCAGTTAGTGGTAGGAGAGACCTGGAATTCGGGAAAGTTGTTGCTAAGTTAGGAAAAACTACCAATGATTTGCCAGTTATTTGACTCTGCATAAGGCAGGTTTCCAAAGAGATGGTTTTCCCATGAGCTGGATTCCCTGCACAGTAGAATCTTCCATTCTAGGAAGTCCTGGCTGTGTCTTATTCTGCATATGTAGTCTAGAAACCAAACAAAGCAACACACAGGATATATGGTGTCACTTGGACTACTGCAATGCGCTCTATGTGGGGCCACCTTTGAAGGTGACCCGGAAACTACAACTAATCCAGAATGCGGCAGCTAGACTGGTGACTGGGAGCGGCCACCGAGACCACATAACACCGGTCCTGAAAGACCTACACTGGCTCCCAGTACGTTTCCGAGCACAATTCAAAGTGTTGGTGCTGACCTTTAAAGCCCTAAACGGCCTCGGCCCAGTATACCTGAAGGAGCGTCTCCACCCCCATCGTTCTGCCCGGACACTTAGGTCCAGCGCCGAGGGCCTTCTGGCGGTTCCCTCACTGCGAGAAGTGAGGTTACAGAGAACCAGGCAGAGGGCCTTCTCGGTGGTGGCACCCGCTCTGTGGAACGCCCTCCCACCAGATGTCAAAGAGAACAACAACTACCAGATTTATAGAAGACATCTGAAGGCAGCCCTGTTGAGGGAAGCTTTTAATGTTTGATGCATTACTGTATTTTAATATTTTGTTGAAAGCCGCCCAAAGTGGCTGGGGAAGCCCAGCCAGATGGGCAGGGTATAAATGAATTATTTATTATTTATTATTATTATTATTATTATTAATAATAATAATATAGAAAATTAAGTGCATGGTCTTATTGTGTGTCATTCATACAGAACCATGGTTGTGGTATATTCTCAAAGTCCTAGACCGAGCCCATAACAGCCACAATCTTTCAAATGCAACCTTTTATTCTTCCGCAACTTTACATACAATTTCTCTTTCAATTTGCCCTCTTAAAAAGAAAAAAAATGCACAAAGGTCATGAGGAAAACAAAATACAAGAAAATACAAACATGGGCACATCCCGTATTTGCGGGCCAAACACAAAAATTGCTATAAAGCAGGGTTTCCCAAACTTGGGTCCCCAGCAATTTTTGGACTACAGTTCCCATCATCCTTCCCCACTGGTTCTGCTAGCTAGGGATGATGGGAGTTGCAGTCCAAAAACAGCTGGAGACCCAAGTTTGCTTAGGGAAACTTGGCTGGCCCTGGGGCACCCTCTGCTGGCCAAAAGGAGCATTGTCACAGAATCTGAACCACCCCCAGTACTGCTTAGTGGCATTTATAGATCACAGAACTCATGTCTGCACCACCTAGAATACCCACAGGATTGTGGCCTCTACCAGCAACGCAGGTAGGAGAACAAATGAAGGAAGGACAAAAACAATGGGTGGGGGAAAACCCGGAAAGGACATATGGTGGGATATTAGCCCCGCTGTGAAGAAGTAATGTTTCCCACTACTGAACAATGCCACAGATGAAAAGCTTTTGCAGGGGCTGGGAAATTGAACTACTGGCTCAAAATAATTACTTTTTTTAAAAAGTCGCTGCCATTCCCATGGAAGGGGGTTCCACGTCCCAACCAGGAATGGAACAGGAGTGTACAGACAACCTCCTTGAACTTAAAGCAAAAGAGAAACCAGATTTGTTGCTTCTTGCAGGGTTTCGATGCGCTTGGAGCAGACCCACCAAAATCAACGGGATTTCAGGTAGCCGCGACTAAATTCCTATTGAGTCCCATGGGCCTTCTGCAAGGGTGAATCGTAAGTCTGGATCCAGCCCATAGGAGGCAGGCACCAACTCTAGCCTGGGGCACGCATTCTGCCTCCCAACGGGTGCAGGACTGGGGTGGGTGTGTGCACACAGAATATTGGTGGCGGCTTCCATGGCACGGGGGGCAGGTATGGAAGGTGGGTCTAGCTTCCCCACATCTCCATTCAACTCTTTCCCAGGAAAACCACGCAGTGCAGAAAGGGGGAGGGGGGGAAATGAAAGCAGGAGGCGCCCTCACTGCTTCTGCTGCAGAGCTTCCTTGCGGGCAGCATCCTGCAACAGCTGCGTGTCGACCTCGTCGGCTGGAAGCTGGACGTAGCGGACGACGGAGCCACGAATGAAGCAGTTCTTGACAGACAACTGGAGAGGAAGAATAGTGTTACAGGGTGCAGAGATCAGAAGCTTCTGGACTGGATTAGGGGGACGAAACAGTTCAAATCCTCCACTGGGTGACCTTGTGGCCAAACAGCACCCACCGATCTACCCCACAAGGTTGTTTTTGAGGTGGGGGGAGGTGACAGGGCACCAGATGGGGGGTGGGTGGGAAATTAACTCCCTCCCCAATTCATTTTCAAAAACGCCATTAACTCCTGTTTCTAGGAGGCTAAAATGAGACTTGGGTAGTGCATCATCTATTACCGGCTTCAGATATCTTTTTGCCCAGGCTTTCTCTGAGCCTAAGACCGGGCCTCACTATTTCTGAATCCCTGATTTTATTTGTTTTAATAATTATTATTTTCATTTGGTTGTAATTTCTGAATAACACCTTGAGATTTTTTTAAAATGCCAAGTGGTTTTGAATGGCTCTAAAACAGGGGTCAGCTAACTTTTTCAGCAGGGGGCTGGTCCACTGTCCCTCAGACCTTGTGGGGGGGCAGACTATATTTTTTTGGGGGGGGGGAATGAACGAATTCCTATGCCCCACAAATAACCCAGATATGCATTGTAAATAAATGAACACATTCTACTCATGTAAAAACACACTGATTCCTGGACTGTTTGCGGGCCGGATTTAGAAGGCGATTGGGCCGCATCCAGCCCCCGGGCCTTAGGTTGCCTACCCCTGCTCTAAAACAACAAATAATCAGGGTAAGCCTGGGGAAAGTCGGAGTAGGTCTTGCGGGTTTTATAAAGGTCCCTCAGATCTCCCCCAACCACCACCAAGAAAAATCCCTGCACCGGTTATGGGGCTTTACAGGTTAAAAGCCAGCAAGACAGATACCAATTTCTACCTCGGCATTTATCTACACTTCTCACGCCTGCCGTCCCAAATCCCCCCTTTTGCCCTATGCCCATCACTCACCATGTGAGGGTATTTCTCTGGATCGGTCACACTGATGTCTGTGAGCTTGATATTCAGATACTGCAAAGCCAGAGAAGAGGGAGGGTGGGGCGGAACTAAGCAAGCAAGGTTCAAAAGTAATACTGTACAACATTCTGCCTAGCGGCCTGTTCATTACCCCTTTGCTGTTTATCCACCTTAATCAACACCTCTGGTCAGCTTCCACTGAACATAGAGCCCTGTTTCGGAGCATCTGTGTCAGCATCCCGTCGTCACGGTGACCAACCAGACACCAATGAGAAACCCTCAAGCAGAATCTGAACCCAATAGCCCATTTGCTTTTCCACGCAACTGCTATTCAGAGGGGCGCTGTCTCCCACTGTGGACGCAGAATACGGCCGGGAAAGGTAGCAGCCATTAACAATTATATTTCCCCATGAATTTTCCTCATCTTTTGAGTTGGTGGCCATTGCTGCTCTTCGTGGAGCAAATTCAAGCATACGCTCTGTGGCAGTTTTTTCTTTGCCCGTCCAGAGTCTTCCAACACGTTCTGCTTCGCTGGGTGGCCCCATTAGTATTACGAGGGAGGAGGAAGGAAAACTTCTCCCTGTCCAATTTCTTCGTGGCAGGCATCATTTTACACATCTCTGTCACGCCCCACAATTAAAATAAATAAAACCTTATAACTGCACTACTAAAGAGACGTTCTGCTTTCTGCAAGTCTGCTTGCACATATCGTACAGTCAAACAGGAAGCCCTTTTGAGAACCAAAATGCACATATTTTTCATAAAACCTAGAACGTAACATAAGCAAAACCTGGTAGATCAGACCAGTGGCCCAGTTAGTTCTCACAGCGGCTGAACAGATGTTTGTGGAAAGCCCAAAAGCAGGGCATGAGAGTGACAAGACTCTTGCCCACCTGCAATTCTGTCTCCTGAGACACAACCTAGTCATCATGGCCAGTAGCCGCAAGTAGCCTCCTCCCGTGAATCTGCCAAACCCCCTTTTAAAGAAATCCAAGTTGCTGAACATCACTGCCTCCTGTGGGAGCAAGTTCCATAGTTTAACTATAAGCTGCGCCTACGCGATCCACTAAGAATTAGGGTAGGATATAATCTGTAAACAAGGGACGCGGGTGGCGCTGTGGGTTAAACCACAGAGCCTAGGATTCGCCGATCAGAAGGTCAGTGGTTCGAATCCCCGCAATGGGGTGAGCTCCCGTTGCTCGGTCCCTGCTCCTGCCAACCTAGCAGTTCAAAAGCACGTCAAAGTGCAAGTAGATAAATAGGTACCGCTCCGGCGGGAAGGTAAACGGTGTTTCCGTGCGCTGCTCTGGTTTGCCAGAAGCAGCTTAGTCATGCTGGCCACATGACCCGGAAGCTGTACGCCGGCTCCCTCGGCCAATAAAGCGAGATGAGCGCCTCAACCCCAGAGTCGGCCATGACTGGACCTAATGGTCAGGGGTCCCTTTACCTTTATCTTTATAATCTGTAAGGAAGAAATAGGCTTTAGGTATAATTCATACCTGATCCACCGAGTGCAAGGTCCCACATATACTGTAAAAAAGCAGAAAAGGCACAATTAAAAGCCAGCCAGGACACATGGGATATTTGGGGAGGGGTGCAAAGGCTGAGAAATTAATTTTATTTTTACATCTGAAGGCAACCCTGTTTAGGGAAGTTTTTTAATGTTTGAAGTTTTATTTTGTTTTTAACGTTCTGTTGAAAGCCGCCCAGAGTGGCTGGGGAAACCCAGCCAGATGGGCAGGGTACAAATAATAAATTTTATTTTATTTTATTTTTTAGAAAAGGGTTAGGATCCGGGACCAAGGCTCCTGGATTTTCCCCAAGGAGAGCAAGATGTGTTTGTACCCAGTCGTACCTCAAATCATTCTTCAGTTCAACCACCACGTCCTTCCCTACCAGGGACTTGAAGAATGAGTAGAAAAGCTGCGATGAAGGAAAAACAAATGTTAAGAGATCACCCAGAGCAGGGGTCAGCAACCTTTTTCAGCAGGTGGCCGGTCCACTGTCCCTCAGACCTTTGGGAGGGGGCAGACTATTTTTTTTTTAAAAAAAGAACGAATTCCTCTGCCCCACAAATAACCCAGAGATGCACTTTAAATAAAAGCACACATTCTACTCATGTAAAAACACCAGGCAGGCCCCACAAATAACCCAGAGATGCATTTTAAATAAAAGCACACATCTACTCATGTAAAAACATGCTGATTCCCGGACCGTCCGCAGGCCGGCTTGAGAAGGCGATTGGGCCGCATCCAGCCCCTGGGCCTTAGGTTGCCTACCCCTGACCCAGAGACTCCCTTGCACTTAAACACAAGACGGCCTTGCACAACTTTTATTCCGCTGCTCAGCAGGAAGCAGTGTGCGCCAAACACATCACATATATACACATCAGCTTCCAACAAACGGTGGGAGCGCCCAATGTTTTGGACTACAACTCCCATCGTGCCCCTGCCAGTGTAGAGGCCCAGAAAGGAATAGGACCCAGAGTCTGAAAAGATGCTCAACTACAGGTAACTGAAAGTGCTCAACTACAGGTAACTGAAATACCCATCATCCTTTTCCCTCTGCCCATTCACGACTCAGTTTCCCCTTTGCTCCGCTGGTTCCTTGCCTCTAATTTACGCTAAAAGCCCTTCAGGGTAGGAAACAGTGCTCTTTGCCAAGTCGTCATACACTAATACGGTGTTACACAGAACAACAATAATGGTGCGATTATCACCACCATTATTAAATATATTACCCGCCCTACACCAGCAGGCCCCAGGGTGGGTTACCAACACTTTTCAAATTAGCAACAATTAAAATGGATTATAGTACAGTGAGATTAATTGGAAGTCAGTTTTAAATTTCTTTTCTATAAATTTTAAAATTGTGTTCAATACCAGGAATTTATATGATAATTATATTAATCTTCTTATATCTTATAGTGTGGTGGTTTGTTTGATTTTTCTGTTATTTGTTTGTTTGATTGTATGTTTGTTTGTTTGTTTACTTGTATGTGCGTCTGTTTTTCATAAATGTACAGTGGTACCTCAGGTTAAGTACTTAATTTGTTCTGGAGATCCGTTCTTAACCTGAAACTGTTCTTAACCTGAAGCACCACTTTAGCTAATGGGGCCTCCCGCTGCTGCGCGATTTCTGTTCTCATCCTGAAGCAAAGTTCTTAACCCGAGGTACTATTTCTGGGTAAGCGGAGTCTGTAACCTGAAGCATCTGTAACCCGAGGTACCACTGTATTTATTTTAAATGAATAAAGATATATTTAAAAAATAAAATAAAACGGATTACAGTCATAGAAATAGGGTGGACCCTGGCAACACATTATCTCTGATGTCTAAGGCCAGTGTAAGGAAGTGCTTAAAGAGATTCAGCTGAGGTTGTGCATGAGGCTCTTAACTCATAAGGGTTGTGGGTTCAAGACCCACGTCGGGCTAAAGATTTCTGCATTGCAGGGGGTTGGACTAGTAAATAACCCTCGTGGTCGCTTCCAACTCTACTATGAAAAGGAGAACACAAAAAGCATTGATCCTAATGATGATGGCGACGCTGTTAGTGCTCTGAGTCCAGAAATTAAAAGCAGGAAAAGTTCGCCGACTCCCCACCGACCCCGACTTGCAAGCGGCTTCCCTGACTGCATAATAATAATAATAATAGCCCCACACACCATTGCCTCCTGCACCCTGCTTTTAGGGGTGGGGGGAGAAAAAGCAATGGCAGCTGCGTCACAGAACCAGCCCGTGACGTCACAAACTCACCATCGCCGCCGCTCGCCAGACGCAGCAGCAAAGAACCCGCGTGGACCAAACCTCAGAACCCAGAAAGAACTTCCCGGGCTGCGCATGCGTCGTGCGGGCGCTCACGGAACGGGGAAGGGGGCGGGACAACCAGACGCGCTCGGAAAGCGCGGAGGAAGGAAGGTTTTTATTTAAAGGGGCCGCTGCCTAATTATGCCTCGCCCCGCGCCTTAAAGGAGAAGCAGGCTTGATGCTCAGTTGCCCTTTGCGGGTTTTATGAATGGATAGAAAACGCGTTTTAAACGCTCAGATTTCCCCTCTAAAAGTGGCCTTAAACACCTGGCCATCCTGGCTGCTGACACGAGGCCGCAGAAGCGAATGCATTTCTAGCCATTAAAGCAGAAACTCTTTGTAACGTGTGCACCGGCTGACGCGGGTGTCCGCAGACCTGATTCTCCAGTGCAGTGGCTAGACTAGGACCTGGGTTCGAGTTCCCACTGGGCTATGAAGCTCACACCGGGTGCTGTTCGGCCAGTCAGTCATTGCCTTTAGCCTACCTCACAAGGTTGTTGTGGGGGGGGGCGTGAAGCTTCAGGGGGCAGGGCCGGGTAATGTGCACTTTACATCCCATTCCCACATGGAGCTGTGATATTTGGAATTTGGGGTTACACGATCCAAGCTCTCCTGCTACCAGCAATATCTAGATCCATAGCTGTCAACCTTCCCTTTTTTGCGGGAAATTCCCTTATTCCAGCACCGTTTCCCGCTGCTATCCCAGATTGTTAGATATCCCATAGACTATCCCCGGGACAGGTGAGGCTGCTGATCCCTTATTTTCAAATCTGAAAGTTGACAGCTATGTCTAGATCATGGGTAGGCTGTTAGAATTCCTGCTCCATGATTGCAGTCATGGGATTTTTGTCTTTCACATGACGGTGTATGTTTTGACTCCACAGAGTGGGAAGTGACGGAAACAGGACGTTTGTGCGACTGTGTTCCGTGAAGTGGGACTATTGTCCTTTGTCCTTTTTCTCTTTGCTGCCTGATGCTAGAGAGAGAGCCATGTTGCTGTGCTCCATGTGTGTTTATATGTAAATAAAGTAGATTAGCCAAAATGCTGAGTTGCTGAGGTCTGTCATGCACATGATGCGCACACTCTGCGGATTCCTAAGTGTGCTGGTGTCGGTTGGCATTCGTTGCTGTGATGTTTGGACTGAAGAAAGCTTATGAAGCTCCCGAACGATCGACCAGAAGGGAGAGAACATGCCAGTCAGGCATGTGTCTCTGCCAGAGTCCTACTCAAGTGTAGGCTGAACTCCTGACAACTGGCCTACAGATGGTCCAGGAATCAGCGTGTTTTTACATGAATAGAATGTGTCCTTTTATTTAAAATGCACCTCTGGGTTATTTGTGGGGCATAGGAATTCGTTCGTTTCCCCCCCCCCCAAAAAAAAATAATCCGGCCCCCCACAAGGTCTGCAGAACAGTGGACTGGCCCCCTGCTGAAAAAGTCTGCTGACCCCTGATCTAGATCCGGATCAGCAATGACAACACAAAAGAAGATCACAGTGGTGTTCAGGGCCACAGGGAAGTATCGGAGTGAATTCCTCTTATTTATTCAACACACGTCTCGCTGAATACAGCGACAAATCCTCATGAGGCAAGAGGTTCACCATACCCAAACTGTGCCCCCGTTGCAGATCTTTGCTTTAGTCCATTTGCTCTTAAGTCTCATAAATGCCAACTAGTGCAAGACAAGGTGCATGAGACAAGGTGGCAAGATCCACAGGGACAGCAGATCTGGCCTCAAAGGAATGCATTGCTGCGGCCGCTGCCACAATGGTAGCAATAGCCAATGCATGCTTCAGATTTGCTGCCACCTCGACAGTCCCCCCCCCCAAAAAATACTGCCTCTGCAGTGGCCTCTTGGTGAATAGGAGGCACCGCTGGTCTCCTACCATCCCTAGGGTGGGGTTGGTCCTCTGAGGTGTCCTAGGCTTTCAACTGCCCAGCATGTCTCAATATTTTTTGGTTTGCCTTAGGTGCCAAAATATCTTGTGCAGGCCCTATGCAAGGCACGCCGCAGGAACTTACTGGGTTAGTATGAAAAATTATAACATACACCAGTGTGCCAATCCTGCAAAATTTGCAAGGGAAATTCTCCTCAAGAATCGTGTGTCTGTGTGTGTGTGTGTGTTTGTAAATGCTCACCTTCCCTTCTCTTGCCTTTCTAGGTGGTCATTGAGGGATTTGCGCTCCCAGGTATTGCACCAAAGCACAATCTGACTCTCGGTTTCCCCTTTCTCCTACTATTGCGGGGGGGGGGGGGGCAGAGTTAAATCTGCTACAGATAGAATGATACACATACAAAGGATCTGGACTAGAGATCCTTGTAACAGGGTTGCCATACGTCCAGAATTTCCTGGACATACACGGAATATTGTAGTCAGAAGCAGTGTCTGGGTGGAAAGTGGCAAAATGTCCGGGAAAATCCAGAAGTATGGCAAGCCATGTCGGCAGTGTAATTTTTGCAGATTTTTCTTTTAAAAAAATAGCTCCAAAACAGTATTTCGCTTTTTGAAATATGGCAACCCTATCAATGTAATAAGCTTTGCCTCACTTTGCTTAATGGTAGGGCTGGTCCTGGGCCCAAGGCATTTTGCTGCCTGAGGCGGACAAGACGATGCCATCTATTCTAAGGTTACCAGACGTCCCCATTTCCCCAGATTTACATATCAGTCCCATACAAAATCCATTGAAGTTGAAAAGTGTCCCCGGATTCATTGGAAAAAATCTGGTAACCTTAATCTGTTCCTCATACAGAAGCCCATCAGGTTGGCATTTGAATCTTACAGCAACACAGGTGACAGGTCATCATGGACCACATCACCTGAGGGCAGCAGGCTAACTGAGGGAGCACAGGGATGGCAATATTATAGCACACACCTCTCCTTGCTGCAACTTCATGGATCAGACCCAGAAAGAGGGCCTTAAATTGCTCCTTTTTTGTTCCCCAATTAAAATAATCGCAGCAAACATGTATAAACTCATTGCTTCCACCCAGGGGCAGCAGACCTTCAAGCCCTTGCATTGCTTTCCCAAAGTACAGTAAAATATATTGGGGAAATCCTCCAGTTCCGTAAGTTGACACTTGCAGCTTGATCCTCTTGCAATTCCTTTGTCAGTTCAATCAGATGAGAGGCTACATGTGACAAGCTGCAAGACAGGGCACACATATGTTCCGGTTGCTATGGAGATGCTGCCTAAAATGGCTTCCCCGTAGCGAGATCCTCCCTCTCCCAGCAGAAAACAAAACATAGCACCCAATAAAGCACTCATATTTGTGAGCCCCACATTTGGAGGAGGCAGAGAGAGACTGACTGCCATGATGGCCCCAATCCACTTAGGGAGTACTTCTAAACTACAGCCAAGACGTGTAGCGGCTCATCACCACCACAGAGAGGTCATAAGAACATAACAGCCCTGCTGGGTCAGACCAAAGGCCTATATTGTCTCTTTTTTAAAAAAAATGATATTTATTGCTTTCCAACAATTTGAACATACATAGAGAAAGAAAATAGACAATACAATACAATACAAAAACAATAACTAACACTAAACTAAACTAAAAAAAACAAAACAAAAACAATTTAAACTAAGAAAACAAAACAAAAACAATTTAAAACACATCACGTAATTTCAATCTTTCATTCACTTATTTCCATTACCTCCTCACACCTCCCTTTTTGTATTCCACTTCTATTTAGTTGTTTCAGCAATTCCTTTCCATCTTCCTCTGCTTTCCATCCTATATTTATCTTAACACATTTTAACCTTATTTTCCCCTTTATTTCTCTGTTAATCTATTTATGCTTAATTCCTTATAACATTTCTACTGAAGCCTATAACTTCATTCCAACATTTTTCTAACATTCATTAATTTTACAATATTTCTGTAAATAGTCTTTAAACTTTTTCCAATCTTCTTCCACCGACTCTTCTCCCTGGTCTCGGATTCTGCCAGTCATTTCCGCCAATTCCATGTAGTCCATCAACTTCATCTGCCACAAAGGCCTATATTGTCCATGGCACATACCCATCAACTGTCTGGGACATCCCATTTGAGAGCAAGATTACAGCCAAACACACATATTGATTGCGGCACCCCGAAACATATTTTAGGGTGTCAAGCTCTTGCATAGGTCACATGACTTTCACAGGAGAATGTCCTGGCAGATGCGTCCTGGTTTCGCTCTGGGAGAAGTTGGAGGCTATGGTTACATCATTCCCATAACTAAAACTACCACAAATATATCAATGTTTTCAAAAGTAGGAAAATTGGCTTTTGAAAAAACAAGGGAGCCACAGTACTTAGTTAACTGGGCCGAGCTAAACGGCCTCGGCCCTGTATACCTGAAGGAGCGTCTCCACCCCCATCGTTCACTGAGGTCCAGTTCTGAGGGCCTTCTGGCGGTTCCCTCGCTGCGAGAAGCAAAGCTACAGGGAACTAGGTGGAGGGCCTTTTTGGTAGTGGCGCCCGCCCTGTGGAACACCCTCCCTTCAGATGTCAAGGAAATAAACAAGTATCTGACTTTTAGAAGACATCTGAAGGCAGCCCTGTTCAGGGAAGTTTTTAATGTGTGACATTTTAATGTATTTTTAATCTTTGTTGGAAGCTGCCCAGAGCGGCTGGGGAAATAATAAACTATTGTTGTTGTTGTTGTTGTTGTTGTTGTTGTTGTTGTTGTTATTTCTGGGGGCCGCTAGCATAAACCATCTGAATACCACCCGCTCAACTGTTAGGAAGTTCAAAGTACCGACAGTGACAAAAGCATGCAAAAGATTAACTATGGGAAAACAGTGGAGAATTTTGGTAGGGGAAAAAAGATGGCCACTCTGCAGAAAGTCCCCTCCAGCAATCCTTTTTATTGTGCATTTATGATGTTATGTACTGAAGTTCTCACCCTGGGCCAGCAGGGGGATACTGTAGATAGTTTTCACTCAGGTCCACATATGCAAATAAG